CTCCAGGCTCTGAGCTGGCAGTCAGCACAGAGCCCGACACGGGGCTCGAACCCACGAACCGCGAGATCATGACCTAAGCGAAAGTCGGACGCTTAACCGACTAAGCCACCCAGGCGCCCCTGAACATGTAAACATTTTTAAGGTTATAGGTATATATGGTCAATCTAGATTTCTGGAAGCATTATAATATTTATATTTTCACCCGAAACACATAAGAATGTTTGTTTCATGATATCCTTAACCCTCCTAAATTGATGGAAAAGGTGAAAAATGGCACAGTCGCTTTATTTTTATGCATTTCAAAAATCTTAGCAGAATGTTTTTCCTAAACAGTATTTTTCCCAACTGTAATGTGCACTCATTATAAAAGAAAACAAAATCCTATAAAACACATGTTTAAATCTATGTATCCCTATATCTGTATCTATATTATCTACCTACCTTCTTACCTACCTACTTGCCTACCTGTCTATAAAGAGAAGGTTAAGGAAAAAAAACAACCATCTGACACCTCATTAATCTATAGATAACTACTGTTAGCATTTTGGTGCTATCTTCTTCACCTTTTTCAACAAGGTTTCTGATATATTCCTGCGGCAACAATGGAACATGTATGTGTAGCAATGACAACTGAATCCCTTTAAGAGCACACTGAGCCGCCATGTTTTGAGGGTGGGCCCCAAAGTGTAAGTGGTATCAGATACATGTCTATGCACTCCTTACTCTCCCTACTTCCCTTCTTCCAATAAGGACTGGATCATGAGCTGAGGATGCCACTGCAGGGTCCCTGGTTCCCAACACTTGTTCAAAGTGGATTTACGGGAGAGGCTGAATCTGCACGGAGGAAAGGTGGAGGACACTGAGGGTAGCTTAATCTCTTCATCACTGGCTTAAAAATCAAATTATCTTTAGGCTGAACTTCATATTCCATTCAGCAAAAGAGAAACCTTGCAATTAGCCAGGGCCATACTTCTTAGAAGGAGCTTTCTACCATAAGCAGTTCATCAAAGAATCCCTTCCAACCTCATAAATCACATCCCCTCAAGAGAAATAACATTCCCTTTCTTTCATCTTATGTTTCCACTGAAACACATTGTCCTTCTGACCTCCCTGTGGTCTGTCTCCACCTGGGATTTGGTATCCCTGAGGATCGTGCTGGGCAGTTGGTCTGTACCCTCTGAAAGTGGCTACCCTGGATACAAGGCAAGGAATAGCCTTCAGAAAATCAAATCTTATGTAAATGAGATGCTTCAAAGCAAAAGAACCACAATAACAAAACCAGATTATCTCAGATGACTAAGTTTACAAAGCTGATGTCACCTTGGAGCTCCAATGGAGCAATCGGTTCGCGCATAGTACTTATACAAGGCTGACATCACTTCATTCATCACATGTCATTAAGATAAAGAAATCTGTCTGCTGTTATTCCATTTGTGTCTTAAAGCATACCTGGCATGAGTATCTTGGCATTTCTCTTCGATTATTTCAGCAACCAAGGGGCAGCGATCTTTGAGTTTTCCAATCACCTTCTGCAGCTTCTCCCAACTTGCTTCACTGCTCTCAGCTTCATCTTGAAGAGACTGAGAACAGAGCAGGAAGGTTCACTTCAGAGTGGCCTGGCCACATCCAAGGGAGACAGCCGCTTTTCAACACATCTGCTACATCACAATAGTATTAACGCTCAAAACTTAATAAGGAGAGGGAAGATTATTAGAAATTATTAGAAGAAGACAACTGAGAAGGCATCCTTCCATCTGATGGTACAACATTAAAAAGTATGCTAACACAGGGCACCAGGGTGGCTCAGTCGGTTAAGCATCCAACCCTTGATTTCAGCTCAGGTCATGATCTCATGGTCCGGGAGTTTGAGCCCCACATCGGGCTCTGTGCTGACAGCCCAGAGCCTGCTTGGGATTTGCTGTCTCCCCTCTCTCTGCCTCTACCTCACTCATGCTCTCTCTCTCCCCAAATAAAAACTTAAAAAAAAGCATGCTAACACCCCAAAACGCCAAACTTTTAAACTGTGAAATAATATGGACATGAACAGTAGAGAAAAATCCCATGTAAACTTTGGAGCCACTCATCTGGCTCATTTTGGAATCCCATGTCCTACTTTTGATGCTGCTATTTAAGACACCGTTTTGTGCTTCCTGTGGACAGCACCAAGGCAACTGTGTCCATTTCTGCACTTGACTCCACCGGAGGTCTCCTGCCAACCAGGCACTGCACCACGATCTGCTGAATTTACCTGGAGGTTCTGCACCTGGCATCCTAAGGCCTCTAATGATAAAAGCCCAGGCTTGCTGTGCTCCATGCAGTACCAGAACCGGATTGTCATCATCGTCACCTCATCATAAAGGTCATCGTAAATCTTCCACTCCTGTAAAACAGACTGCATGGAGGTCTTGAGCTCGTTGACCTATATGAAAAGTGCAAAGATATTTGGAAAATCATTGAGAAGAGGCTCTCTCATCATTTTGTTCTCTTCTAAGGATTCTACCACGGTATCTATTTTAGGCAATTCAGCTTTAGAGTGTGGGGGAAGGAGCTCCTGGGTGGCTCAGTCAGTTAAGCATCTGACTCTTGATCTCGGCTCAGGTCATGATCTCACGGTCTGTGAGTTCGAGCCCTGCGTTGGGCTCTGCACTGACAGCACAGAGCCTGATTGGGATTCTGTCTCACCCTCCCTCTGCCCATTCCCCAGTCACCCTCTCTCAGTCTCTCTCCCTCTCTGAAAATAAATAAACTTAAAAAGAGAGAGAGAGAGTATTGGGGGAGATTCAGTGATTAAATGAGGTGGGAAGGGTAGGCCAATAAACAAAAAAGATCGGAGAAGAGTGAATTTTAGAACAGGTGAATGGAAGAGAGACCTGAGGCCAAAAGGATTAGCAGGGACAGAGTTCAGCCTAGCAGGTGACAGCCCCGGAAGGGAGCACTGGGTGAGGAAACAGAATCTGTGAGCACATATTTCAGCAACACCCTATTAGCTTTCCGATCATGGGCAAGTTTTTAACCCTTGAGTCAGTTTCCCTATTCACAAAACAGATATTATAAGTAAAATCATAAATAGTGTCTGTGGAAATGTTCTGAAAACTGTAAAGCATTGTAACTGTAAAATGCTACGTCTGTTTCCTGGCACTTGGGTCTGCATATATTGGAGAGAAATGTGCTCAAAATGATGGACAAATACAAAGGAGGAGGAAATGCAATGATCTCAGATACAATTGAGAATATGTAAGTATACATATTTTAATAGGTTGCATAAAGAACATTTACAGCTCAACAATAAAGAGGCAAAGGATTAAATTGGGCAAAGGATTAAATAGATACCTCTCTAAAGAACATCTACAGTCATTAGGGAAACATAAATCTAAAGGACAATGAGATGCTATTTCGCATCCACTAAGAGGTCTATAAATCCAAGTTGGGTAACAACCAGTGCTGGCAAGACTGGAAAAATTGGAACATTCATAAATTGCTGGTGGAAACTTAAAACCATACAGCCTCTGTAGAGACCTGTTTGGCAGTTCCTCAAAAAGTTAAGTATAGAGGTACCATGCGACCCACTAATTCCCCTCTTAGGTATATACCCAAGAGAAATGGAAACACATGTTCATACAAAAGTCTGTACACAAATGTTCATGGCAGCATGATTCATAAGAGCTTAAAAGTGGAAACAATCCCGGGGCACCTGGGTGGCTCAGTTGGTTAAGCATCCGACTTCAGTTCAGGTCATGATCTCATGGTTCACAAGTTTGAGCTTCATATTGGGCTCTGTGCTGACAGCTCAGAACCTGGAGCCTTTTTTGGATTCTGTGTCTCTCTCTGTCTCTCCCCTTCCCTCCCTTACTCCTTCCCTCCCTCAAAAATAGATAAAACATGGGCGCCTGGGTGGCTCAGTCGGTTAAGCGACTGACTGGCTCAGGTCAGGATCTTACGGTTCATGGGTTCGAGCCCCGCGTTGGGTTCTGTGCTGACAGCCAGCTCAGAGCCTGAAGGCTGTTTCAAATTCTGAATCTCCCTCTCTCTCTGAACCTCCCCTGTTCATGTGCGCGTGCTCTCTCTCTCAGCAATAAATAAAACATTAAAAAAAATAGATAAAACATTAAAAACTTTTTAAAAAGTGGAAACAATCCAAATGTCCATCAATGGATAAACTAAGTGTGGTGTATCCATACAGTGGAATACTATTCATCCATAAAGTTCAGAAACATGCTGTAATATTGATGATGGAAACATCTAAGGCAGACAGAAAAGACCACATGTCGTATGATTCTGTGTGTATGCAATGTCCAGAAGAGGCATATACAGAGATAGAACGTAGATTAGTGCTTCCAGGGACTAAGGGGAGGGAAGAATGTAAAGTGAGGGATGGGGGTTTCTTTTCTTTTTTTTTTTTTTAAGTTCTGCTTTTTTATTTTAATTTTTTTTAATGTTTTATTTATTTCTGAGAGACAGAGACAGAGACAGAGAGAGAGAGAGAGAGAGAGAGAGACACGGCGTGAGCACAGAAGGGTCAGAGACAGAATCTGAAACAGGTTCCAGGCTCTGAGCTAGCTGTCAACACAGAGCCCAATGTGGGGCTTGAACCCATGAACCGTGAGATCATGACCCGAGCTGAATTCGGATGCTTAACCGACTGAGCCACCCAGGTGCCCCTGGGGGTTTCTTTTTGAGTGAACAAAAATGTCCTGGAATTAGATAGTAGTGATGTTTGTAGATCTCTGTGGATATACTAAAAAGCATTGGATTATACACTCAAAAGGGTAAGTTTTATGGTATGTGAGTTACATCTCAATTTAAAATAAGGATCTGAATATAAATGAAGCGTGATCGCTATGTTGGCCCAAGTGGGCAGCTTTATTTGTGATGTGATGTCAAGTTTTGGATGTAACCACACAGGCCTGCATTCAGGCTCTCTGTTCTCTGCTTCACATCTACAGGGAGCATGTCCAGGTTGACAGGCAGCCTTCCTCAAACCCTGCGCCAAATAGGGCCAGATAAAAGAAACAAAATGTCAGTCTCACACTGGCAACTGTGTAGACCATATGTCTTTATGTAGGCTGAATGGCTCAGAAAAAGAACCCATCATTAAGAAAGAGTAAAAGACAGCTAGGGAAAAAAGGAGGCAGATGGGAACTCCTTACAGGTGTACCTAGGAGAAGCTGGGGCCTATCTCGGTGGCAGGGACGATTCTGACACACGGCTACCTACAAGGCACATGGTTATGTGAAGCACCGTCATGGTCCAGGACACAGAAGGCCTTCATGCCTTCCACATACGAAGTTGGTGCAACTTCTGGTGCATGTAAGGGCAGCTCTTAGAATATTGCAGCTTCAGGGCAGAGAAATGGCACATGTGTTTTGAGGGAAAGGATAAGAAAACCATTAGGCAAAATTCACTACACTAGAAACAAGAAGGAACATTTTCAGAATGTTAAAAGCAGCATCAGCCAGTGGGGTCCACACTCAATGTCATATAGGCATTGCTACAAAGGTAGAAAGAGGTAGGTAGTATCACCCCTATTTTATAGACCAGGAAACTGAGGCTTAAAGAGGTTAAGTACCTGCTCTGGGACAGAGATAGGAAATGGGGCTGCCAAGATTTTTATTTACGCAGAGACTTAAAGCCCTTGTTTGTAAAGACTGGGCTCTACTCACTCTTCAGAACTTATGAATGGATGGAGTAGGTTTTGTGATTTCTACAGTAAAAAAAAAAAAAAAAAAAAAAAAAAAAAAAAAAAAAGCTTTGGGGCACCTGGCTGGCTCAGTTGGTAGAATATGTGACTCTGAGGTCATGAGTCTGAGCCCCAAGCTGGGGCTAGAGATAACTTTAAAAAAATAAATAGGTTTATTGAGACATAATTCCCATCCCATACAATCCACCTATTTAAAGTACACAGCCACCATAATCAGTATTAGGATATTGCATCGCATTACCGTGAAAAGAAACCCCATACCCACTAGCAGTCACTCCTCATTCTTCTCCAACCCTTTCTCAGCCAAAGTCTACCTTTTGTCTTTAAAGAATTTGCCTATTAAGGACATTTCATATAAGTGGAATCAAACAATATATGGTTCTTTGGTGACTGCCTTTTTTCACTTAGCATGAGGTTTTCAAGACCATCAATGTTGTAGCAAGTATCAGTACCTCATTCTTTTTTATGGCTGAATAATATCCCACTGCATGAAAATATTACTTATTTTTTATTTTAAAGTAGGCTCCATGCCCAGCGTGGTGCCCACTGTGGGGTTTGAACTCAAAACCCCGAGTTCGAGACCTGAGCTGAGATCGAGAGCTGGACTCTCCACAGATTGAGCCTCCCAGGTGCCCCTGGATATACCATTTACCTAACCATTTATAAATCGAGGAACATTTGGATCGTTTCTACTTTTTGGCTATTATGAATCACCCTGCTATGAACATTCATGCACAAGTTTTTGGAGTGGACACAATTTCTCCTTTCTCTTGGGTACTTAGGAGTAAAGTGCTGAGTCATAAATAGCTGTGTTTAAATATTTTAGGACTTGCCACACTCTTTTCCAAAGCAGCTGCTCCATTTTGCATTCGCTGGCTATGTATATATGAAAGATAATCAAGGTCTCCATACCCTTGCTAACATGTTATTGTCTGCTTATTATTATCCCTACTGAGGCAGATGTGGAGTAGTATTTCACAGAGGTTTTGAATTATATTTCCTTGATTAATGATATTGAACATCTTTTCATGCACTTATTGGCAATTCATATCTTTAGAGAAATAACTATTCAGATCACTTGCTCATGTTTTCACTTTGGTTATCTGTCCTTTATATATTATAGATACAAGCCCCTAAGTATGTAAATATTTTCGTCTGTTCTGTGGTTTGTCATTTCACTTTGTTGATGATGTTCTTTGAAACACAGAAGTATTTAGTGCTGATGAAATCCAGTGTTTTCTTGTGCTTTTGTTGTCATATCTAAGAAACTATTGTCTAATCTAGTCATGGAGATTTATGCCTATGTTTTCTTCTAAGAGTGCTGTCGTTTTAACACGTAGTCTTTGATCCACTTAATTCTTATATATGGTATGAAGGTAGGGGTCTAACCCCATTCTTTTGAATGTGGATACACAGCTGTCCTAGTATCATTGTTTGAAGACTATCTTCCCATCTACCACCCCAGAATTGTCTTGGCATCCTAGTCTAAATTTTAGTTGACTACAATGTGAAGGTTTATTTCTGGGCTCTTAATTCTATTCCATTCATCTATATTTCTATCTTTTATGCTAATGCAATCTGCATGTTTTTACTTGCATTATCTCAATCTTTTCTACCCCAACATTTTCATTATAATTCACTGTGCTGTGGGGCACCAGGATGGCTCAGTGGGTTGAGTGTCCAACTTTGGCTCAGGTCATGATCTCATAGTTTGTGAGTTCAAGCCCTGCATCAGGCTCTCTGCTGTCGGCACCAATCTCATTTCAGATCCTCTGTCCCCCTCTTTCTACACCTCCTTCACTCACACTCTCTCAAAAAATAAATAAACATTAAAAAACATTTACTGTGTTGCAATTATCTATTCAAGTATGTCTTCTCTGGTAGTCTGTGAGCTCTTTCAGGGCAGGACCCATTTATTTCCTTGTTTATGTTTGTACTGTTGGCAGTGAGCATAGTGACTCACAGAAGATATGTTCAACAAATGACTCACCAAGATATGTTAAGCTCATCTCAATCTTCCTACCTGAGTTTTGGGGAAGAAATGAGGCCAAGGGCCACCTATGAATTTCATTTACACAGGTTATTCCTTTTGGAACAAATAGTCAAGAGCAGATTTTAGTAAATGACAAATAATCCACAATAGGGACTTCTGGGAAATATGGACACACCTATAATTGGCTAGTATTTAGTTTTCTCCTTCCATTCATGGGGAGCCAACAAGGTTGCAGTATCGAGAGATGCCTGACTTTTCTCTTTTGGTGTTCTACTCCTGGAAGGGGTAAAAGCAGACCTTAACAGGTCTTTCCTAAAACAACTAGACACTGGGGCACCTGGGTGGCTCAGTCGGTTAAGCGTCCAACTTTGGCTCAGGTCATGATCTCACGGTTCATGGGTTCGAGCCCCGTGTCAGGCTCTGTGCTGACAGCTAGCTCAGAGCCTGGAGCCTGCTTCAGATTCTGTGTCTCCCCCTCTCTCTGACCCTCCCCTGCTCATGCTGTCTCTATCTCTCTCTCAAAAATAAATAAACTGTTTATAAAAAAAAAATAAAAAGAAAATAAAACAACTAGACATCTTCCACACTCCTCCACTTTACTTTCTTTTCACCACATACTGTGTTCTCCCCACCTCGGGAATTCTCCATTTGCTGACCATGCTTTAGCTTAATAGAGGCTACATAAGACGGGTGCCTGAGGCACCTCCCTGGATGTCCTTTTTCATAGCTGTTCCTGTATATCTGCCCAGGAAACAGTGCCAGAGGCTGGGGGTGAGGGTGGTGGTAGGAGGGGGTGAAGACATTTTTGTTTGTGAGTACTTAGACACAACAAAGATAGCCAAGTGGATTTCAAGCTTGCCAACGGTGTTGGAGTTGGTGGCACTCCCTCTAACTATCCAGTCCCCACCCCCCCCAGAAAAAGGGGGTGGGGGAGGATTTGAAATGCCTTTCTCTACTTCATTTCAGTATTTCTCTAAGCAACTCTTCAGTTTTTGGTATGGAGTGAGTTTCTATGATTAAACCACAACAACACAACGGTGAAAGAAGGATACATGAAGAGAAACAGTATACTTCAAATGAGTTCTGGTACCTGGCTGATAACATGGTTTCTCTTTTGAAATAACGCATCAATTCTGGAGGCTGTGTCTTCTAACAAAGGCATGGTCCCACTCTCCGAAGTCAGGTAACACTGTCTCAACTCCTCAAGGGCTTTGGATTTACTTGCAAGTTGATTTTCTATATCCTGGAAGGGCAAGAGGAAAAGGTTTTCATATGCACAACAGTACAGAACAATAAGGTGTTAGAGACAGCAGTCTGGCCTTTTCAAGTAAAAATGCCATTAAAGCATATAATTAACATCACCCTAAAGACATTTTAATCACAATACATTCGATTCAATTTTTGCACTTAATATAGTATGAATTTTTATAATTAGTTTAATTATTACATGGATCTAGATTAAAATTTTTTTAATGTTTATTTACTTTTGAGAAAGAGACAGTATATAAGTGGACACAGAATCTGAAGCAGGCTCCAGGTTCTGAGCTGTCAGCACAGAGTCCGACACAGGGCTCAAACTCATGAACTGTGAGATCATGATCTGAGCCAAAGTCGGCGGCTTAAATGACTGAGCCACCCAGGCACCCGTAGATTTTAGAAGAGTCTAGGTAATAAGTCCTTATCATCATGGTAGAGTAGAACGAGTCCAGGAGATCTGGTCCCCATTCCTTGTCTGTCCCATACTGGCTGTCTGACCTGACATTAAGTCATCAAACCTCCAGGCCTGCATTTTCTCATCTGGAAAAAAGCAATGATAGCCCATGCCACGGAGAGTAGAGAACCCGAGTGAAACCAGGGTGGTCTGTAGGGGGAGGTGTTGCATGGACTTGTGGAGCGTAGGCCTCCAGTGAGGGTATGTTGAACCCAAGGCTGCTGTAAGAGTTCTAAATGGAAATGGCTAGTGGGTAGTTAGAAACCAAGTATGACCACTTGCAAAGATCTCTTATAATGCTGTTGCTACTCACATCTCATGTCCAGTATTATTAACCTTCTCAGGAGAACTGGGGTGTGACCCGACGTTCCCACCCCCCGCAGGGAGTAGTGCGTGCCCTCGGGCAGTAGGCCCAGAAGCAGGGTGCTCAGTGCCATCTGTGGTCACAAGGACAGCTGACCTGTTTTCAATAGGCAGTGACACAATGAGAACAGTACTTAAGGAGGATTAACGTGCGTGTGGGTGCGGGCATCTCAAAGACTAAGTGACCTGGCAAATGACAACTGCACAAAGAAGGGCCTGGCCAATATCCTTAAGTGCAACTGTGATTTAGACCGTAGTTCCAAGGGACAACCGGTCCTTTCAGGACACGCTACACAGAAGGTAAAAGAAAACCATTTTTCTATGAAGAGACAGAATGAAATACTAAGGATAATGGAAACCTCAAAGTAACTGCGTACATATTGAGTAAATTAATAAAACACAAAAACTGGAAACCATGAAATAATTCCCTTTGAACATTTTCTTTTAGGAGCCACATTCAAGTCTTGGGAACGACACTGAAAATACCTTCTGTTTGTCACACACACAAAAATAGCAGTTCGCAACTCTGTAAAACCCGTGGGTGATTATCTCCTTTACATAATGAAGTAAGTACCTGGGAGTCTGGAGGAGGCCCTCAAAAGTGCAGCCACTTGCCCTCCTCCTTGGGGCAGAAGCAGTGACTGAACAGCGTGGCCATGCCTTGGGGACCGGTGTCGTGTGCCTTCTCACCTGACAATCCGGGAGCACCTTGTGCACGGAGATCACACTTCCAGGCTTTTGTAAAGTTTTCAGTCTCTCCTCTTGCGCCTCCATCCAGTTGTTCAAAATCTGTATTTTGTTTTCGTTCTCAGTGATGCTTTCCAAAAGCTGTTCTAAATGTTGTATCTATAAGGTATGAATAAGAAAATAAAAATCTCTCATTTTAAACCAGATGCTTTAAAATGTAAATGTCATGGTGGGTTATTTCTAATAAAATAATTTTGTTTCATCTCAGATTTCGTCATATTTAGCAGAAGATTTCCCAAATAACATTTGGAATAAAGGTTCACATTAGGAAACAGAATTAAAACCCCCTTTTGCATTTGAAATAAAAGCTAACCTGCTAAGCAAGCTGGCTGTTTTGGAGTTCAATTAAAACGTATATAAATAAAATCATGTTGCTAACATTCAATAACATGTTGAATAACATTCAACTCAAATTAGATGCAATTTTTCATTGCATTTACCTATTGATCTACATAAAGCTTGAGAAAACTTTCTTTCCCTAGACTCTCTTCATTAGAGTCATTTAAAAACTAAGTCAATATCAAAAATATCACAATAATCCATCAATTTAATAAAATAATCACTTCCTATTAAAATTTTTAAGAAACATTTATTCATTTTTGAGAGTGAGAGACAGAGCGTGAGCAGAGAAGGGGCAGAAAGAGAGGGAGGCACAGGGGCCTGGGTGGCTTAGTCGGTTAAGTGTCGGACTTTCGCTTAGGTCATGATCTCGCGGTTGGTGGGTTCGAGCCCCGCGTCGGGCTCTGTGCTGACTGCCAGCTCAGAGCCTGGAGCCTGTTTCAGAGTCTGTGTCTCCCTCTCTCTCTGACCCTCCCCTGCTCACGCTGTCTCTCTCTCCTAGAATTAAATTAAAAAAAAAAAAAAAAAAAAGAAAGAGAGGGAGGCACAAAATCTGAAGCAGGCAACAGGCACAGAGCCCAACACGAGGCTCGAACCCATGGAACATGAGATCATGACCTGAGCTGAAGTTGGATGCTTAACCGACTGAGCCCTTCTGGTGCCCCAATAATAACAGTTTTTAATGTCTGCATTTCTTCTCGTTTCTAACGCTCACAATTTTTATTAGGTTACAATGACTGTATATGTAATGTTTTATGTTCCTTTTCCAATATGTCATAAGTATTTCCTAGGTCATGACATAGGCATTTAACTCATTTAAATGGCTGCTCAAGATTTTAAACAAACGGACACAGTGTAATTTGATTAATTATTCCTCGATAGGTGGAAATTTAGGCGTTTTACATTTTTCACCAGTATAAATGATGTTGAACACTTTCTGTGCATATTTTTCCTTTTTTGAAGGGCTATCTACATAAGATAAACATGTAAGAGGAGGCACTGCTGAGTGAAGAAACAAGATGATTATTCTAGTTCTTGAAATTTTCTGAAAGCTTTCCAAAAGGGTATGTAAGCCATGATCTGCATATGAATGTGATAGCTTTGGGCTCTTATCTTTATCTTACTAAATTTTTCTAATTTAATAAATACATAATGTTACATAATGTTTATTTTGAATGCCTGATAATTGAAGTTGTGATCTTTTCATGTTGATTTGCTAATTATAAGTTTTCTTTTTGGTGAACTGTGTTCTTTGTCCATTCCTGTACTTGAGCCTTAATTGTATAAATCCATTTGTATGCATTTTGTACACATAAAGAAACCAATCAGTTGTTAGTATCAATTATATATAAATATAAAATATTTCTCTAAGGATAAGTTTTCTTAATATTTCCAGAGTCATGGAATGAAAATCTACCAAAAGGCCACATCAATTTTTCTTCCTTTTCATAATCTTTTCACAGCTGTAATAGCTTTGCCACTTTTGAACATTTGCTTTCGCAGAAAATGTCAAAATCTCCGACCATTTAGTAGTCTCACATAATACTTGACATTTTCTCTTCTCAAATAAAATTTCTCCTCTTCACTTGCCTAACTCAATTTCCCACCAAGAAAGAAACCTCAAAGAAATGATAACTTTTCTTCCTCTCCTATGTGCACCGGTTGGAGAATGCCAGAACGTAAGCTTTACCAAAGGGACTGAGAGAATTAGCAGTCTTAACTGTAAGTTAACTACATGAATATCTTTTCACATTTTTCAGAAAGTGGTATTTTGCAAAGGCCACATCATACGAACTGTGACACACGAGCACACCTTTCTGTTCAGTGTTCCGTGTATCCGGTGCCATTGGCGGTTCATCTCTCCCAGGTGCTCTGCAAACTCTGTTCTCTCGTAGCGCTTACTCTCTACATCGCAGGTGCTTAACTGAAGTAAGGACTGGTTAACAAAGTCTACTATCCACTGTTTGTAGTCCAGCTCCATTCTGAACTCCTACAACAAACAGACAAAATTAAACTCCCGAAGCCTGAACGGAAGTAGGTTGAACCAGATCCTGGCATTCGTTAATCAAGGGCCACCTGTCTAGAGTTGTATTCCATCCTCCCCACCAGTCCCACCAAATGTCTGTTTGAGTAGAGTCTTTTGGAGAATTCCACATCTCTAGGAATAGACACTCGCCGCTTTCAAGCAGACCGAAAAGTCAAAGGCGGCTTCGTGTATCGTGGCTGCATCATCTGAACCAAAATCAGGACCCAGGGACTGGCAAATGGTTCCCGTGAGCAGCTTCCAAAGAGCCACATTGGAATTCAGAGCCACCCTGCAGGCTCACGGAAGTGAGAGGATGGGAAGTCTCAAGTTAAGACTCCGCCAGAAAACCCAGGACATTACAGAACTTTGCCAGCTTGGGTAGCTTCTCTGTTCCTCCGGACTTTAAATTCTATAGCAATCCTAAAAATACCCAGGGCCAAGCAGGTTTTCGTCAAGCCTGATACTTAATAAGCTTATCCTGGCAAGTCCTAACACCCCTCTGGAGGCATCAGGGGAAAACTATGTGGTATATGCTAGGTTACTATTGCCTATAAGAATACATACATGTGGACCCTCCAAAGATTCGACTACTCACTGAAGTTAGGATGTGCTAGTATATAAAAATATAACCCCTGCTAACCTCATGACAAATCAAAGTATTTGTCCTCTGCCTACCAGAAGTTACATCCATCAGCCTGTGAGGTCTTTGAAAGCAATGACCAGAGTCTTCCTTTATCTCCTTGTTCCTAGCGGTGAACACATTGCCTGGCACACAATAAATGTTTGTGTGTGGCTTATTACCAGTTAGTTAAATCTACTTGAAATCAAATATCACAGAGAAGGCCACATTCATATCCATTTGGAGAAAGGTATCAACTCTTCCTTACACATTCTCTTATGCAAAGAACATTTACTTAACGTCTGTTAGATGCCAGGTATTGGGCTAGGTGTGCTATTTCAGGGAGGTGAAGGATAGCCCATGCTCTCAAGAAGCTACGTCAAGGTGAGGAGACAGGCAAGTAAGTAAACAATTATCTCACCCTGGAGACACCTAATCCCGGAAACCAAACTCAACTGGCCGGGAGAGTCAGGGGTAGATTTCCAAATCAGGAGATACTTGAGCAGAGTTTTGAAAGATGAACTAAGAGCATTTCTACAGCTCCAAGTGGGGCACTAGAATTCCAGGCTGAAGGTGTAGCATCGTACAAAAGCAGAAGTGGGGAGAACATCAGATGCAGTGGGTTCGTTTGGTTTAGGCAGAGTCGATGATCTATACTGGGGAATGAAAAGATGAGGCTGGCGATGTAAAGAGGGGCCAGGGCCCATTAAAAGCTTGGATTCTGTCCTGTGGGGATAGGAGCTACCAAAGGAAATGAGGCAGGAAAGATCAAGTATACTAACATCTGTCTAGAATCATCCATCACCCCATTCCCCATGCTTCAAATTAGTTCTTCTAAATCACATCATACATGTCTCTTTGTTCAGCATTTCCCTTCCGGCTGACTTGCCTTCTTATTTAATGAAAAAGCTGTGGCTCTTTTTGCATAATTACCTTGTACTTGTGAAGAAGGTTTTTAACTTGAGACGCAGAACTCAGAGAATGCTCAGAGTCTTCCTCTGCAGTTTGATGTTCCACATTGTTCATCCAGCTAATCATTTCGGTGATTGCTTTACGAGACGGCAATTTCTCCATCTGGAGCTGAAAGGACAAAATGATTTCCATTTAATTACCTGTAGTTGACAAAATGAATCAGGGCATCACTAAAGATGATATCTAGTTTGATAAAAGGTCTTGCTACATAATTATGCAGGTTGCTCACAAAAACAAACCCAGGATTCAAGCCTAGAATAAGTGACCCCAAAACAATGACAATGACCTTCACATAAAGTAACACACTGATGCAGATAAACTGCGAAATAAAGTAATTAAGCCCGATTTCTCTGTTAAGAAAGATCCCACTGGAGGAGAGTCCAGTAATTAAGACCTATACTCAATGGTGCCAGAGAAAAATAGGTAGTGTCAATGAAAATTATTGAGTCAGAGAAATAATTTTAAAGGAGTTGTGAGCTAACAAGTGAATGCTAATTTAAATGCTGCGTCTTTAAATACCTACCTGGTGAAGTTTTTCTTGAATATCAGGAAGTTGTGTTACTAGCATTGTCCACTTTTGTTCAAACTGCGCTAAAGAAGCTCTCAGTGTGGCCGTATCCGCTTCTTTTAGGTGGAGAAGCTGGTTCCCAGTACTTATCACTGTAGTCTTCAAGGATGACTTGTCATCTAGTTCCTTTGAAAACTCCTAGAGGAAGCAGTGTAGGAAAAGTTAGAAACGTTAAAAGTTTGAAAACAGCAAAGAGTAACTAAGAGTCAGAGTAACTGGTTAGAGTCCAAAACTAAGTAGATGAACTCAATTCAAACTGCTAATGTTTGCATGGGTATCTATGTGTGTGTGCACGCGCATGGACACACTCAACAGCACATGTGTGGAAGAACACACACGTGCACGGGGGAGAGGCAAAGAGAAAGTAGAGAGAGAGAGAATCCCAAACAGGCTCTATGCTGTCAGCACGGAGCCTGATGTGGGGCTTAAACTCGCAAATCGGGAGATCATCACCTGAGCTGAAATCAAGAGCTGGATGTTTAACGGACTAAGCCACCCAGGTGCCCCTATTGTAGATACAGAAATGACCACTATAGGGGCACCTGGGTGGCTTAGTCGGTTAAGCGTCCGACTTTCGCTTAGGTCATGATCTCGCGGTTCGTGGGTTCGAGCCCCACGTCGGGCTCTGTGCTGACCGCCAGCTCAGAGCCTGGAGCCTATTTCAGAGCCTGTGACTCCCTCTCTCTCTGACCCTCCCCTCCTCACGCTGTCTCTCTCTCTCTCTCCTAGAAATAAATAAAAATATTAAAAAAGAAAAAAAAAAAGAAATGACCACTATAAACAAATAGCTCTAAGTTTGAAGAATAGTATTACCCTAAGTTTCATCCTTATCCACAAATGATTAGAGGGACTATCATATCGACCTTGGTCATTTCCCCCCAATACTTATTTCTGGCAATAATTATCTGAGCATATTCTATTACAACTTACAAAAAATTTGTTTATGTTGCTTCTGATTGTATCCAAGTCCTGAGACACATTGAGGGATTGTTCTTTCCAGTAATTGAGAGTTTGCTGAGACGATTCCAACCACTTGGTTAACTGATCCGAATCTCTGTTATAACTAATAGGAATGAAGTGAGAGAGAAAGAAAATTAGTAATGTACTCTACAGATGACATGCATCATCAGCATATTTTTTTCCCATTTTATTTTATGTTTTCCTGTGTTGATCAGCTCTATTATTCAAAAAATCATGATGTTTTAAGAATCATACCCTGTTCTATCTCATGCCCCAAGTCTGACTACTCTAGCACAAATGAGCATTGTATTTTATTTTTTTAATGTTTATTTTTGAGAGAGGGAGACAGAGTATGAGCAGAGGAGGGCAGAGAGAGAGGGAGGCACAGAATCCAAAGCAGGCTCCAGGCTCTGAGCTGTCAGCACAGAGCCCGATATGGGACTCAAACTCATGAACTGCAAGATCATGACCTGAGCTGAAGTCAGAGGCTTAACCAACTGAGCAACCCAGGTGCCCCCAACTGAGCATTTTAAAGTTGAAAACTTTACTTATTACAGCTACATAAAAATAAACCCATGGGTAAGGACAGTGATTATTTTTATTCATTAAATGTTGTTGACAGATTTGTTTATAGTAAAAATATAATCAGCATTTGTATGTTGTATAACAGCACACTTTTATTGACTACATGCCAACATATTTATGGGAGGTGAAGGAAAATACTGAAGCAGAATGCTACCCCTCTTGTAACTTGTACACTTCTTTAAGACAGATCCCTAAGAGGCATAGATGAGATTCAAATGTTCTATGTTCTCAACCTTATTCAAGGGGTTCAAGATTAGATCCACTAAACAAACAAAATTCTCTGAAGACTTTTTCAAACTATTCTGTGAGCTAAAATGTTTAGGAAGATAGTAGGAAAAAGCAACATCATGGTATAAAGGTGACATGTATAATTTTATAAAATCATTCCTACTTTTCATCGAACTGACAACATGCTATCCTGAGTCTAGCAAACCAACCTCAGAGATCCTAGATCCCATGTAGCCCAGAGGAGGGACCCATGTGCTTAAATTGTTGGAGACACACGCCTTACAAGAGAGACCGCATGTAACATCTGTTTGACCGCAGGATCCCTCAGAGGTTTTTATCCACATGAAAATCTGACCTCAATCCATCCCTAAGAACACATACCTGAGCAGATGCTTGAGAAGCGTTTGTAGTCTGTGTAGTTCATGGTCAATTTTTTTGTTTAAGGCCAACCACTGCTCTTCTAGTTTTGCAATCTGGCCCTCTAGTTCAGGACAGCTCACGGACGCCACCAACTCTTTGCCTTCATTCAGAGTCTGGTAAAGCCGGGCATGCTTGTCATCAATGTTTCTTTTTATTTGCTACAAAAAGTCAAGTCACAGAGAGAATTATTTAAGAATGAAGCCAGTCCATCTATTGACAAATACTTCATTAAAAACCTATAGTAGAGGGGTGCTTGGGTGGCTCAGTCGGTTAAGCTTTTGACTTCAGCTCAGGCCATGATCTCACAGTTCAAGAGTTCGAGCCCCGCGTCGGGCTCTGTGCTGACATCTCAGGGCCTGGAGCCTGCTTCAGATTCTGTGTCTCCCTCGCTTTCTGCTCCTACCCCACTCACACTGTCTGTCTCTCAAAAATAAATAAAGGTTAATAAAATAAAACAGAAAAACAAAAAACAAAAACCTATAGTAGAGGCTACTGAAGAAACAATAACACTGTCCTAACCCTCAATACTCTTGCAGTCTGGCTGAAGAAACAGGATTTGTGTTTTATTGATCACCTTTCACGATGAGAATGTCCAACTAATGCATTTCTACGGCATATTTCTGCAGTTCTATAGACTTACACATACAAACAGAAAACAAAATTTCAGGGCTTTAGACTTGCGAATTGTCCATCTACAAGTATAGAAACAAGCTAGCAGGTTATGGGGCACATTCAGCTTGTGGACAGGTTTTGTGTGACCTAAAGATTATTTTGAAAATCAGGAAATTTTACATAGACATCACGATTTCCTGTGACTCTGCGAAAACTGGTAATCTAGCAACCTGGGTCTACATCCTGACGTGGCACAGATGGGCGGGAATTGGGCAGCCGGGCCGCCTTTAGAAGGGCTTGATCTCTTTGTCACTCTTCCACGACAGTCCCCACCACCCTCCAACCACAGACCCAGCCAGTGTCCATATTTCTGCCCTCTCGTCTAGCCCATTAGAACTTAACACTGCAAATAGGTTTGAAGGAGATAAGAAAACATTTATCATCCCTTAGACCCAAAGAGTAGGGAAAAACTCATTTTTAGAGTCTTCTAAACGGAAAGATTCAACAGGGAGAAAGGAAGGGGACTTTAGAAACATACAACAGTACATCACTAATCCAACTTCATGAAAAGAAAAGAAAATCTTCAGAACAGCAATACAATGACCCCCTGAAGAGAACTCTCTCTAAAGGCAATTACCTTCCACCACTGGGTTCAGCTAATGACACTTATCATGACAGCAACTGAAATTTAATCTTAAAAAGTAAATTATTATCAACATATAATTTTTCCAATTAACTTAAGCCTTTTCAAAATTACTAAAGAATTCTACTCCCAATGCCCTTTCCGCTGCTCTCATTGGTAATCCCGTCTTCTCATCTGAGCCTGCAGGCAAAAATAAAATGCCCAATATTTGTTAAAAAAAAAAGAAAAAAAACCAACCAAATAGTTCTAGGGACACCTGAGTGGCTCAGTCAGTTAAGCATCGGATTCTTGATTTCTGCTCAGGTCATGATCTCACGGTTCGGGAATTCAAGCCCTACATCGGGCTCTGCACTGACAGGGGGGAGCCTGCTTGGAATAGTTAATCTCTCTCTGCACCTCCCCCACTTGTACTATTTGTCTCAAAATAAATAAACTTAAGAAAAAAGTTCTGGGGTGCCTGGGTAGCTCAGTCGGTTGAGCGTTCAACTTTGGCTCAGGTTATGATCTCATGGTTTGTGGGTTTGAGCCCCATGTTGGGCTCTGTGCTGACAGCTCAGTGCCTGAAGCCTGCTTTGGATTCTGTGTCTCCCTCTCTCTCTGCTCCTCTCTCACTCATGCTCTGTCTCTTTCTCAAAAATAAATAAACATTAAAAAAGGTTCTAATTTTCTAAGTCTTCAGTGTAAGACCAAGATACTTCACCTTGAGATTATCCCTGAGAAGTTTTAATTACCCCATTTTATACACAGGAGTCAGAATGCAATGGTCACTCAGCACATAAGGTGCCGAGTTGGCATTTAAATGAGTTTTGTTCAACTGCAGAGGCCACACACAATGTTCCATGGTCCACAGACGTCCACTAATCAAAACACACACAAATTTCTCCATGACGCAGAATACTGAGAACAACCTGAAGAAGTCTATAAATGAGATAGGCTTTACAAGGTATTTCTTTTTTTTTCTTTTTTTTTTTCTGAGAGAGAGAGAGAGAGAGAGACACCGACACTGTGTGTGTGTGTGTGTGTGTGTGTGTGTTTGTGTGTGTGTGTGTGTGTGTGTTTTTGCAAGCCAGGAAGGGCAGCAGAGGGAGACAGAGGATCCCAAGAGGCTTGATCCCACAACCCCGGATCATGACCTGAGCTGTGAAAATCAAGAGTCAGATGCTTAACCAACTGAGCCACCCAGGCACCCCATACGTCTCTCTTTTAGTCTGGTAAATTTATTTAAAAGTCTTAGAACAATTATTTCATTTTTAAAAAGATCTCAAACTTAACAGAATCACAGGTCGCACTTGAAGGGACAGGATCCCTTGTGGGGAAATAATCAGACCTCTGTCAGGTGGGTCCATATGAACAGTTCCCTAACATAATGAGGTTAAAATGCTGTTTCAACCGCATTCTATTAGTTGTTCAAGTGGTACTTCTACATCCCTTGGCTCACAAAGAATTAAGCAGCAGCTTCCCACTCCCAGAGGATTCAGATTTTTCTCAGAGTGATGCTCAATAGGACAAGATGGCCTAGAGATCGATTGTACCTTTCTAGGCGTCTAGACACTGTAGAGTGTCCTTGTCCTTGGAAAATATTCCTTATAGGAGCCTAAATGCTTGTGAGGAATGCCAAGGTCTGGACAAGTATTTCATGTTCCATCCGGTCTATTCAGGCAACAAACCTACTTTTGAGGTTTTGAAGTTGACATTTGATAACCACCTCCAGCGTCACCATTCAGGGGCTGACTATATACATTTGAAAGTTAAAACTAAATATTTTAAGTTTCTGTTGAGAAACCTAAAACTCGTTATCTTGCTGGTCATGATCTCAATGCCACTCGAAAACCATTCTAGAGTTCTAGATTTTCTATGGCATCGAAGTTTGGGACACAGAGACTTGGATGAGAACACTACTAACAGTTACACAAGAAAAATTTTGTTTAGAGTCTTTAAAAAATTTTTAATGTTTATTTATTTTTGAGAGAGAGAGAGAGACCAAGTGTGAGCATGGGAGGGGCAGAGAGAGAGAGAGGGAGACACAGAATCCGAAGCAGGCTCCAGGCTGTGAGCTGTCAGCACAGAGCCTGACGTGGGGCTTGAACCCAAGAACCATGAGATCATGACCTGTGCCGAAGTCAGAAGCTTAACTGACTGAGCCACCGAGGTGCCCCTGTTTGGAGTCTTTTTATAATTCTGGTGGCAAGTGACAGATTATTGCCTGTCTCACAGGCTATGTCCAAACAGGGTTGCACTGAAGTAAGAAAACCAAATATAGGTTTAGTGGCCCATAGTTTACAACGTTCTGTACTTTAGCTCATTTCTATACCCACTGACATCCACTGCCTGAGATGGGTAGAAGAACTAGCTTGATTCCCTACAATATACAAAGAAACTGAGACTTAGAGACAAAAAGTTGACATGAGTGACAGGTGAAAGCCAGGACTCAAACCCAGGACCTCAGCCCCAAGCCCCAAGTATGCTGAGTGGCTCAAAATCAAACCTACATTTTCCCTGAATATCAGTCTAATAGCGAATGGGGTGATGAACAATATTTCAAATTCAAACCATTCACTTTCAAAATCAAGTGATTTAGTCCAAACAAAAGAAAACGCAAAGTGCTCTGGACTGTGCCTCTGATGGATTCAATGGGAGCAAAATACCTGGTAAAATGAAATCCTTTCCACTAATCTTTCCTCAGTCTCTTCCACCAAACTCACGGAGGGCAACGTAGATACAAGCATTTCCAGATCCTTTTCAAGAGATGCATAGTTTTCATCAAATGCTTCCCATTTCTGGAGAATCAAGAACATAAAATCAGTGGGAGCCCTTTTCTAGATTAGTTCCAGACAATGACAAAACTGATCATACGTAATACAACCGAACCGAGACCATAGACCAATTCAAGCATAGATTCCAGGGGTTTCTGAGAGATAGAATCTACCCTCGTTAAAACTCAGGGTTCAGCGGGAAAATAATTCCATTGCCTTTGCCAACTAAATCCAGTTGGCATTAGTGTTTTATGCTGGTCTCATCAAATCGAGTAGGGACTATGATTAAGTGAGAGGGATACACCTCTCAGTATGCACCTCTGTGGAGGCCTCGGAGCTGGAAGAGAGCTGTTCTCCCACTTGGAAAGGAACGGACTAACTTTTAAAGGTTTTCTCAACAGAGGCTCCCAGTAGGTGGCTTCTGCCCTCTCTGCTCCAACCCCTACCCCACTGAACATTAACCTATTGTGCTGCTAGAAGCCTAATTCCACTGTTAGAAGAATGTGGGCCTACACTTCATCAGGAGAGTACTATTTCCTTAGCCTGAGTCTTGCCTTGCCCTTTTTATTTCTATCAAAGCCCACCACAGAACCTCAGCGTACTGCAGAGCTGACGTATAAACACTAAAACTTACCCGTTGGAAAAATAACCACTTTATTAATTCTCTTATCTACTGAAGTAGTGGGTCACCTGGCTATGAGGGGCCCTCTTGGGGCTCAGAGGGGCTCATTTTGTAAATACCATGAAATATTACTAGAAATATCAGTTTGACAAGCTAACCAGAAAATTAATTTCATTAGCCTAACATAACATTATCACATTATAAAAGTTGAATATTTCTTTGCTTTTTGGCTATTTCCTTTAAGTGCTAACATCCACTGTGTTTAAGAAGTTAAAGGTAAAAACGTTAAAACGAAGAAAAAACTTTATGCAAACTGAATTTTCTTCTTTCAATGGAGAGAAGACTACCAGGAGTCCACTTTAGCAATGGAACATCAGACCTGCTCTCTTTCTGAAGTACAGCTTCTGGATCACTGTTTCATTCAAATGACCTCATGCAGATCTCAAAGCGGTTTCAATTTTGTTTCTTTGCACACAAACCTACAAGGTGGAAAGATGTGCCATTCCCGCATGCAGAATCTCAGCAAATATTGCATTCAGGGAGTAGCAGTCAGGGCTAGAACAGGGTTCCACACTCCTCAGTGTTCGTTCCCATATAACTACCACTTAAGGATAACTATACACTTCAGGACACGTGGGGCTGGTGGTAAGAAGTCTGGAATTCCAGGCTTACATACAAAGTTCACGTAACTCAAATACCTGCAATAAAGTCTGCAACTTTATTCCACGTTGGTGTGATTTTTCTTCCAGTAATTTGACTTCTTTTATTTGCTCTGCCCAAAATGTCTCTTTCTTTTGCAGTGAAGAAGGAAGCATTCTGTTGGAGTATGTTTGGATCAACAGCATGTCAGCAACAAGCTTCTGGAAAAAAAGCTGTAAAATGGACAAGGTTTCGGTATTTATTTGTACATCACGAAAACTTAAAAACCAAGTTACTTCAACTTTTTCTACAGGTATATTTGCTTTTAAATCCCAGGACAGCCCCGCAGAGTCACACAAAAGAGGAAAGAAAAAGAAAACTGACTGGTACCCAATTAGTCTTTAACACGAATGGCATTTTAACAGATCATAAAGAACAATCCTAAGTAACCTTTTCCATAAAACAGTCCATATTAAAGGGCAAACATTATTAGCCAATTTCAACTTCCAGTGAGATCTTCCTAAATCAGTTACTCTAAGTTTTAGGAAACTGTCCGAAAAGGTAGATACTGACATGGCTGATTAATTTCAAGACACTAAATTAGATGTATATACACGTGTGAGCCCAAGAAGCCCACATGTAGAACAGCCATGGATTCATACACTTTGGCTTGATTTTCTACTCAATTACATGGCTAAATATAGGGAATTTGTTGACAGGGTCTACTGGGAGCCTGGTATGTAAAAGCTTCTAAAAAGACATTTTAAGAACCTTTACACAGGAAGGCTTTACTTCACATGGTTCTCCTGCATTTGTATAGTTAGCTGCCCCTTCTAATTGGAGGAACTTTAAAAAAAATTTTTAACATTTATTTTGAGAGACAGAGTACAAGTGGGGGAGGGGCAGAAAGAGAAGACACAGAATCTGAAGAAGGCTCCAGGGTCCGAGCAAGCGTTCTGCACACAGTCTGATGCAGGGCTTGAACCCATGAACTGTGAGATCATGATCTGAGCCAAAGTTGGTCGGTTAACCGGCTGAGCCACCCAGGTGGCCCCTCTTTGGAGGAACTTCTTCCCTGAATCCCTTCTCCTATTCCCTTGAAAAGGATATATGGAAGGTTTATAAAAGCATCTAGCACAAATCCTGACACACTGTAGATATCTATATTATTATTTTCTCCTTTCCCCCTCTCCATTCCTTATATAATATTTACCTTTGAATTTCATTGAATAAGGGTTACTGATCACAGGCTTAGACTTCAGCTTGTTGGAGGTAGGAATGGTCTTTCACATTTTTTTTTTTTTTACATCAGTACTTAAATTACTACATGTGTCTAGGTGGTGAGGCTGCTGTTTAATAAAATGAAGGGACAACTAAAAGATTTATTGTAGCACTACACTAGATATACATTTAAATATTCAAGTATAGATATCTTTGTGGCCTCAGTTCCCAGGAAAGCCTTCCCTAAACTCCTGAATTCAATTTCCCTTCTTAAATGCTCTGAAAGCATGTATCTCAATTTTAGTTTTAAATTTGTTTGAATGACTTGTTCATAAACATCTCTTTCAACTGAAATCTCCATGAACGTAAGGAACTATATCTATTTTTACTCACAATCATATTTTTGGAGGTCACAGGAGTTCCTGGTATACTGTGAGACCTCTAATAGATGTTTGTCCAAAAAATGACTGAATGAATCAACAATGTATATTTCAATGTACATTTCACCAAGGGAGAAGGATGCTCTATGTTGAAGTCAGAAAGACTTAAAGCCTATGAAAAAGTGATGTGACGCATGCATCTTACCTTGTGACTTTGTATTTGAGCCTGTAAGGCATCTTTACTTTTAGCTTGTTTTAAGTGGTCGTCAGCAAGTTTTTCCTTTCCAATATCCACTAGTTCCACCGTGCCTTGCAATAAGGCATCTTGCTGGCTCTCAGTGATGAAAGGGCTGCTGAGTTCTGTGTACCGGGCTCTCAGGATTCCCCACATAGTGTCAAGTACATCCTGAAGAGAAAGAGCACTTTCATCCAACCATGAAAATAACCTGGATGGAGAACAAGTCTAAACTCTCTTTGGAGAACAAACCTAAACTCTCTTTCTGGAAGAAGAAGAAAGTCTTACTCCTTACAATCATAGTAATTCACTGACTGAATGTTCTCTGCTCGCACATACCTCTAATTTGTAAACCTCTTGCAATAACACATAAGGTAAACGAAGCCTCTCCCCTTCGTCTCTTAGTTTTGCCACTCGGCTCTCAGAGTTCTGCAGCTCCGCTGTATACGCATCTGCTTTCTACAGTGAGAGACAACGCCAAAAAGCAAATCCTTTTATGAGTCAGAGAAGTGCACATATTCATTGTAAAAGAATGAAACCGTACAGAAAAAATAAGGGAAAAATGAAAGTCCCATTTCTCCCTCACCTCCAGCTTCTCCCAGAAAATTTGTCCCCAACACGTTTGAAGCACGTAACAATAGAGGTATACGTGCACATCCTTAAACTTAATGAACGCACACATCACTCTGTTCCGCAGTCTGCATCCTTATCAACCAGCTTCTCAGCTGTTCTTCAGATCTGTACAGTCATGTGACTCCTCTTAAATGGACATATAGTATGCCAGGCCACACACTGCTTTTCTAAGAGTCCGCTCTTAATGGCTTTTAGGCTATTGAAGGGTTTTTAGTTCAACCAGTGCTTCTGTATCCATCCTTGAGTATTTATATACATGTTTCTCTATGCCCTTGTCTTACTTGCCTGGGATAAGTGCAAGTCCAACATCAATAGCACTATCTGACCACAGAAGGCCCTCCATTCATATTTGCTGAATAAATGAATGAAGTGAAGCTACTGTGGGTAGAAGAGCATTCACACGTAAAATTCTCATTTATTGCCCAACAGTCCTGAGAAGTTGGATAAATCTCCACTCTTCCCGAGAGAATGGGGATCTTATTTCCCAACACCCTCACTGACCCTGCACAAACTTCTATTTTTGCTCGGTTGATGGGTGACAGTGGTGTTGTGATGGTTTAATTTACTCTTCATAAGGTACTACTTACGAGATACTTTTAAAGGTCAACATAAAGAGTTCTCATTTCTATCTATCTACTTGAGCCTTGCCACTGCTCCCAAAGGGAAGTGCTTCAGAAACACAGCTTCTGCCCAGAACTCTCTGGTCCAAGGTCAGATCAGTTTAATTATTTTGACTTGATTACCTGAAGCTGTTCATCAATACTCTGGCCACTGATTTCATTCAAAGACTGTTGTAAAGATGTTTTATTCTTAGTAAGTTGATCATACAATCGCTTTATTTCATTCTGTTACGAGAAGATAAATGCAAGAATCAGTAAGAATCTCATGCAGGCCCTTTGATACCTTAAAAAAAAAGTTTAGTCGTCCTTTAATTTTTAAGCTAACGGAAGTTCCAAACATATACCAAAATAGAGGAATCACCTAGCTTTAACGATTATTGACTCATGACTGGTTGTCTCTGCTATATCCCCTCCCCTGAGCTTTCCTGACTATACTTAATCCTCTTCCCCTCAGATTATTTTGAAACAAATCATGGATATTTCATCAGGGTAAGTTTCAGTATGTGTCTTTAAAAGGTAAAGATTCCTCCCTTTAAGAATACTGCAAAATTGGGGTGCCTGGGTGGCTCAGTCGGTTAAGCATCCGATTTTGGCTCAGGTCATGATCTCATGGTTCAGGAGTTCAAACTCCACACTGGCCTCTCTTCTGACAGCTTAGAGCCTGGAGCCTATTTCAGATTCTGTGTCTCCCTTGCTCTCTGCCCCTCCCCTGCTCGCTCTCTCAAAACTAAACATTAAAAGGGGTGCCTGGGTGGCTTAGTCGGTTGGGCGTCCGACTTTCGCTTGGGTCATGATCTCGCGGTTCGTGGGTTCGAGCCCCGCGTCGGGCTCTGTGCTGACTGCCAGCTCAGAGCCTGGAGCCTGTTTCAGTCTGTCACTCCCTCTCTCTCTGACCCTCCCCTGCTCATGCTGTCTCTCTCTCTCTCTCCTAGAAATAAATAAAACATAAAAAAAAAAAATGTTTAAAAAAAAAACAAAAAACTAAACATTAAAAAAATTTTTTCTAATATTACAAATCAACAATTCCTTAGTATCATTAGCTTTCAGAAAGGGTTCACATTTCTCTAATTGCCTATAATTTTTCTTTTTGGTTTGTTGTAAGCAGAATCTAAATGAGGTTCAATAGGTTGCAATGGACTAACACACGTGTTAAGTCTCCTGTAATCTGCAGACTCCCCAACCATCTCTCTTTTTGGTTTCTGGGATTTTGGGTGGGAGGGTGAAAATATAGGTCTTTTATTCTGTACAGCTTCCTATTGTCTGGATTTGGCTGACCATCCTCCCACAGAGCTGCAATGTTCTTCTTCTCTTGTGTCTATTTTACTTGTTCAGATTGAGGCTTGATTTTATGGGCAAGACTCCTTCCTAAGTAGTTTTGTGTTTCATTTCTTTTTCTCTAGTTAGGAAGCTACTACAATTGTCTGGTCTGCCTCAAGTCTCTCTTGTAATCCACAGTAGTTAATGGCCAGGTGAATCTACCTAAAACAGACACAGACTGTCCTTCTTTCACTCAAAAACTTTCATGGCTCCCTGTTACCTAGAAATCTTCCCCTAGGACAATCATTAATAGCTAAAGGTAACACAGGAAAGAAACAATTTGTTAGCTACATCTGACAAATTAATACTGCAACTTTGGGAAGGACCTCGCTTCCAAATGGTCTCCAACTTACAGGCAGCAGAACTAACCAAAAGACCTTCACAGGAGGAACGTCTCACCACTTTTCTTCGCAATTTCTAATCATGAATACCGCCAAGAAGAGGAACAAATGGAAATTAACATGAAACAGTGCCAAAGTAGGCGGAGCACCTAGCCCTGTACCTGATAACTGCGGGTATAGTCGAGGCCAGCTTTTAGGGACTTGCTTCTAGAGGCAGCTGCGGCCTGCGCGTGCTCCAGGTAGACTTGGAGTCTATCAAAACATTCAGGGAACAGGTTGGTGCTCTTGCCAGGGCATGTCATGACTTTCAAAAGACCATCCTTCTTGTCGCCCATAGCTAAGTAAAGTTTTTTCAACTCAAGAGCCAGTGTCTGCAAAAAGATGAGAAAAAAAGACACAGTGAATGGGCTCTGTTCTGGCTTAAACAGTGGGCTGCCTACAGCAATGGCTGACACACAGGCTTACTGGAAATTCCTTACCTCGCAGTGGACCTGCTGAGCACAGACATCCTCTCTGAAGAGCCCCGGGGTCTGCAGCATCTCCTCCACGCTGCCAAGGCACTGAGTGAGGGCCAGAAATAGTTCAAATAATTTTTTATCCAAATTTATGTACGTTTCTTCTGTCAGGTTTTCCTTAATCCAGAGGAAAAAAGAAATAAAGAATATTAGGATTCCTTGTCTTCTTAAGCCTCCGTTTTTCCCGGTCTGTTATGGTTGTTATAATTTATGTTATACTTTTTAATAATTGGTTGTTTTCAACACTTTGCAAATTAGGTAGAAGAATAAATAAGTAAGATGTTCACGCTGAGAAAAACAAGTTTAAGAAACTCAATGCTTGGTAGTGAGTGACTATTGCAAGGGCATTGAAGGGTAAATCACAAGATGAAGGACTTCCCGAACAGGGCCATCCATTTGGAAGTGTAGTCCCAAGCAAAGCATACGATCCTTCTTCCCACTGCTCCCTGCCTCCCACATTTTAATGCAGGAGAAAGTGGGTTAATGAAGCCAGGAAAGCCTGGAGAAGCAAAAGAAGTCAAGACATTTGACAGGGTTGACTGGAAAGAGGTACAGTATCTTAAAGATAGGGATGGTAGGCATGACATGGTAACTCTAGGTAATAAAACTGTAATATATAGTTGAAAGTTGTCAAGAGAGTAGATATTAAAAGTCCTCATCACAAGAAAAACATTTTTATACCTAAGGTGGTGATGGATGTTAGACTTACTGTGGTGATCATTTCACAATATATACAAATATTGAATCATTATGGTGTACACCTGAAACTAGTAAAATGTTACAGGTCAGTTATAGCTTACTAAAAAAAGATAGGGATGGGTGGTGAGTGGGGGGCGGGGTGAATTAGAAGTATTATATACGGGCTGATTGTGAGAATTAAGGCCACCCTTAGATATACTATTTCAAGGGAGACACCTAGGGTTGTGCAATTGTACCCTGGTGAGTGTGGGAGCCACAGGTCTTCTTAGATTTTAGCATAAGCTGTTGGAACGACCTCTTTTTCTTTACCCATGATCACCCTGAATTCCTGACCAGTTGCAAGGTATTTAGAAGCATGCCAAAGCTAGTAATCACCCCAATTTGGGTTCTATTTCCTACGGTCTTCTCTGGTTGATTACCCAGCACACCGTTTCAGCATTAAGCTTAGTCAAGGTTGGAAATCTTGTCAATACTCCCCTCCTTCCTTACCCTTCCAATCATAGAGCACCACGGCGGACAGTGATCCTTGTTCCTGCTGATCTTGGACTTGGGTTCAACAATCTTTGTACACAGTGCTCTCAGCAACCACTACCACATTCATCAGAGTTGACAGGAGATAAATTCTACTTGCAACTCTAGGACCCATTCCACTATGTATTCTACCATTTTTTCAGTTAAAAAAATAATGACTAATTTACAACATCACATTTCCCTTTTGATACGCAGTAAGGAAAATGTGTCATGTAAAACTGCTACCTTATTTGCCTCTTGACGCAGGTCTTCAAGTTGTGTGGTATATGCTTTTAGTTCCTCAGTTGTTGGGTATCTAAAGTTATACACACTCACACTGGGTAGAATGCTCATATTTGTGGCAACCTAGAGGAAAAAGAGAAACCTTGTTACAACTTGAGATCCTTCTTCTGTTAATGTTAAACAGCAAAAATGTCTTCACGTGCTACCTTCCAAGTTACTTTCTTGGTAAGTGTTTTTGCCTACCTTGCCACTTGTAAGAAAAAAAATTAAATTTTAAATATTGTGGGCAGCTTTGAAAGGTCATGAAAAACTTTACTTAGACACTTGAGGGTCCACTGAGATAATACAATGAGGAAAAATAAACCATAACTTGAAAAACAGTAAAATCACTAATGTTTCAAGTTAGTAGCAGTGCCATTCACATTATAAGGTTAGCCGATTTCTCTTCCCCCTTATTGGTAGACCCCTGGTATAGAGCCAACTCTTAGAATAGTTACACCTCCAGGGACAGACTTGCCTCTTGATTTGTTAATGGAAATGTAAATAAATATTAAAAATGAGCTGTAACTTTATTTATTTTATTTTTTATGTTTTATTTATTTCTGAGAGAGAGACAGCATGAGCAGGGGAGGGTCAGAGAGAGAGGAAGATACAGAGAACGAAACAGGCTTCAGGCTCTGAGCCAGCTGTCAGCCCGACGCGGGGCTCGAACCCACAAACCGGGAGATCATGACCTGAGCCAGAGTCGGATGCTCAACCGACTGAGCCACCCAGGCGCCCCAAAAATGAGATGTAACTTTAGAAGACAGAAAAGATTTCCTTTCCAAATTGGAAAACTAACAAATATAAAGAAACAGAGAGAGGTGGTGTCAGATTCTGCTTGGGGAAAAGAACTGATGATGTTCTATGGCTGAAAAGAGAACACCATACGTGTTATGGTGTGTGTGACCAGGAGAATCCAAGACTAAAGCCATACCAATGAGTTTAATCCAACGTTAATAGGCCAAATAAGGTTCTTGGCAGAATAGGACTGGAAAGTTCCCACCAGGGGTGCCTGGGTGGCTTAGTCGGTTAAGCATCCGACTTTCGCTTAGGTCATGATCTCACGGTTCGTGGGTTCAAGCCCCGCGTCGGGCTCTGTGCTGACTGCCAGCTCAGAGCCTGGAGCCTGTTTCAGTCTGTGACTCTCTCTCTCTCTGACCCTTCCCTGCTCATGGTGTCTCTCTCTCTCTCTCTCCTAGAAATAAATAAAACATTAAAAAATTTAAAAAAATAAAATTAAAAAAAACATTAAAAAAAAAAAAAAAAGAAAAAAGAAAGAAAGTTCCCACCAGACTGGAGAACTGGGAAATGGGGGGTACATTTGCCCAGGCAGGTTGAGTGCAAAGTTGAAGGCGGAAGCTTGACTGTGCTAATCTGCTCTCGGGCTCCCTGTTTAGAGAGCAATCTGGCAGCTGCTGGTACAGTGTGAATAAAACCTGTGATGGCAACAAGAGCGCGTGTTCGTGGAACAGAGGTCCACTAGACAGGGCCTGGCACACTGTAGATTCCAAATCATCTTTTGATGAATGAATGACACTAATATAGCACTGTTTCATTTTTAAAGTGTGTGTTTTTTTAAACATATTATTCATTCCTTTATTCCTTCGACATACTGAAACTGAGACTTTCCCGTTTCGGGTACTGTGTCAGGCACTCAAATGCGAGCCAGGCACACATGGTCTTTCTTCCTTAACGGGGAATACGGACAAATAAACATATCCTCCGTATTGGAAGTTCTGTGATTAGGGAAGCTCCGAGTGCTACAGAAGCCCAAAGGAGTAGCACTTAACGCAGATTTCCCAGAGGGTGAAACAGAACAGCCAAATGAAAAACCCATTTGGCATCTTTGCTTTCTGAAAAGACACTACTACATAATGTGGAACGTCTATGTGCATTTCATGACTGCTTGTTGCATTTTCAAAGACAAACACATGTATTTATGATTTACGCCGCGTGCAGACACACACTGACCTGAGGTTGCACAAGCGAAGGTAGTGGTAGCCCGATCTTTGATGATAGTTCATGATGTAAATATTGCCACTTATCCCCACTTTGGCCCTGAGTTGACAAGACCGACTCTGGAGCATCATTTTCAGAGCTAGATGCCTTAATGCTTTTAAGGGAAAATAAAAGGTGAAAAGAATAATCAACATCTAATATTTATTACATTCAGTAAATGTTGTAGAAGTGATTTAAGAAGAAATGCTCTTAATTCTCCCAACATAGCTGAATGTCCAACTCTAAAAATGTTTTACCTCTCAGATTTCTGAGTTGTATCTTTATCAGGTTGGCAAAACTGGGGCCATATTTTCTCAGCATTAAATTCTATGAATTTGATGAAATCTTTCTGTTCCGTTGGTTTTAACTCCAGAACCTATAATTGAATGAGATTTGAATGGTCCAGTCAGTTTTCAATTAGTAGTCAATGGTTTCTTCTGCTGAGATCATCTCATTTTGAGCCACTTCCTAAATTATTATTTACTATTTCCCTTTCTCGCTTGTTCTCCTTAACTTTCATTTCTCAACAACCTACTTCAAGTAGTCACACAACGATCAAGGATATAGTACAATATGTGACACAAGTGGAAAATCCTCCAAAATATGCAAAACACATTTAGAAACAATAGGGGAAGAGAGGTTACAATTAGAGAGGTAAGTCACCCTGAAGGTATTTACTTAGTTTTGAATAAGATGCAATTTAATAAAATAGCAAAGTTAGAGCATCCCCACCTGCAGAAGGCATACTCACATACTCCAGTGGCAGTTGGTACTTAGCTCAAAGGGAAATTCCATACAGAAAGCTTTATTCTTATCTTTATGTCTGTTAAAGGCTGCAATTACCTGCTGCTGCTGGAAATCTTTTTGTCTGCTGAACTGTGGCCTTTCAGTCACAATAGGTTCAAATTCAGAAAGGTTATCCGGTTGGAGATCATTTTGATGCTCTGAAGGTTTCTTTAGAGTGGCAGCATGCTGCAAAACAGTTTATGATGGCAGACTATTTAAAAATTGACTCCCTTTATTTCAGGTCCACTAATGAGACCACGTAATGGAAAAGTTTTATACGAAGTGACTATATTTCGTTATTAATTCCAAGTATATACTGTAATTTAAGGTAGTTATTCTAAAACAAGCTCAAAAAACCATTACATTTGATGAAGTGGTTATTTTTTTAATGTTTACTTTTGAGAGACAGACTGAGGGGGAGCAGGAGAGGGGCAGAGGGAGACAGAATCTGAAGCAGCCTCCAGGCTCTGAGCTGTCAGCACAGAGCCTGATGCGGGGCTTGAACTCATGGGGTGTAAGATCATGACAAGAGCCAAAGTCAGATGCTTAACTGACTGAGCCACCCAGGCGCCCCTCAAGTGGTAATTTTATTTCCTCAACATAATTCATCCAATGACTTACTAAAAATTAGGAAATGTATTGCTTTTCTGTTTTAAGAACAAAATACACACACACACACACACACACACACACACACACACACCCCAAAAAGAGAAATAGTATTAATGCTTATAAACTCAAATTTCCTTTAGGCCTAAAACTTTTTTTTTTTTTTTTTTTTTTTTTAAAAGAGAGGACATATGAGGGCGAAAGGGGAACCATTGAGTCTGTGTATCTACAGCCAATCTCATTTCTGTGAATGTTAAGTCCTCTGAGTAGAAACCACCATCTTCTTTTTTTTTTTTGTTTTGTAGATTTTCTTTTTTTTTTTGACATTTTATGTTTTCATTTTTATTTATTTATTTTTTACAAATAGTTTATTGTCAAATTGGTTTCCATATAACACCTAGTGCTCATCCCCACAAGTGCCCTCCTCCATGCCCATCCCCCCCTCCCCCCCACATCCATGAGTCCTCAGTTTGTTTCTCAGCATTCAAGAGCCTCTCATGGTTTGCCCCTCTCCCTTTCCCCCACCATTTCCCCCCTTCTCCTCCCCCATGGTCCTCTGTTAAGTTCCTCCTAATCCTCCTATACATGCAAACATAGGATATTTGTCCTTCTCTGCCTGACTTATTTCACTAAGCATAACACCCTCAAGGTCTATCCATGTTGCAACACACGGCCAGATTTCATTTTTCTCATTGCCATGTAGTATTCCATGGTATAGATAAACCACATCTTCTTGATCCATTCGTCCGTCGATGGACACTTAGGCTCTTTCCATGTTTTAGCTATTGTGGAGAGTGCTGCTATGAACATTGGGGTACATGTGCTCCTATGCCTCAGCATTTCTGTATCCCTTGGGTAAATTCCTAGCAGTGCTATTGCTGGGTCCTAGGGGAGTTCTACTGTTAGTTTCCTGAGGAAGCTCTACACTGTTTTCCAGAGGGGCTGTACCAGTTTGCATTCCCACCAACAGTGTAGGAGGGTGCCCGTTTCTCCACATCCTCACCAGCATCTCGAGTTCTCTGTTTTGCTCATTTTAATATGTGCATTTGCATTTATACAGAATGCTTGTAAAAGTCACGAGAACACTTTAACTGTGTGACACTTTGATCAGTATATATATTTGTAAATGACAAAAAGTATCCCAGAAACAATTTTTGTATTTTTGATGTCAAACTTTAATCTTCTCAAAAAATTGTTTTAATGTTCTCTATAGGAGCTTCATTTTCCAGTCGAGTGGAGTCACAAATTTCCTTGAAAACTTATCTGTCTTTTAGGAAGAAGGCTTATACCACACCTCATTACCAGCGAGAACAATCAGTCCAGTCAAACCAACCCAACGCAGACCAACGCCACCCCTAACAACAGCCTAGGTAGGAAAACTGCGGGCCGAAATGAAATCAGTAACACGAGTCAATACAAGCTTCCCTTACAGCTTTAAGATGCTTCATTCTCTCTTATGTAGTGGAATTTCCTCTGTGGCTGTTTTATCACTTCTGCCAGAATTCCTCCCTGGTGGCTCTATCAGATCACCTACTCACTCACGTCTATACATGGCCTTCTTACCTGGTCTTCACTGTATTTCTCCTGAAGCATGATCTGGACTTTTTCCAAATTGCACTTCACCGTCTTTAGTTTCAAGGAAAGAGCTTCAGCCTCCTGCTGAGTGGCCCCACTGTCTCCCGGCCCCTGGTCTTTGCAGCTCTCTAGCAGAGAGGCAACCTTGTGCTCGATCTCTGTTAGCATGGCCTAGGAAACAAAATCATTTCATCATTCAAGGTTTCGGGCTTGAACAAGTATTATACTCTACAATGAGTCAGATTCACTCTGTCTACCTAAGTGTAGACAACAAGTCTCAGAAACACAGACTGGAAGGGACCCTGGGAAAACAACAAGGACAATTTCCACATAGCTCCTGAGCTTTTGGACAGAAGCGCCGCCGAGCTAACCCCTACTTGCAGATGTCACTCCCCAGAATAATCTAAAATAAGTGACTGCATAATCCCTTTAGAAATTACAGCTGAATGTATCCAGCATAGCACAGTGGTTAAGAACACAGACACTGGGGCGCCCGGCTAGCTCAGTCGGAAGAGAGTACGACTCTGGATCTTAAGAGTAGTGAGTTTGAGCCCCAGGATGGGTGCAGATTACTTAAACAATAAACTTAAAAACAAAAACACAGACACTGGGACTAGATTATCTGAGTTCAGATCCCAGCCCTACCACTTAGCAGCTGGGTAAACTTGGGCACCTTACTTTCTAAGAGTGTGCCTCCAGTCATCTGTAAAATGGGGATAACAACAGAACTTACCTAAGGTTCACTTGGAGGAGTTAAGAGTTAAAATCCATTCGATTTGGCCAGTGCTCGGGTATGACCATCTTCCCCCCAGTTTCCTAAACTTTTCCTGTTGCAATCCGAGTATTGAGTAATAATAAAGAATTTCACAGAACTCTTTGAAAGCTCTTTCCCTTGATCTTTTTTCCTCCTCTTTTTCAAGTCAAATAAACTTCCAAAACATCCGAAGAAGATGACAGAAGAAATAATTTGGAACCTAAAGCACTTAGTCATTGATACCACTGGCCAATTTACACACAGATCTAAAAATAAATCAGTCAGATGAAGTAAGTTTCCCTGTAAGTCAATGTCACTGTATTCCTCCCCAGCAGATCAAGTTTGCAGTCTCCTGCGGCTCTGGAGCCCAGAGAGTTCTGTCAACTGACTGACCATGCGACAGCAACATGCAAATTCACATTCCAGCACTGGGATCTCACTAGGGCTAAAACTTGGCATGTGACTAAGAAGAAGTTCGGTTCTTTGAGAGAAACTGAAGGAGAAGCTATCCTTAAGACAGATTTTCAAATAATATATTCTACTAACTCCTGTACCCAAGCAAACTACTTGTATTCTCTACAGACTCTTCTAAGCATAAACAATATGTAATCATAGATTTTAGAGTGGCTACAAAAAGAATGTACTATAATTTTGTGCTCTTTTTCCTCTATTCAGCTTTTTCTTTTTTTCTTTTCTTTTCTTTAGACAGAGAGAGAATGAGTGGAGCAGAGAGAGAGGGAGAGAGATAGAATCTCAGGCAGGCTCCAAATTGTCAGTGCAAAGCCCGATGACGAACGTTGAGTTCACAAACCGTGAGATCATGACCTGAGCTGAAATCAAGAGCTGGATGCTTAACCAACTGAGCTACCCACGTGCCTCTCCATGCAGCTCTTTTTTAAAAAAATGTTTATTTTCGAGAAAGAGAGAGAGAGACAGAGAAAGAGCATGAGCTGGAGAGGGGCAGAGAGAGAGGGAGAAAGAGAATCCCACACAGGCTCCACGCTGTCACCACAGAGACCAACATGGGGCTCCATCTCACAAACTGTGGTCAAACAACGTGGGACAGCTGACCTCCCAAAACACTGAGCCAATTGGACAGAATTATCAGACATTGGTGGACCCAGGGTGCTCTGGGATGACATAATTCTTGCCAGTAGAACACAGGAACAAAACAACAGCTGTTTTGATTCACATGTTTTTAATAATCAAGGCTGAACATTTCTTCTCAAATATTAAATTACCAAATATAATGTTTTCTCTCAACTTATCTATTTGTTCCTGTCCTTGGACATTTTCCCACTGGGAACTTAATGTTTTTTACAGACTACTATAAAGCTTTTTATAGGTTTCGATATGAAGTTGTATGTGCCACGGTGTTATATAGGTGAGCCAAAGATGGCCCTTGTAGATTGGTCCCTACGCTGCTTGTTTTTCCATAGCAGCCCAGAACCATTAGCTCAATTCCTACTGGCACCAAACTCCGGGTGGGACCCTCCATCTGTCCGCTACGGTTAAGACGAACTCTGGGGCTTTAGAAAACCCTAGCCTCTGCTGCCCCTTGGAACTCAGACAATACCTAGACACAGGAGCCCCTCTGGATTCCCTTCTCCCGGAGTGTTCCTTTGCTCTTCTCTCCTTCCAGGTGGTGGTCCCACCTCCACCCCAAGCCACAGCCTCTAAAAGGGCTCCTGAAGAGGAGGACTTCCCCCTGCCTGGAGAACCTGCCAAAACGTTGCCCAAATAAAGCTTGCTGTGCGCTCCTGCCACCTTGTGGTTGTGTCCTTCCCTTGAGCAGCCCCCAAATCCTTGAACTCCTGCCAAGAGGCCTCTGAAAGGGATACTCGCAGTGATCGAGAAATTAGCATAGAATCTACCCCATGGGCAAATCTTCCCTAGATGGCTTCAAGTGGCTGGGGCTCAACATCTCCAAGACTTCAGGTTCAATTCAGCACAATGTTGCCCTGTGTTGCCTATGTCTTTTCCAGACTCTCCTGTGCTTCATCATCCAGGCCAAGCAGGAGTGCTAGTATTTAAATGAACCCACCCCTGGGGCGCCTGGGTGGCTCAGCCGGTTGAGTGTTTGACTTCAGCTCAGGTCATGATCTCACAGTTTGTGGGTTCAAGCCCCGCGTCCGGCTCTGTGCTGACAACCAGCTTGGAGAGTGCTTCAGATTCTGTGTCTCCCCCTCTCTCTCTGACCCTCCCCTGCTCACGCTGTCTCTCTCTCTCTCTCTCTCTCTCTCAGAAATAAAACACTAAAAAAAATGAACCCACCCCTTCGAGAGTTGATTGTTAGGGTCAGAGGTGGGGATCTGCCTGGGGAAGGAGGTCAGCCTGACCACCCAGGCCCTGCACACGAGGCAGGTGCTGGATATTGTAAGACAGTGGGCCTGCGTGGCAAAAGGATGAGCAAGGATGGGCTCCCTCCAACCTCAAAATGAGCCATAGTAGGAGCTCCCTATGGATGGGCCAGTGTCCTGGGGGAACTCGGAGAGGAGGTCTTCTTTCCTGGTGTCCACTACGCAGACAAGTGAGCCAATCAGGCACAGACATCAGGCCAAGGCTGGTCTATGGACCCTTGGGGAAGGCATCTCAGCTGTTGCGACACTCAATTATGCTGCCATGATGTCATCATTCCAGCTTTTCTCTGGAGGGATACAGAGCTCCCAACCTTCGGGCTGAGCCAGCAACATTACTCAATGTGACTAAAGGCAAGTAAGTTTCTATTCCTGTCTCTCCCCTACTCCCCAGCCCTGTGGAAGAGTAGGAACATTCATAGTAAAATGGCAGCAAAGCCCTTTTGTGATGTACCTGCAATTTTGCAAATAAGGACATGCAGTTTCATTTCAGATGAATGAAAATTCAAAGAACTTATTATGAATATAAATAACAGTTAGCATTTATTGGGCACTTTTTATATACTTGATACACTAGTCACTGGTTCTTCTACCTTATCTAAATTTTTTTAAATGTTTATTTTTGATAGAGAAAGAGAGACAGCACGAGTGAAGGAAGGCAGAGAGAGAGGGAGACACAGAATCTGAAACAGGCTCCAGGCTCTGAGCTGTCAGCACAGAGCCTGACACGGGGCTCAACCTCACGAACCAGGAGATCATAGCCTGAGCCAAAGTTGGATGCCTCACCGACTGAGCCACCCAGGTGACCCTACCTTATCTCCTTTAATCCTGACAAAGTCCTAGGAGATAACCTACGCCACGAGAAAAAGGAGGTGAAAAGCTAACATCCTCAAGTTCATAGTTAATGTGATGGACCTGGATTCAGACTCTAGATTCTAGAGCTCTTACCCACTACCGTCTCCAACTGCTCTGCTTACATGAATCTCAAAGAATTACCCTGAGAACAAAAAGTTGAGGCCAAGATAAACATGGGGGTCACAGTAACAGGAAGAAACGCACTGTTGCTTTAAAAGAAAGTCACCCAGTCTTGGAAGGTGATTGGTGAAGAGGCAGGCCATGAACTCCCGTCCGTCGGCCTTACCTGGCACCCGACCAGCTGCTGTTCCACCAACTGCTGCATGTCTGCGTTTAATGTTTCCGGCTCAAATGCCACGTTGGCTTGGTGCAGCCACCGCTCCAGCTCGGCCACCCGGGTCTTGCAGGCATGGAGAATTTCTGCAGGCTCGGGCCTAGGTTTCTCCACCGTGGCCTCGAAGGCTCCTTGCTCGTCAGAAAAGCCCAGAGCCACAGCCTTGGGAGGAGGTGTGGCACCCTAAGGTAAATCCAAAGATAATCCAGCAGTGAAAAGCCACGGAGTCCAAAGTTTTCAGAGTTGAGCTTGCAAGAACCTCTGAACTTCCAGCATTTCCCCAGTTAAAAGAAAACAAATAAGGGCAGAAGGAAGAAAGAGAAAGAAAGAGAAAGGAGAAATGCACCTCCACACGCATAGCAACAGCCACGTGACCTGGTGCCCCAGGTCTCCAAGCAGCCGATCTGCATGTACACAGGTAGTGTTCCCAGGCGCGGAGGACGCAAATGGGCTCGCAGTTCGTTAAACACCAAGCGAGACACCCAGGAGACAGGTGAGTGTGAGGGACAGGGTGCATGTGGGTGTGCGTGTCTGAAACTTTTCAGAGAATTGGCCAGCGTTTGAATTTGTGTGACACATGATTAAGCAATGCTTACATTGCTGTGAGCTCTGATCAAACAGAAAAAAGGGCTCTTTACACACGGGCTGGGATACAAGAATATACACCACACACTGAACAAGTAGAGGAGAAAGTATTTTAGCGCTTTTCCCCCCTAACATACATGCTACTACTCATCAAAGTTTCTCCCTAGAAAAAGTAGCTTGAGTCAAATAAAGAGGTTCAGCGGGGTCACCTGGAAATTTTCCTCCTATCCATCGGAGAGAATACCTGAAACAAATTTTCACCATCAATACTCAAGATACTCAACTATTATTAAGGACCAGATGCTTATAGTAAAAGAAAGCATGACATAGGATGTGTTCTGTTTACACCAAAACACCTGAGTTGCTTATCAATCCAAAAGAAAACTTTCTTCCAGATACCAAGTCAAGGTATTCTCTTAATAACAGACGAGAGATTTTTAATTTGGAAGTAAAAGATGAGTTGACAGAGACTTATTTGTTTCCAACATCCTTTTCCAGAATATTGAGAGATTGTATCAGCCATTCTAGAGAAATTCCTTTAGGAATTTTAGCACAAACACCTTTCATGCTAAACATTATTGATCAATAATTACTTTATCAATTATGATGATGATGAAATATGATGTTTCCTATATAAGACTCTGCTAACATTAGCATCTAATAAAACATGATTCTGGCCACAAATTTCTAATGGGATTGTTCACAAAGGTACACCCTCCCTCAACTCAAATGCACATTTACCAATGTCAATAGAATTTTGTTTAAACATAGAGCTTTCAGTACAACAGAAGTAAATAAAATAGGCAGGTGGTAACAAAAACATGCAGGGCGTGAAAATATTCCTTTTTCACACACATGGGGACTATTAGGAAAGCTGGGTTAGCAGAAGTTGCATTTGTTCCCCTCGACCATCTATGAACTTCACATATGTTTGCTCTTTTCTGCCAAAACGCTCTTTCTCCCTTGCCTTCATCAAGATTTTTTGCAAGAATTCTCTTCTGAAGGAAGTCTCTCCTTGCCCTGTGTTTCTCCTCACAGTTGGGTCTACACTTGGATTCAGCTGGTTTCAGTTTTCTTTTTTAATTCTGATTTTTTAAAAATGTTTATTTACTTTGAAGAGAGACAGAGAGCAAGCAGGGGAGGGGCAGAGAGAGAGAGAGAGAGAGAGACTGAGACAGAGAGACAGAGAATCCCAAGCAGGCTCCACGCTGTCAGCGTGGAGCCTCCAGCAGGGCTTGAACTCACGAACCGGGAGATCATGACCTGAGCCAAAATCAAGAGTCGGACGTTTAACCCACTGAGCCACCCAGGTGCCCTTTAATTCTGATTTTTTTTTTTTTTTTAAAAAGCAACACCTTGTGTGATTTTACTGCCAGATAGTAATTGCTAATCATCTGATTGTCTTCTAGTTTTCAGGTATTGCTAGATCTTAGTGGCAAAGATTTTAGAGTCTATTTTGTCACCTCAGATAACAATCATTAATATTAATTAGTCTGCAATAACAGATTTACCGTCCACCTTTATTTATTCAAAAACATGATTTGAGCACCTATCACATACCACACACATTGTTTCATGGCAATACTGGATTTCTTTGCTTTTTCACTAACTCACTGAATTAATCAGAAAACAAGGAAGCTGGATAACTAATCTGGGCTTTATTTGCTAGTTATTTAAAGCTGAAAAGAATCCAAAGGTGAATGGGAGGGAAAAAAAAAAAAAAAGAATATTTGCAACTATAGAAACCGCAACAGCTAAAGGTGGCCTGGGAAACCTGCCAGTAACCAGTTCATCCACCTCTTTTATAAGTGAAGGAACCCAAGTTTGTTTAATGCTTAAGCAATTCACACACCTCCCTGTTCACCGCATTGCTTCGTAGAAGCTCAGGCCCAGACACAAGAAATCCACCTGAGGTCACATGGCCCTGCTACCTTTTAACCTAGAGTCTTTAGTTTTTCCCCACAATCACACCCCTGCTAAATATCTTCTCTAAATGATAGCCCCAAATTCTAAAAGCAGAAACGATTTAAGTGGATATTTTATTTATTTATTTATTTTTTTTTTTAAGTGGATATTTTATGACTGTACATTTTGGAGGGCTAAAAAGTATTAGCACAATTTCTTGTTAAAGAGAATTAGGTCATTTCTACCGCCTAATACCTAACCCTCCATTGGGCCCAAGGGCCAGGCCACCAGGCTATGTGTGGTACACAGATCCTCTCATTTCCCACCACAAGCCCTTATTTTTCCCAGTGTACGGATGAAGGAACAGAGGCATTGAGAGGTTATTCAGATGCCTGTGGTCACCCAACAAAGAAGAACCAGGATCCAATCCCCGAGATCATTACACCTTGGGGTCTCCAAGTCCACATTCATCACGTGACTTTGCCAACACTCTCGTACCCAAGTCAGCCTCTCAGTTAGCGAATGTCATACTGCACAGTGTCTGCAGCAACACATCACTGATCTGAGTAACAGGATTCCGCTAAAATGCAAGCTAATTTTCTGGCAGTGGCTGTATTTCACGCCAAAATACCAACCCTTTAAATTGACTCCTTCATATTTTACAGTCAATTCTACAAACGTCTGCAAGCCTCACCCACCCGCCCCACCAGCACCACCACACATACACTTGTTCTAAAATGAAGGACTGCCTGACCCAAGTGCAATACCCAACTGCACCTGCATCAACACTAGTCATGCCACCCGGATGGTGGGGTGGGGCAGATCCTGAGGCCAAACCTACCTGGCTTCACATCTTTCAGTACATAAACGTTCAACTAACTTCAGAAGGCAGTTTGGAATATTCTAGGTTTGACTCCTCACTCCTGTATTTTCACTCTTCAAATTTCAATACCCTCATTTGTAAACTTATGGTAGGTATTAAACTACCGTATTTAATCTGAGGAGTAAGCAGCAAATCTAAATGCTTCTTATGGGACATGCAGTTAATCAATATTAGCTCCCCTCCATGTCCAGGGCCTCCATAAGTTACATCTACAGAAGAAACAGTTGTTAGCAGAAAGGCTCGTTCATCCTGACAAATAGGGAGCAAGCAGTAAATCTTCTGTCACTCTGTGCCGTACTTTCTACCTCAACATCAGTGGCAAATCTTCCAGTTCTCCAACTTCACTGCCCGTATTAAGATGTTAAAGTTCACAAAGAATTCCGGGCTTGATATACAAAGTATTGCAAAACACAGAAAGCTGGTCATCCCTGGGTGCTCATCCTGAGGCCTGAACAGTTCGCAGGTTACTGACAGGGACTTACCTCTTCTCTTTGGTTGGGACTCAGGGAAAATTCTGGGCCTTGCTCAGCGTTTATGGAGTCTGGTGCAAGAATTTGTGCCATAGAATTCTCACGTGTGCTGATTTTCTCAGCAGCCTCCTGTAAAGAAAAGAACCAGAGGTCCAGAAAACTTTCTGCCCTTGTTGCCATGTAAGTTACTCTTCCTGCGCTAGCTCATCTTACATTCTTGCCTGGTTGCGGAAATGTCAAGCACATGTAGAGAAGTTTGTTCACTGGAGGGGGGACAAAGTCAACTTCCTCAGGTTTGCCTTTATGTGAAAGACTTAAATTTTCCAAAGCTCTCTAGCAAATGAGGAGCATATAAGGAAATCTACAGGATTCTGCATTTAAGGGATTAATAGGGGAACTAAAATTAAATGAAATTATATGATAAAGGTATTTCAAACTAAAAGGGGAAAAGATCAATTTACTAAATTTGGGAACTACTCCAGTATTCCATAAAAAATATATCTGAATCCTTGTCTTTTTAAAATAAATTCTTTTTTTTCTTTCATGTTAACCTTTTTGAGAGAAAGACAGAGTGTGAGCAGGGGAAGGGCCAAGAGAAAGAGAGACAGAGAGACACAGAATCTGAAGCAGGTTCCAGTCTACAAGCTGTGAGCACAGAGCCTGATGTGGGGCTTGAACCAATGAACTGTGAGATCATGACCTGAGCCACCCAGGTGGCCTTCCCTGTTTTACTTCTAATAATGGATTCTAATTGCATCTAATAATTAAATATAAAACTTATACCCTAAAAATTCTTGGGAAAAAAAAAGACTGACTCTTTTCTAATCCAGGAATGGGGAAGGACTTTTAAAGCATGAAAATAAAGGGAAAGACTGCTGGTATTAGCAATCTAAAAACTAATAGTGTTTACCACAAAAAAATCATAAACTAAGTTAAAAATGAAATAACGGACTGGATAACGGCTTATAATATGTTAATATTCTTAATATATTAATTACTCTTATAAGTCAGTAAGGAAAACATCAACCCCTATGTAGAAAAAAAAGTCGAATGGCATGAACAAGCAATTCATAAAAGAACACTACAAAAGTCAATTAATAAAGAGATATTTAACAACCTTAGAATATAAGAATAGATAGAATATATAATGTAAAATATAACTTAAACCACTGAATAAGTTTGGCTAAAATTGAAAATATCCAGTATCAGCTTGAGATCAAGAAAGAGGCACTCCTGGTAGGAATAAAATTGATACGGTCTTTCTAAGAGGGTTGTTTAATAATGTGTGTTACATTTTAAATGAATATCTACTTTGATCCAGCATTCCCATTAGGTTAACCAAGGTTACGCAATGGGAAAATGATATGTACACAAGTAATTAACATCATTTGGTGGGAAAGGTGTGAATGCTATGATCGATCAATCTTGATCGGTCTACTTACAAGTTGCATGATCTTAGACACAATAAGCAGGACTCTCTGAGGCTCACTTACTTCGTCTCTAAAGTGAGACTATAACCCACCTCATTCATGCATGTGATGACTGAACAAGATGTATGTAAAGCATCTAGCAGCTCCTAACAAAATGTTACTTGTCAGCTTCTTGTACTGAAAATAATAGCTGCTGTTAGAAAGGTATGAACCAAGAACTAAAGGTAAAGCTTAGATAAAATTGGAAAGGGAGGTCAAGATCATGAAAAGTCTGGGATGCCAGGCTACAAATGCATTTTACTCAGTAGATAATCAGAATCCATGAAAGATTTCAACATAGCAGTAATGGTTTTAGGAAAAGTCATCAGTTACTATTGTAGAAGATACATATTTTAGGAAAAATAACCAGAGGCGGTAAACCCAATTAGAAGGGAACTCCAAAAGTCCAGGGCAGAAGTCACCATTGCCTGGAATAAGATGATGGCAAAATCATGGGAGAAGAAGGATGTAAAGATTGAATGGACGTCACTTGGCCATTGGTTAGATATGAAAGGTAAGAGAAGTGAGGTTTCTAAGAGGACTCTGAGGTTTGTCTTGGACTCTGAGGAAATAGTGGTGCTGTAAACAGACATCAAGAAATTAGGAGGAACTAGTTTCTTTTAATTTTTTAAACGTTTTTTATTTATTTATGAGAGAGAGAGAGAGAGAGACAGCATGAGCAGCGGAAGGTCAGAGAAAGGGAGACACAGAATCAGAAGCAGGCTCCAGGCTCTGAGCTGGGTGTCAGCACAGAGCTCGATGCGGGGCTCAAACCCATGAACTAAGAGATCACGACCTGAGCCGAAGTCAGACGCTCAACTGACTGGGCCACCCAGGTGTGTCTAGGAGGAACTAATTTTGAAGGAAAGTTGATAAAATGGGTTTGAGATGAAGAAAGGACATCCAAAAAGAGAAATCTATCAGGAAGGTAGAAATGTAAAACCGAGTTAAAGGCAAAGTCAAGACAAGAGAGTTGATGTGGGATCACTGGCACAGAGGGATGACCATACCTATAGGAAGAGATAAACTGCTCAGGGAAACAAGGAAGAGAACAGAACACTGGGCCAATGTCCACCATCACCTGGATGGGGTGAGAGAAGGTGATGGGGGAGAGGCTGCAGGTGAGTGAGAGCAGAAATTGCAGACTTAAGAAAGTCAAAGGGCTCCTCATTTCAGGAAGGAGGAAATCATGTTTAATGCTGGAGAGATCAATAAAGATTAGGACAAATAAAAAGGCACTAAATTGGGGCACCTGGGTGACTTAGTCGGTTAAGCGTCCGACTTTCGCTTACGTCATGATCTCGCGGTTCGTGGGTTCAGGCCCCGCGTCGGGCTCTGTGCTGACTGCCAGCTCGGAGACTGGAGCCTGTTTCAGTCTGTGACTCCCTCTCTCTCTGACCCTCCCCTGCTCACACTGTCTCTCTCTCTCTCTCTCCTAGAAATAAATAAAAATATTTTTAAAAAAATATTAAAAAAAAAAAAAAGGCACTAAATTGATGTTCCAGAAGGTCAATGACAGTTTGAATAGAGCCAGGGCCAAAAACTGGATTACCAAAGGGGCCAAAGGTGAGGAGCGCCAAGTAAAGATTTTTAGAGGTGGATGAGAAGTAGCACGCTAACTGATTGGCCTGAAAGCAAGATCAAGAAAGTCAGTGCATTAAAGTACCCTGTTGAGCCCAGTACAGGGCATAAAAATGTAAAAGATGACGCTCTTGCCGTTCACCAAGTCATGTCAGGTGTACACCTAAAAATGTGGGAAGGCATAAGTGAGTTACTGTCACAATGAAGGGAAAGCAGTCAGAAAGTCATGCTGTCAGAATGCTTAACTGACTGAGCCACCCAGGCACCCCAATGCTGTCAGAATGAAGGGAAAGCAGAGGTTTCTTGGAGGAAGTCGAAGCTGAGACGACCTGTGCGGACAAGGAGCAAGTTAACCTCCTGGGGAGGGGGAGACGGAGTACTTCTCAGACAGAGAGGGAAGGAGCCAGTCAAGAGGCCTAGCTTGGAAGTTTGGAGCTACCAGTGCAAGCAGAGCCCTGTGCTGAGGCTTCCCGAAAGGACTGGCCTGGAGGCTGGGGCAGAGGGTAGCCCTGGACGGGAGACTGGAGCAGGAGGCATATGACTCATAACGATGCTGGGATGTTTCAGGAACAAGGGGAAAACATCCTTTTCACGTTAATTTATAACGATTTTCGAAGTCAAGGGCATTTGCCCTCCAGTTTGAGAGGTTGGGGAAGATTTGGAAGGTCATAGAGAGCCAAAGGGACATCAATACACATTATGCACGACTTTGTTCAAAAACAGGATTATGGGATGACTCCTCGCCACAATTACTCCCAGAAGAGAGGCACGTTAGATGCTTTGAAACACGGCAGTGAACCTTTTGAGGAGGGGCTCCTTGGAGTTATCAGTTTTGTTCGTCTGGATTCTCACAGGTGAGGTGCTCAGAAGACACTCTCCTATCATCACCAAGGACACAACAGGACTGGAAATAATAAGCGGGTACTTGGCTGTTCTTGAACTGGTGCAGAGGGAATGGTGAGAAACTTAAAAGAATTCAGCCCAAGCAGGTTCCCTCCCTAGGCTATGTTTCAAACAAGAAATTCTTCTGAGTTACTTCCCTTACTATCCCTGCCAGCGCCCCCCAACCACCAAATGTATTTTGCTCGGTGTTACCTGAATGATCGTTCCGGAGGACGGGGACGCTCTATCTTCCTCCATGTCCTTGTCATGCTTCCAGAGTGAAGACCAAGACCTGGAAGTTGGCTCTGCTCTCTTGTCTCCATTCTAACACGGTAACCAACTGATTAGCAAAGAAGTAATTTCCTACCATCCTAATAGTGTCCTACTCATCTCTCATACAAAACCCAGTTCACCAGGCAGCGCCTGTAGCTCTTCATCCCCGCCCCCCCCCTCTATTTTTCATCTCTTTCTTTGGCTAACTAAATCAGAGGAGTCCAAATGTGCTTGCTCTTCTAGAACCTAAAAAATATTCTGAAAAGTTGGAAGTCAGCTCACGGCACTCAAAAAGGATCTTTAAAACCCTGCTTTAGGAATTTAATCTGCTTTGGTAAATGTAACCTTAAATGCTATCTTTTAATAACAGTCTGATGAATATGTATTCTTGCTACTGTCAGAGACAATAGTTATTACAAATATATCAGCTCGGAGGCAAACACAGTTCTTAAATTAGAACCGCACTGCAGCACGCTATTCGGGTCCCCGGTACCTCCTCGGTTCTGACGATTGCCCCTGCAGTGAAGGGGCATAATCAGATTATGAAGCTGTCTGGTGGACTGAGATACAGTAAGCCTGTGCTCTCCTCTGTTCCCTGTCCTCACTCAGTTCCAGGGTGTCCAAGTCTATAGGAAAGCAGGTGGTTCTGTGTGACAATGGAGCTATTTAATGATCCATAAAATGAGCACAGAAAGTGTCCAGTGATTACATGTGAGATAGAAAGACTATAAATTGCTGCAGTTTTCTTCCTTTTGGCACAAGACTCACTATACCTTTTGTTTTTAAAGAAACGGAAATTGACACCAGAAAAGACAATTACAGATGCCTCATTCAATCAGTTCTACTGAAGTGGTAAGGATTAGTAGAAGCATTAGTTGCTAATGCAACTCTTCATATCCTTGGCAATGTGGTCCTAGACTAAAAAATAAATATGGAAAAACAAAGTTCTAAAGAGCATACTAATATGTGCCCACCAGACAACATACTCTCAAAACTTCAGAGAATGTACTCAGAAGTCAGGATACAACAGAGAACTTCATCTTCTCCCATCAGCCAACAAGTGCGTCTGGATTACATTTATCCCACTCAGGCATGAAGTAGATTCAGATGCACTTAACGTTAATAATGTAAGAGAACAGCTTCAATCACCCTTGTAAAACATCGGCATTCAATTTAAAAATCCTTGTGTTCCTATTCATTTTAAGATCTTCCCCTTGACCTTCTTTTAGAGGTTTTGATTCTAACAAAACATGATGAGAAAATCATGTTCCTTACTTCACTCTTCAGGGAGCTCTCTTCCACCTCTTCCTTGAGCGCCGGCAGGAAAGACATGGAACTTGTTTTGTTCAACTGAAAGGCACAGCAAAAATACTTGCAGCCAGGTTGTGGTTCAACGTCGTCAGGATCCTGGCCTGGCCGTGCTTTTATGCAGCTAATTTTGTACTCGCTTCATTCAAGATGCCCGCCCACCCAAGTAGCCTCTGGGTGAGGCAACTTTCAGCTCATCCCGCCAAATATCAGGACTCGGTCAAATCTTTGATCGCTTTCACCTGCATTGCCCTCCTCATCCATCAATTGAGAATATGATGCCACTGGTGTGGACTCAGGGGGCTTAGAGGGGTGCTGGGTCCATTTCTGAGTTTGCACTGGGCTGACTGGTTAGGACCAAGACGCCTCTCGGGCGCCTCCCACCCACCTGCCCAGGGAATTCCATACACACCTCCTTCAGTAACCCGGGCATACGAATTCAGGGTTGAGCCCAGAACAGACACACCCCGAGGGTTTATATTCCCTAGTGAACAATCTCAGGCACGGAATCTCCACTTTGAAACTCCTTTAGGCCATTAACATAGATGCTACAGGTTTTTCAGGTGAAAAAATAAAAGCAACTTAATACTCTGGAGAAAAGCGGGACCAGCTGAAGGCTAAAGTCCTACCCACCTTCCACTCGGAACCCTCCCTCTCGGCCACTCCTTCCTCTTCTGATGCTCCAGTTGATGGCATTTCTTGTTCTAATTCTTGCTGGTCTCGCTGTAAATGCTGGTGAAGGTTTAGTATGGCAGCCTTCAGGTCCACCAACAGGTCCTCTTTCCTCTGGTTCAAACTCAGAATCTGCTCTTCCATACCTTCCATTTCTCCCTGTGCAGAGAGAGAGAGTTGGCATTGCATCGGGCGGTCTGAGGCCCATGCGTGGCCCCCTGGGAGCTTGTGTCATTTGGTACAAGGCATGACGAGTTTCCTATGCTGTTTGGCGGGCACAGCCAGGAATGCGTGCCTGCCACGGTACAGTTCCTCCCCATCCTGGCAGCGTTTCCCAATGACCTGGTGAGGGCTTAGAGCTCACTTATAGGATGACTTAGCCCCACGTGACACTTGGTCAATCAATTCTCTGGGAGGCGGGGTGGGTCAAGCCAAGGCTCAGAGATTTGTAACAAGCTTTGCGGGGGCCTGGGGTATGCAGCCCCTGATCTAGGGGCAACAGGACTGACTACCCAAATTCACAGGGTCAGGGCGCAGGAAGCTTCTCGGGAGCTCTGTAAGCAGACCAAACGCTGGAACCACTGAGAGAAAACAGGGTGAGAAATCTCACACATCCATGATTGCTTCGGAAGCCTTCTTTAGTGTTACTGAATTCATTTTCTTACAAAATTCCCCACCAAATGGGAATAAACAAGCAAATAAAGGTAGTGTGAAGTGTAACTTAGCATGGGAATGATAGACAGATGGTTCCAAGCTTTATAATGTGACTTTAAAGATTAGTATGATTGGGGGCACCTGCCTGCCTGGCTCAGTCGGTTAAGCGTACGACTCTGGCTCAGGTCATGATCCCACGGTTCCCGAGTTTGAGCCCCACCTAGGGCTCTCTGCTGTTGGCCGGCACAGAGCCAGCTTCGGATCCTGTGTCCCCCACCTCTCTCTGCCCCTTCTCCGCTCTCACACATGTGCTTGCTCTCTCTCTCAAAAATGAATAAACATTAAAAAAGTCTTTAAAAATTTTTGTATGATTGATGTGTGGGATTAAAATGGCTTATGTGCGGCAGAAGTACGGTTGCCCTGTCCGTCTAAGACACATACAGAATTGCAGAATCCTAGATTTGGAGGAGAGAGCAGGTGTCTGACCTAGCATCCTCCTCTCTAGCACCCCTGAAACGCTGCATTCCATCTCTGCAAGAGCCTTGTAGTGAATGCTGCATCAGAAGACAACCTGCTTCTTATCAGCAGAGCTTCGTGTATTGGAATTTTGTTCCTAATAGAGTCCTTCGACTCCTGTTCGTTTGTTCCTTCCTTCTTTCCTTCTCTCGATCCATCCATCCTACATACGTTCATAGAATCATTCCTTTTTTTTTTTTAAACAGAGAACTCGATATGTCTCCACATATAAATGAGGGCTCTGAAGTCCAGAGAGGTGATTCCCCCCCCCACCCCAGGGCTGCAGCTAGCCAGTGACAGAGCACAGACTGGGACTTCCTGACACCCCAGGGTCTCCCGCTCCTGCACACGTTCCGGCACCAATTACCCTCGGCTGTCTCAGGTTAAACTTCTTGTGGTTGCTTTGGGAAGTGATAACTGAATTAAAAAGGAGTTGGCAGTGCTTTGTGTCCATTTTCAACATACGCTAAATTTCAGAGGCATGATGCCTCCCAGCAGACATAATCCTACAGCCATCAGAAGAACTGTAAGAGAAAAAGAACAGTCTGCATACCAGAATTATGAAGGCACAGTAGGGCACCGGGCGGCCATTCTCAAAGCGGCATCTGCAGACTGCTGGGGGTTCACATTCTAGGAGGTCAAGATCATTTTCCTAATAACACTAAAATGTTATTTGCCCTTTTCACTCTGTTAACATGTTTCACTATAGGATAAGACAAAAGCAATGGTGGGTAAAACTACTGACACTTCATATGAATCAAGGCGGGGACATCAACTATATTAGTTCCTAGATTATCCACTCTCATGTGCTGAACTGTAAAAAAAACCCCCCCAAAACAAAGAAAAAGCCAGTTCACTTAAGGATACCCTAGAGAAAGAACATGGATTTCTAATATTCTGTGGGACCCAAGTGGAAAGCACACATAAATCTCTTCCACTGTGTGCCCAAGTATGACGGCTAGGGAAAAGCTCTGTGTGACTAAGTTTTGAGCTGAACTACCCATTTGTTTTTTCACACAACACTATTTTTACTTGGGAAAAAACAGCTACTAAACTATACATATATATAAATACCAATAGATTTTTCTGAAGAGATAAATGTTAATATTAATAAGTGTGAATTTTTAACACTGACGACTGAAATGTTGACATATTTGGAGGATCTCTGTAACTAGCAAAAACAGAATTTTTCAAATGATCGAGCATGACGTCATAAAACCATGCATAGTTGGAAGATCCATTCAAAGTACAAACAGACCAAAGGATCTTAATGTAAGAGTATGCAAAGTTCATTGACAGGACTTAGGATTCTATTTAGCAGCAAATCCATGAGTAACTTCTGCTTGTTGGAGTTTAGTGTAGTTTCAAAGAATGTTCACAATTATTCAGAAGGGTTATTAAAACATTCCTTTCTTTTCAAGTGCATGTTGTTGAGAGGCTGGACTCTTTTTATATACTTCAAACAAAACTACATACTTCAATAGATGGAATGTAGAAGCAATGAGAATCTAGCTATCTTCTACCAAGCCAGACATGTAAGCGATTTGCAAAAGTGTAAAATGACGTCACTCTTCTTGCTACATTTTCTTTTGGAAAATGTAATTTTCTTCCATAAAAGATTATGTTATTTCTACCACTATGTAATAGGTTTATCATTGTTATTTAAAAATAAACTAAATTATTTTTATATTTCTGAGTTTTCATTTCTTTCTATCTCAGTAGATATGATTCATATAAACCAGAGCTCATTGGGAGTCCTCAAATTTTTTAATGTAATGGGAAATCTGAGATATTTACAATACTGAGACTTTATTGTTGAGTCTGCCTTACTGAGTCCAACACCTCATAGGTGTGTCACCTTGGACCCCTCTGTAAGTAATGTGCCTTAGGTCATAGCCAGCAAGTGTTGTTGCTTTGAATACCATAGCAATCGCCTGCCCAAACCAACTTGATGGCTCTTTACAATCCTTGGGATACAATCAGGATTTTTTGTTATAGAAGTACTAATTCGAAAACAAAGACTAAAAAAAAAAAATCTCTAGCAATAGAGGGTTCACATACACACCTCTATAATTGGGTTCACAGGATATTGTTAATAGTGACATGCGGTAATGCTACTTGGTATATGACACTCTTCATTACACCAGGGGCCAGGGTCTTTACCTGTGAAGTCCAGCCTGCCCACACTACCTGACCCCATCTCAGAAAGCTAGACGTAAAGCCAGGTTGCCCAGATTTCCTGTGTTACACCAGCTTCTTTAGTAGCAGAGCGAGTTCAGACCCAATGCAGCTATTTTATGAAATAGGAATGTATAAAGTAAATATATATATATTATACCTTCAATTGGAAGAGAGAAGTAGGAAATACACTGGATCATCACAAAGGCTTCTAGACACCAATGGCTTCGTAAGTGATTATTGAAGGAAATGCTCAAATAAAAGAAAGAAACATACCTGTACCTGTGGTCGGTTGGCCGTTTGGTCTGGTGATACATGTTCATGGGAGAACTCAGCTGAATAATTATTTAAGATCTGCTTCAAATTTTCTATTTCCTCGTTGCATTCATTAGTCTGTTTTATGACTATCTATAAAATAACCCCCCCCCAAAAGAAGAATCTTTGTCATAATCTAAGGACTAGATGAATGGGTTCCTTCCAATGTCCATCCCCATCACAAGTTTCAATTAATTACATCAGATGCAAACCCATATAGATTGCAACAGAAAATGGCAGCCTAAATAAAGAGAGAAATGTTTGTAAAGCTGGCTCCCGGCTTTCTTGCTCTACTAGATGCCGGGGCACCTTGGGCAGTGCTTGGAGTACAAGCATAATGAGACACACCTTTGCTGGTAGGTGTTTCCAGTCTAGTGGGCTTATCCTGGGAAGTATTTTATGGCATATTAACATCAAGTTGCCAAGTTCTATACAATTACTGATAAGTCATACATGCTAGTTTAATGCATGCTCCATGTGATGCTTTCCATATGAGAAAGGTGACATTACTGATTCAGAGTGGAAAGGGCATCTGATTTGAGAGATGATGAATTTCCTCATTCCCACCATAGCCTCACCTGGTATCCCTTGGGATCTGTGATGTACATTTTATGAGTAAGATGTGCAGGGTTCAAGAGCAGTCTGAGTTTGCAGGAAAAGGCAAAATTAACAGAACAATACACTGAATCTAGTGTTAAGGAAGTAGTGGGGCTCAAACTTATTTGTGTACTAAATTGTATGATCAAAGTGTGATGGGAAGATAAAGTATAGATATTTCCTTGGTATGCTATACAATGAAACAAGTGTCTGTTAAAACTGCAAAGTTTCTGGCCAAAACAAAATTCTTCCTTGCATTCTCTTTAATTTTTAACCATAATTTTGGCTGTGGGCTGAAATAACGACATTCGCTGCACACACCTGTTACCCTGCCCTCAATAATGATCTACATCCTATTACCCAACCCCCACCCCAATAATTTGTCTTGTTTTCCACAGTGAGGGCACTTACATATCCAAAGTAGGACTTGAAAGAAATGCACCAGATTCTAATGATTTTCATTACCAGTGTCTTACTTAATTTTGAAACGTATGAGATGACATCTGATTTCCACGAATAACGTGGAAAATTTTAGCAGCACAGTTTGATACCTTACTTGGCACCTCTTCTATATAATTTCCTCTTCTATTTTCCCCTTTTCATCCTGTGCAGAAGCCCCTTAAAAGCATAGTTACAACTGTTATTTTCCTTTCCTAACCAGGAAACCAATAAAGCACAAAAAAGATTAAAAATGATAGATCAAATTGTATATCTTTTTCTGTCTTCTCTTTATAATATTAAAACGTAGAACAGAGTCCCAGATCTTTTTTCTCCCCGTGGGTGCTGGGAAGTGATGTCAGCTGATGAGTAGCCAGGACAGAGAGAGTATATGAGCTGAGACTGAAACCAGAGGTTACAGTATCCTCCAATCTTAGGAGAACACAGAGTAGCTGGCTAAATGGGAGTGAAATTGAAGAGGGAAAGAGAGATAGCAGCTTTCTCCCTAAAATCAGGTGGCGGTCAGGAAGGAGGAAAAATAGCCTTTTCTCCTACCTCAACTGACCTCATCAGGAAAAGTAGGTGTAGGTAGGCAGAGTATGGGATCGACCAACAGAGTTGAAAAGTCTGTGGAACTTAAGGCTCTTTCAGCAACTTTCTCTTCTTGTGAAAGTGGCTGATAATTTAGGAATGCAAATCAAAGAAAAATGTAATTTCTATCTAATAATGATTCCTGATTGAGCTCGGAAATCAGTCAAAACATAAGAATTAAAAAAAAAAACCTGTCTGGGGAGACGCTGAAAGATGTCATCTTTTAGAAGAGACCCTGATATAAAGAATGAATGATATCAGGAGTCTAGAAACTCAAATTCTTGTCCTAGTTTTACACAAATGAGTCTGGACACAAGTTAACTCAGTGGTTCTTCAGTAAGTGATCGAAGCTTCTGACTCCTGTCTCCTTCTATGTAAAAATAAAGATGGCAAAGTGCCCCTTCTATCCGTATCCCATGTTTGAAAATAAAACAGGATGATTAATGGGAAAGTGACCAAGATGTATGAAGAGATTATTATAGCGCTGGCTACTGTAAGGGTCTCACAAGGTTTGCAAATGGACTGCTCAGGTTTAAGCCTCTCTCCACAGCATTTACCCGTGTGTGTTTTCAATAATTGCAGGATGGAATTAAACAGGTCACAATTATGCTTTAATGCCTTTAACCAAAGAAGAAGAACTGGGAAAATCACCTTAGCCTCATTTGAACAGTAAGATACTTTCCTTTATCCAATGTCACATCCTGGATAAGAATCCCAAAAGAGAGCAAAAGGAATCAACAAAGGCAGCATCTTGTGGTCATAGGAACCTCACCAACCCAACCATTAAACCTGAAAACAAAACCAACTTTTGTCGAAAATCTTCAGCCAATAAAGTTGGCTTTTATCATTCACGGTGTACCTTTAATAATTCGTTTTGTTCCTGAGTCACATTTTCCAACAATTTTATATCTTGTAAAAGATGATCTGTCCGTGGAAACACAGGCAGAGGCTTCCCTCCTGTCTGGGGCAACCTCAGTGCCACTTGGTAAGACACTATTTCAGCAATAGTTTTCTTCATGGGACGTATGTTTTCAAGGATGACCTTAATTATATCAGAGAAGCACAGTACATAAATGAAAAGAAATAGCCGCTTTGCTCAATCTGTTCAAAATTAAAATACTGTATGATTTAGTCTTTAACCTGCAGTTTTGATTCTTTTTAAGTTTTTTTTTTTTTTTTTTTTGAGAGAGAGAGAACAAGGTGGGGAGGGGCAAAGAGAGAATCACAAGCAGGCTCCACACTGTCAGTGCAGAACCTGATGCGGGGCTCGAGCCCACAAACTGTGGGATCATGACCTGAGTCAAAATCAAGAGTCGGACGCTTAACCAGCTGAGCCACCCAGCTGCTCCTAAATTTTGATTTTTAAAGCATTTCCTTGGCTCAGATCGAAAATAACTCTTAGATCACTTGTCCGCTGATAGTGAAAGTTCTCCGGAAAGAAGGCCTAAGGCAAGAGTACCCACCAGTGAGTTCTGCGTTTGGATCATCCTTGCCTTCTTTCTCTCCCTCCCCGATTCTCTGAACAACTGTTGCTTTGTTTTGTGCCACCAGGCAGGGAGCTGCACAAGGGCAGTTTCTGCCTCTTTCTGCCTCTTACTCCCTTTCACAGCCGCAGCACGCAACGTGGGGCTTCCCATAGGGCAGGCCCTCAAAAGCTGCTCATTGAATTGAACGGTCCTGCCAAATTCCCTAAACCCTAAAAGTATAATTATGTTTTGCTTTAATGACATCTGATCCATAAAAATCCAGACCCACATAATCTATAAATGAGAAAAGATTATTCCTTTTATTAAAAACTTCCTATCTATCACTGTTTTTAATCCTCACATCTACCCTGGGAGGTTGGTATCAGAGCTGCCATTTCGCAGTAAGGAAACTGGGTTCATGGAAGTTAGAAGATCCGGAGGAGGTCAGGCTGTAAGAGGGAGCGCTGGGAGTGGAAGCCAGGTCGGCCTGATCCCAAAGCACACACTGCTATCCGCTGGGCTGGGAGGGAATCAGTGTCTGTGTGCTGTTTACTATGTTCCGGGTCCAGTGCTGGAGGTTCTGTATCGTCCAGTACACTTACACAAGACCAACATGTGGTAGAAGAATCCAAGAATGTTAACTAATTGCTCAAAGTCACACAGCCTGTAAGCAGTGTAGTCGGGTCTGAAACCCACTTCTCCTGACTTAGAGGCTGAAGCCCTTGAACTATAAAACACCTGAATTTTTGACTTGATGGTAAAACTTCAAAACTTTTGAAGTTTTCAGAAGAAATTCAATGAAAAAACAACCTATAGAACAATTCTCTTCATACAGAGAATACTGTATGATTTAAAACATGGTATTTCTTGTCACTCATATCTAGTTTTCAATTTTATTTTGCTATTTCTCTGGCAAGACTAAGTACTTTTTAATCAGATCACATTATTACATTTTAAACCATAACAAATAATAGGGGTGCCTGGGTGGCTCAGTCGGTTAAGTGTCTAACTTCGGCTCAGGTCATGATCTCACAGCTCGTGAGTTCAAGCCCCGTGTCAGGCTCTGTGCTGACAGCTCAGATTCTGTGTCTCTCTCTTGCTCTGCCCCTCCCTAACTCATGCTCATTTTCTCTCTCTCTCAAGAATAAAACTTTAAAAAGCATAATAAGTAATAAACATTTGTTTAAAACGTAAACATAAATAAGTATTATAAGAGTCTTTCTAATAATGATCCATGCATACTTACCTCCCCATGCTTAAGATGTTCTTCAGGTGAAAAATCAAATATTTCTTTCGATAGGAGGATAGCTTTGATTTTTGAAACTTTTTTCTCCATTGATTTTACTTCAGTTTCAATAGCAACTACATCCTAGAATTTCAGAAACAACAACAGAAAAACCATTCATGTAGTAAACGCAGCTTATTGCCCTGCATTCTGTTTTTCTAAGTTAGCCAAAAATGTCTGCCATGTACACTTCTTAAAAATAAACCAAGTGAGAGGCACCTGACTGGTTCAGCTGGAAGAGCACGCGACTCTTGATGTCAGGGTCGTGAGTTTGAGCCCCACATGGGGCATACAGATTACTTAAATAAATAAAACTAAAAAGGAAAAAAATTAATCAAGTGTATCTTCAACAAATGGTATATGTAAACTGGACAGCTACACGCGAAAGAATGAAAGTAGATCACTTTCTTTCCTTTTTTTTTTTTTTTTAAATTTTAGAAAGAGAGTGTGAGTAGCAGGGGAGAGGCAGAGGAAGAGAGGGAGAGAATCCCAAGCAGAATCCACACTCTGTATGGACCCAATGTAAGGCATGATCTCCCAAACCATGAAATCATGATCTGAGCCGAAATCAAGAGTTGAGAATTGGATGCTTAACCAGGTGGGCCACTCAGGCTCACCGAAACTGAACTACTTTCTTACATCATACACAAAAATAAATTCAAAATACATTAAAGACCTAAAGGTGAGACCTGAAATCATAAAAGTCCTAGAGAAGAATACAGGCAGTAACCACTTTGGCATTAGCCTTTATAATATCTTTCTAGGTGTGTCTCCCAAGGCAAGGGAAACCAAAGCAGAAATAAACTATTGTGTCTACACCAAAAAAAAAGCTTCTGCAGAGCAAAAGAAACAATGAACAAAACTAAAAGACAACCTACTGAATGGGAGAAGGTACTTGCAAATGACATATCCAATAAAAGATTAGTACCCAAAATTACAACTCAACAGACATAAAAACAAATAATCCAATTAAAAATGGCCAGGGATGCCTGAGTGGCTGAGTTCATTAAGCAGCAACTCTTGATTTTGGCTCAGGTTCATGAGTTTGAGCTCCCACTGTCAGCTCAGAACCAGCTTGGGATCCTCTTTCCCCTCCCCTCACTGACCCTCCCTGATGTGTGTGTGTGTGTGTGTGTGTGTATGCGTGTGCATGCACATGCATGCTCTCACTCTCTTAAAACAATAATAAGTAAAACAAAAAATATTTAAAATAAAATAAAAATGGGCAGAATATATAAACAGACACTTTGCCAAAGAAGACATACAGATGGCCAACAGACTCATGAAAAGATGCTCAACATCACTCATCATCAGGGAAATGCAAATTAAAACCACAAAGAAATACCACTTCACACCTGTCAGAAGGGCTAAGACAAGAAACACAAGAAACAAGCGTCGGTGAAGATGTGGAGAGAAAAGAACCCTTGTGCACTGTTGGTGGGAATGCAAACTGGTGCAGCCACTGTACAGTAAACAGCACAGAGGTTCCTCAAAAAATTAAAAATAGAATCACCATATGATCCTGTAATTCCATGACTGGTAACAAATACAAAAACACTGATTTAAAAGATACAGCACCCCTATATTTATTGGAGCAGTATTTACAATAGCTAAATTATGGAAACAACCCAAGTGTCCACTGACAGATGAATGGATAAAGAAGATGTGGTATATATACAATGGAGTATTACTCTAACATAAAAAAAAGAATGAATAAAATCTTGCCATTTGCAACAACATGGACGATCACATAATGCTAAGTGAAATTAGCCAGTCAGAGAAAGACAAATGCCATATGAACAAGGTTTGGTACAAACCAAGAGACAAACCAAGGAACAGACTCTTAACTATAGAGAACAAACTGATTGTTACCAGAAAGAAGGTGGGCAGAGGGACAGGGGAAATATGTGACAGAGATTAAGAGTATACTTATCATAATGAGCACTGAGTAGCATACAGAACTGTTGAATCATTATATCGAACACCTGAAACTAATATAATACTGTATGTTAACTGTACTAGAATTTTAAAAAAAAACACTAATGAAGTGGACATAGATCTTAATTGCTTTCAATAAAAAAGTCATTCTATTAATAGCATACCACAGTACAAAGCATCACTTATACCTTGCTGAGTTAAAACTCCTCATAAGGCCAACTTTCCATTAAACTATGAGAACAAAAGTATTATGCATTTGAATAAATTTTTTTTAGTAATCTCTACAGTCAATGTGGGGCTCAAACTCATGACCCCAAAATCAAGAGCTGCACGCTCCTCTGACTGAGCCAGCCAGGCACCCGTGAGTCAATTTTTAATTCTCAATATCTACGAACTCTTCAGATTTATCTCTGGAATGTGTTTAAACACTTGAATACAAGTGGGTCTAACATTTTAAAAATTTCTACCACTTTAAGTAAAATGATAAAGTCACCCTTGGAAAAGGAACACAAAAGAAGCTGGAAAAACTGACAGGATTTTCTTGCCAATCTGCTAATGAACTATTGTCATGCAGAGTCACTAAATTAACTTTATAACATACTCAGATTAATTTAAACAACAGATCATTTGTCTGGTGGTTATGTTCTCATCAATGTCAACCTCTAGGACTTGGCCAAGAACCTTACAATGAAAATGCTGCAGCGTGTGTCCTAAACCTATGTATGGAAGATCACGTGATACAAAACCCATAATTGGATGAATCTGTGCTACAAACCCTACATACTGAAATGCACTTGCACTGTAAGAGGGCCGTTAGACCGTTAAAGAGCAAATTGCAGACACACTGTAGCAACCAAAAGGTACAGCTAATAATAATGAAGGGGATAGGAAACTACACAGAAATAGACTGAGGGTTTCAGGGGCACCTCAGTGGTTCAGTTGGTCCAACTCTTGATTTCAGCTCAGGTCATCATCTCATGGTTTGTGAGTTTGAGCCCCATGAATGGCTCTGCGTTGACAGCCCAGAGCCTGCTTGGGATTCTCTACCTCCCTCTCTCTCTGTCCCTCCACTACTTGGGTGCACTCACGTACATGCTCTCTCTCTCTCTCTCTCTCTCTCTCTCTCTCTCCCTCCCTCTCTTTCTCTCTAAAAAAAAAAAAAAACATAAATAGAACTTAAAAAATAAAAGTGAAATAGACTGAGGGTTTCAAATTAAAGCAGTCTGGAGCCATTTAATATCAAATAAACATAATTTTACAAGCAAATGAAGCAATGAATACAGCAACTTTCTAGTGATATCTTCAAGTTACAAAGAAAAGTTAAATTATGCTGAAATTATTTTCTGCATCTCATACTGAAAAGGGTGTAAGAAAATCAACTCTGGGGTGCCCAGGTGGCTCAGTCAGTTGGATGTCCGACTTCAGCTCAGGTCATGATCTCATGGGTTCGTGAGTTTGAGCCCCGTGTCAGGCTCTGTGCTGACAGCTCAGAGCCTGGAGCCTGTTTCAGATTCTGTGTCTCCCTTTCTCTCTGCCCCTCCCCTACTTACGCTGTCTCTCAAAAATAAACAGACATAAAAAAATAAAAGAAAATAAACTCTATCTCAGAGGGTAATTTCTATCAAAAGTTGTAGAAGCATTTTAAACCCTTGGAATAAGCTTCAATAACCAAACATGTTTAGCAATCATTATTCCCTGAAGTTACAGAAGTGTGGCATAGGGAATATAACAGGAACAAAAAGTAAATAATTAGGACTAATTGTACCTGCCTTTGCTATGTGACTTCATCCTTAAATAAATCCTCATGTTTCAAGCTAAAAAAATAAAATCAATTCAAAATCTGGTGGCTACCATACAGCAGCCCCTCAGGAAATATTTGCTATTGGCGAATGAAGCCTTGGAAGGTTATGTGTTTAAGTCCCTCTTCGCTAATTTGTGCTTTTATATCAACACATCTCCTCTCTGACAAAGAGAAAACAGTGTGTGCATTTGATCAGGATTCTTTCCTTTAAATAGACCACTTCTGGACCGAAAACGGGAATAGGTACTATAAATTAAAAGTTGCAAATTAAAGTAAAATAGGGGCTCTTGGGTGGCTCAGATGGTTAAGCATCCAACTCTTGGTTTTGGCTCAGGTCCTGATCTCGCCATCGGTAAGTTCAAGCCCCAAGTCTGGCTCTGTGCTGACAGCATGGAGCCTGCTTGGGATTCTCTCTCTCCCTCTTTCTCCATCCCTGCCGCACTCACACTCTCTCATAATAAATAAATTTTTAAAAGTTAAAATAAAATATAATTCAAGAAATAAGAACATAAATGAAAACTGTACCAGATCAACATGTCTTCATATAATTAGGAGCTGATTAGTGGTATAACTCTAATTTACTAAATGAAATATAAATTAAAAATAAGAGATCACATCTTTGAAGTGCCAACTTACATCAGCCATCCGCTGGATCTGGGGAAGGCTCACCATGATGGTTTGTTGTAAAGCTGCTACTTGACCACTTAACTTTTGTACAGACTGTGCTAAATCATCAGTTTCAAAGATTATTGACCAGTCTTCTAGATCCGTGAAAATGGAATGTAGAAGACTGTGCTTCTGTTCTGAATCTTCCAAAGCCATCTACACAATGGAAAACAAGGAGAAAAGAGAGAGAACATTAAGATACTGAAATAAGTGGATTAATATTGAAGTCAGAGAACATTTCCCAATGGTATATCGTGCTGTATATTGACTAGACTTATTGTGGTGATCATTTTGCAATCCATACAAATATCAAATCATCTCATTGTACACCTGAAACTCCTAGAGTGTGTGTCAATTACACCTTAGTAGGAAAATTTAAATCAGAGAATTTTAAATCTGTCTCAGCATTTCAAACTCCTATTCATTTCATTTCAATGTGACAGTTTCTTATCCATTTAAATACCTACCATAAAAGCCAACAATCATACTCCTAGGCATTTACCAAATGAAATGACAGGAAGAAGTACAGCCACACAAAGATTTGCATATGAACATTCACAGTAGCTGTGCTTACAGTAGCTGGTAAGAAGATCCCCTGATCCCCACCTCCTGATACTCAGGTCTTTATAATCAACTTCTTTGAAATGTATATTGGGTTTACTAATTTACTTGCTGATTTACTACTGGCTCTATTGATTACTTACTGAGATGTCACTTCCAAGATAAAGTTATAAAAAGACTGTTTCTGCCTTGGGGGCTTTCTCTTTAGATTGTTCATGGTGAAGAAAGTCAGCTACTAGGCCAAGAGGCAGCCTTGTGGAGGAGGGCCACAGGTCTGTATATGGAAGCAGATCTTCTGAACCCTGCCAATAGCCAAGTGAAATGACCTTGGAAGTGCATCCTGTCTTTTCCCTCACCCACAGTGAGGCGTGACTGCATTCTTATAAAAGACCTTGAGCCAGAAGCACTCAGCTAAGTCATGCCTGAATTCCTGACACACAGAAACTGTGATAATAAATGTTTGTTGTGTTAAGCTGCTAACCTAGCATAATCTGAAACTCGAAATAAGCCAATGTGTATTAACTGGTTAAGGGATAAACATGCTGCCTATTTCCATAAATGGAACACTACTCAACAATCAAAAGAATGAACTATCTATAAACATTAACAATCTGGAAGAGTCTTGAAAACATTATGCCAAGTAAAAGAAGTTAGGTAAAAAAAGGCTGTACACTATATGATTCTATTTATAGAACATAGTGGAAAAGGCCAAACTATATTAATAGAAAACAATGAGGGAGTGATTGATAGGGCAAAAGACAGGTGAAAGGGGACTGAGTGCAAAGAGGCAGAGGAATCTTTTTGAGGTGATGGAGATGTGCTTTATATTGATGGTGGTGGTGGTTGTTACACAATTATATCCCTTTTGCAAACTCATCTAGCTACACACTTAAAATAGATGTATTTGGGGGCACCTGGCTGGCTCAGTTGGTAAAGCATGTAACTCTTTTTAATGTAATGTAATGTAATAATGTAATGTAATGTAATTTTATTCTATTTTAGAGCGAGAGAGAGCACATAGGAGCAGGGCAGAGGGGCAGAGGAAGAGAGAGAATCTTAAGCAGGCTTCACATTCGGTGCAGAACCCAAGGCAGGGCTTGATCCCATGACTCTGGGATCATAACCTGAGCCACCAAGGCACCCCGGTAGAACACGCAACTCTTGATCACGGGGTCATGAGTTCAAGCCCCATCCTGGACATAGAGCTTATTAAAAAATATATAGGGGGGCCTGGGCGGCTCAGTTGGTTAAGCAACCAACTCTTGATTTCAGCTCAGGTCATGCATGATCTTTCGGTTCATGAGTTTAAGCCCTGCATCAGGCTCTGTGCTGACTCTGCAGAGCCTGCTTGGGATTCTCTCTCCCTCTGTGCTGCTCCCCTGCTCACTCACTCACTCTCTCTGTCTCTCAAAAATAAAATAAATAAACATTTAAAAAAATATATGTAAATATGTGTGTATTTTATTGCATGTAAATTATACCTCAATGAAATTGAATAAAATAATTTGTCTTTTTTACCAAGAAAATTTATGTTTCAATAATTCATAATTACAACAGCAGTATTTCTGGAATCATCTTTGGGTTACAAAAACCTATTTTAACAAACACAGTCCAGGCAGAAGCTTAGCTGGGAGTTTTAGTACTTCTTCAAGAGACATTTTTAAATATCAGTGCCTGGTAATGCCAAAAAAATAGAAAAGGGTATCTTAAAAGTACGACAAGTCCCTATTTTTCAAAATAGGGACAAAATGGGATATTCACATATGACTAGTTGTTTGAGACTTACTTCCCGTTGGAGGATTTATGAGAATACTTTCTACGGTAAATCAGCCTCCTCTTGAGCCTACTTCCTCCAGCTCATCAAGTAGAGTTATACTAAGTTCTAGGTCATACACTAAGGCCAGGAAATCAGGGTGTCCTCACCACTGAGAGATAATTTTCACACATTACATTTGGGTCAGTAGAAGGTAGCAAAAGTATAAATGCTTTTCCCTGAGCTCACTCTCGTAAATTGTCTTTAAAAACTCATTAACAAGCATTTGAGGAAAAGAGTATCATTCCTCTCTTCTATCCTTGCAAACTCCTTGAAAATGGTGAAAAATAACAGACAATTTAAAATACAAGAGGACAGGGGTGCCCGGGTGGCTCAGTCAGTGAAGTGTCCAACTTCGGCTCAGGTCATGATCTCATGGCCCCTGGGTTTGAGCCCCGTGCCAGGCCATGTGCTGACAGCTCAGAGCCTGCAGCCCGCTTCAGATTCTGTGTCTCCCTTGCTCTCTACCCTCCCCCGCTCACATTCTGCCTCTCAAAAATGAATAAACATTAAAAATTTTTTTTAAGTTGGGGCGCCTGGGTGGCTTAGTCGGTTAAGCGTCCGACTTTCACTTAGGTCATGATCTCGCGGTTCGTGGGTTCGAGCCCCGCGTTGGGCTCTGTGCTGACTGCCAGCTCGGAGCCTGGAGCCTGTTTCAGTCTGTGACTCCCTCTCTCTCTGACCCTCCCCTGCTCACACTGTCTCTCTCTCTCCTAGAAATAAATAAAACATTAAAAAAATTAAAAAAAAATTTTTTTTTTAAGTAAAAGAGGACAGGGGTGCCTGGGTGGCTCAGTTGGTTAAGTGTCCAACTCTTGATCTCAGCTCAGGTCATGATCTCATGATTTGTGAGACTGAGCCCCACACTGGGCTCTACGTTGACAGTGTAGAGTCTGCTTGGGATTCTCCCTCTCCCTCTCCTCCGCCTCTCTCTCAAAATAGAGAAAGAAAACATTTTATAAACAAATTAATTAATTAAATAAAATAAAGGAGGACACGCTATAGGGATGTGGAAAGCCAACCTGAGGGCTGGGGGCAGAAATCACAGGCAAAGGGAAGAAAAGAAACAAATGGGTGAAAGGCAGCATCATTACAACTGTTACCACAGGGGGAAATGTGCCAACAAATCTCAAACATCAGGGAAGTATTCAGTAGGCTGTTTACTTGGGAATACACTGAGCGATTCTAAAGGTATAAAGGAGCTGGGTCAACGTGGAGGTCTGATTATTCTAAAAACTGTTAAAGGATAAAGCTTTTCCTAAGAGATTCCTTCTTGTGGTTAAATAATATGAGAGAAGGAAATATGCCTTCACAATAAAACTTTAAGCCAACACTTGGCGTCTGGAAGATCTCTTACAGTCATGGCCCTGGGCAGGAAAATACTCTCATTGGTTTTGACTTTGTAAGCTAGCACGGAGACATCAGGCACCAAAATGGACAGCGTGCCGGGAGCCGAACCGGCCTCTCTGGATGGCAATCACGGCAAGGAAGTGACAATGTTTGCAGCTCCTCCCAGGAGAAATGAAAACTGGTATCTCCTTCTGCTACTATTGGCTCATGTTGGATATAAGCCTGCTGGTATTGACCAGGCCTCCCAACATTCCATATCAGACCCATATTCTGAATACAGATACCTCATAAGGAAAAGCATATTCCTGCCTTTACAAAAGAGACTTTAGATGAAAGCTCTATGGGCGGTTGTCAAAAGGCTCTTCCTATGGGCCTTGCAGATCCAAGGCTTAGATAATAGAGGGGGTTAAGAACACAAGAGTTACAATTGAGCCTGGCCCTGAGACAAAGAGCCTATTTTGGGGTTAAGAGCAGAACACAGCTACTACATATATCTTTGCTAATTGGTGAAGCATGGCAGTCCCTTCCTCAAGGCCTGCATTCCACAAACACCCTCCCTTACACTGGCAACTGGGATGAGGATAGATAAGAGTAGCTAAAACATAAACCCAGGTGCAAAGACTGACACATTTAGGGCCCCCATGTTAGTTTTCACAAATAAACCAATTCAGAAACATTTATCTTCTTGAGAGCCAGACAGAATAACTCCTAGCTTATCTATATACAATTTAACTTGTATGTTATCCTGTTTTTCACTAAGAGCATTCTGTTATTTCCTTGGTCTAAATAATTCTGTAATCGATATCACAAAAGGCCTCCCATTGTAAGAAATTCCTTTCTATGACTTCATCTTGTTGCTGAACCTTTAAATAAAGAAAAAAAAAAACCCGACAGGACAGAGATGCCTGCCTGGTGATGAGAAAGAATCTCGGGGCTCTCTCATCCTCTTTCGCTGACACCGTCCATCCTTCAGGGACCCCTGGACCTGTCGGAGCCGGCGCGGCCTCCGGCAACAGCGTGTTTGGCAGCGGGGCAGGCCGGAACTGGAAGGAACTACGGATTCGGTTTCTAATGCTGTGTCACTAACTACCGCCGACTTCGCCGCTTAAAATTAAACAAATTGATTATCTCATAGTTTCCATGGCTCAAGAGCACAGGCATCGCTTAGGAAGGTCCTTGGCTCTCCCAAGGCTCTCCCAAGACTGCTATCAAGGTGCTATCTGGAGCACAGTTTCTCTTCCAAGTTCATTTAGGTTGTTGGGAGAATTCAGTTGTAGGGCTGAGATCCCAGTTTTCTTGCTGGCTGTTGATGGCGGGGGGCGGGGGGGTCACTCTCTGCTTCTAAAGGCTGCCCAAGGGTCCGAGCCCCACAGGCCTCTCCTAACATCGCAGCTCACTTCATCAAGCCAGCTGGAGAATCTCTCTAGCCTGCTATCAGGGAGTCTTACAATCATATAATCACGAATAATCATGGATTCATGGGAGTCACTATCCCATTACCTTAGCCATATATTATAATCTATTTAATAGAGTAGCCGTCTCATCACATACTCTCATATTCCTGCCCACACTTGTGGGCAGGGGATTATATAGGTTATGTCCACAGGAATATTGTGAGCCTTCTTTGAAGTCTATTGACCAAAACCATCACTATTCATTGCAACATTTTCACTTCATAGATGGGGGAGACCGAGGCCCATAGAGGAAAATAGCAAATTACCCAAAAAGTCACATAGGAGTTATCAGGACAGAAGGAACTAGATCCCAGTCTCCAAAATCCCTTTCCAGAGCCTGCCACTGTCCTAGCCTTCTTCCTGCCGGTTGGCATGACTGAAGATAAGGTCGTTCTTCGGGAGAACAGGGAAAAGCGCCACGAAGGGGAGCTATGCCACTCATCGTTGTGTACATGCCATATGCAGGAAAAAGTGAAAGCACACCTACCTGAAGGGTGCTAGCGTGCTGACTCAGCATCTTTGAAGAGGCATAGTCAGCAGGATTAGCCAGCAAATGACTGGTATTTTCTATCCAAGCCTCAGTACTCTTCAAAAGGTCATGATATTCCTCCATCTTAACTGTGGCCTGTGAAAGAAAGGCAGGAGCAAACAGTCTGACTCCTTCCGCTTGAGTCAACTGATTCTTGCACAGACAATCTGTTACTGTTAATCAGGCCCCGCAGGGTTCCATTCCCTGTGGCTGGGGCCACTCGTCCACCCCCTCCAGGTTTTCATCTTTCTACCTTTTAAGACTAACCCTGACCATAGCTGGAAAGGACTAAAGAAACTCTACCCTAATGCTATGGGTCTCAGTAACAATTCCCAATTAGCCTTGCAACTGCTTCCCATTTTAGGCTTCATTCTGAAAACTGGATTTGTATTTCGTCTTCCCATGCAAGGACTTGTCCTATTACATCCCAGTTTCTCTGGGACTAGCACCTTGCCTCGCTCTTGCTAGATTACATGTACAACTCACCCACCACGACCCCTCTTTGGAAGGGAGGGAGAAAGTGGCTTGTTCCTGAATGACAGGCTTTCTTGTTGCTGGCTCCCTGCAGGGCCTCTTGAGAGTGTCTGTTGGAAATGCCCATTGCCTACCGGGAAGCCCAATGCTCGCCTGGACTCCTGCCACGGTCCGACTTTTGGACACCTGCTTCCGCCTGCCCAGTCAGACTTCCTGCTGGTGCCAGCAGTTAAATCGGTCGTCCCAGCGCCCACCTGGCCTGTTCTCTGGCTCTAGCTTCCGAACCCAAAACTGGCAATTCAGGGGAAAATGGCTGCCACTGAACATATATTTTAGTTTTGTTTTAAAGCCCTTCCAATACCACAGCCCGCCAAGCGTAGTTATCAGCTGTTACTGTCATACCTTATTTAACTGTGAGGTTCTAGATTCTGCTCTCTGTGATACTTGCTGATATTGCTGAAAAGGAATCATCAAGTTATCCATCCATTCTTGGGCCTGTCCTGGATCCTGTTCGACAAGGTCCTGCACTTCGGAATCCAGCTCATTGAGCCTGGAATGCCAGAGATCTAGCTCGTCCCACATTTTCTGGAGAAGGAAGTCATACGTCACTTTGGATGCAGAGGTCCTGGTTCATTGTGTTAGTTCCTAGCTTTTGCACTGTATTTGCACTTGTAAATGCTACCAAAACAGCACCACAGGCATGCTTACTCATTTATGCCCACAAACCACTTGGGACCTAAATTGAAAAACACGACTTCTGAGGTCTCTCAGTCTAACTATATTTGTTTCATGAACAGAATTAGCTATAAGGGAGCAGAAAGACCTAGACATTTCCAGAAACAAATGACACCAAACAAGGTCAATATAACCCTAGTCTTTCAAGAGTGATGAGGTAACATTGTTTAAAAAGTGCTTCAGTTAATCTCTCTCTCTCACACACACACACGCGCGCACGCGCGCGCACACGCGCGTGTGTGTGTGAAATCTAGAAGACAATTTTAAAAAATTTTATTCTAGAGAGAGTGACTATGTATGAGTGGGGGAGAATGGCACAGGGAGAGAGAATCTCAAGCAGGCTCCATGCTCAGCGCAGAGCCCGACATGGAGCTCAATCCCACTTTCCTGGGATCATGACCTGAACCAAAATCAGAGTTGGACGCTCAACTGAGTCACGCAGGTCCCCCCAAGAAGACAATGTTTATTAAGTGTAAAAACAGAACTAACAAAAGAAAATATCTGTTTTGGTTTAGGAGTAATGTAGTGGCAGAAAATTCTAGTAACTGCTTTTGGCTCAAGAAACTAATAGATTGGATTCAATCAAACCTGGACTTCTATGGTCAAATGGAATTCTCAAAGGTAAAACATTTAATTTGTACTTACTACATGCTTAATAACCTAACTTTTAAATTAAAAAAAATTTTTTTAATGTTTTATTTATTTTTGAGAGAAAGAGAGACAGTGTGAGCAGGGGAAGGCCAGAGAGACAGGGAAACACAGAATCTGAAGACAGGCTCCAGGCTCTGAGCTAGCCATCAGCACAGAGCCCAACTCAGGGCTCAAACCCATGAACCATGAGATCATGACCTGAGCCGAAGTCGGACGCTTAACCGACTGAGCCACTCAGGCGCCCCTGAACCTAACTTTTAGAAATAGGAAAAGTAGACTGGTTAACTTAGGTTCCTCTACTTGTTAAGAATCACAATCTTGTCCAATGGTGGGCCATATTCTCACCTATTTTTATTTTTATTTTTTTTAATGTTTTATTTATTTCTAGGAGAGAGAGAGAGACAGCGTGAGCAGGGGAGGGTCAGAGAGAGAGGGAGTCACAGACTGAAACAGGCTCCAGGCTCTGAGCTGGCAGTCAGCACAGAGCCCGACGCGGGGCTCGAACCCACGAACCGTGAGATCATGACCTTAGCGAAAGTCGGACGCTTAACCGACTAAGCCACCCAGGCGCCCCTCTCACCTATTTTTAAAAGTCTCCATTCACATTAGAATCCTTCCTTAAAACAAAGGTTAGAATAAGAATGCTTTTCTACATGTAGGAGTCTACTCAGGGAGTTAAGTGGTAGAGAATCATGCTTATGTACAGTTTTGCCTAAGACTTTATTTCCTAAGATATTTTACAAGGGAAATAAATTGGGGATTTCTATTTTCCTGTTTCCCCTTGTAGTCTAGAGAAAAGTTGTTAATTCCATTCAAATCCTATTGAAATATATTTTTTAATCAAATAAGTTTCAGAAATGTTCCATTTCATATTCCTCATGTTAATTCACATTAAATGAAAACAAAGACTCTGCAGGGCGCCTGGGTGGCTCAGCCGGTTTAAAGTGTCTGACTTCTTTGGCTCAGGTCATGATCTCACAGATCATGGGTTTGAGCCCCGCATGGGGATCTGTGCTGACAGCTCAGAGCCTGGAGTCTGCTTCAGTTTCTGTGTCTCCCTCTCTCTCTCTGCTCCTTCCCCTACTCGTGCTCTGTCTCTGTCTCTCAAAAATAAATAAATGTAAAATAAATTTTTTAAAGATTAAAAAAAAGAAAACAAAGACTCTGAGAAATGCTCAAACATAGAAACATGTTAGCTTTTTAAAAAATGTATTTCATATTTATAATATTTCTTATCTCAGTCTTCCCAGGATAAGGTCCTTACTCTCCTTTACTTGTGAAAAGGCTAGTTCACAATCACAGGCTCTCGGGGGTTAAGGCATATTCCCACCATGGAAAAATTGAGACTAATTCTTAAACGCAACCTTCTCCACCAAGCCTCTGCTGGTGACATTCAGTAAGGGGGACCCTGTGGGCCTGGGTGAGGATCTCTGTACTTCAGATACATCCTAACAGCACACCCTGATGACTGAGGAGCAGGAGGAAAGCCAAATGCTGAAGGAAAATTAAATGAAGGATATTACCTTTTGAATTCCCTGAGCTTTCTCAATATTTTTGCTTTTCTGCTGCAACATCTTTTCCACATTGTGAAGCCCATTGTTAATTTCGTCGATTTTTCTACTCATTGTATATGATGGTGAACTTTTCAAAACTTCATTGCTAATCTGTCATAGTGAAAGATACATTTGGCTTACACATATCTTCCATACTCTTTTCACAGGTCCAGGTGATAGAAGAGATAGGTACACTGTTAACGCGATTTTACTTACAAAAACCCTGTACAGGCTATGGGGATACCCCAAACAGTACTAGCTAATACATTAATGAGAGGGTTGACTAGCAGACTAGGAAGCGGGGGCTGTGCTGACCTGACCTTTTAAATCCAATCTAAAAAAAGAAAAGAAAAACCGATAAACAAAAATTTGCTGTAATCTACAGTATGTACCGCAGGTCTGTGCTGAGTTGGGCAAAACTACTGAGTGTACTGTCTGAGACAGAGCCCAATGGAGCAAATGATATGAAAAAATTCAAGGGAGATAAACCATTATATAGCTTCTCATTTTATGACAAAGACCTGCTTATGGCAAAGCACTCTTTTCAATAAAACCTAGCTTATTCACAAGCTGACTTAAAAATAAGGTAATTCCCATCATAATATTCATTTGGGCAAAATAATCTAAAATTCGCTATTTCTCGAGGATGTACAAAGCTTAGTTTTTCTCTGTGTGAATGTTTCTGGTGTGTGTTTTCACAGCAACATGAAATCTAGCTGCTGAACAGTGTAATTTTTTTTTTATCTGAATGATTTTCTTAAGAAAATAACTTGGGCTAGGAAAGATAACAAATGAATGTTGAATGTGTCATTTTTCAAATACCTGATTAGTTTGTGTTCTTGGTTTTCTGTTTTTTTTTTTTTAGGCTATGTTGTTGATAAGGCTTTCTCCCAGCAATACTTTATGTATAATCCTTTAACCCTTTTAAAAACCTCTATATCTGTATAACTATTAAGACTAAAACCTTCCAATGCAGATGGTACACAGACAGGTACAGAAACTAAACACAGGCTAAATGACTTGCTTAAGGTTACATATCAAGGTAGTACTTGAACTTGGCCTGAGAAACCCCAAGTCACTCCGGAGTCCCAGGCTCTTTTTCACATTTCAGGAGGTTGACACTCTTAGAAGATGTTTTTATTCCACAGACCATAATGCAGTTGAGATTTTTAGGGAAAAAAATTAATCCTATGTTAGTTTTTAAAGCGCTGTAATAGCTATTTATTACTATGAAACAATTTTTTTTGTCTGATATTCAGGGCAGTTATTCTCTTGGCCAAAATGCATATAACGTAGGTACATTAGGAGAGACCAAGATTTAGGCAAAGTAAGCAGCCCTCCAAATGATATGGAATGGTTCTGAGTCTGCCTGATCCTCCAAACACACCAAACAAGAAAAATCAGTTGCTCTCTGTTACAAATATACAAGTTACAGTTGAAACTTTCAACCCTAAATTTAAGAGTCATTTTGATTGCTTACTTTTTGGGGATTTTCACATGAAGTATTCATGGAAACAAACTTAGTTGCTCTCAAAACAGTATTTTCTTAAAATAGAATCAGTAGTGCATGATTCTTCAAAAAGTATCTCGTACCAGATTTTCTTGTGTGTTAAATCAACAGAATTGGTTATAAATGTATATTAGGAGCATACATGTTTTTTCATGGGTCAGGTTTTCCTAGGAAAACCGTCAAAGAAGTTAAATGAGTTTGAAATCCGATTTTCTGTGTATGCATTTAATACATATTTTATTAAGTTAGAGGTACTCCAGATTTCAAAAAGGAATCCAAAAATCCTTCTGTGGATGCTGGACCAAACAGAATTTTGTTCTGCTGAATGTAGGCTGCCTTTCTACAATCCAATAAATTTGTCTTGCTAACATCTCGGGTCTCCAGTACTATGAAACATTTCCCACTTTTTCTTCTAACCTTCAGATTCATCCATTCGAGGATGAAGGTTTACTCATGTGTGTTTTGGGAGAATTGTGTTACCATCATCATTAGAAAGACACCGTGTGTTGGATGCTATTCCTCGTGAGTTATGAAATCTGTATTCTTACTGCCCTTGGTTACAATTTTCAAACATTCACAGGGAATAAGTTTTGCATCAAAGTATTATTCATGTCGAAAAATTTAAAGTGATTCTCTGTTAAAAAAGAAGTTGAGTAAAAGCTAATGTACAATCCTATTTTTAAATGCAAGAGAAGAAGAAAAATAAGTGCAAGAGAAGAAAAGCTAAGCATCCTGACAACTAAAAATAAACACATTGTCTAATTCTATTATCTGTCACTTACGTAGAGCAGTTTCATCGCAGTATTCAATACACAAAGTTATCACTTATCTAAACTATAAAAACAGTCATAGTTGAAATCAGGGCAAATGAAAATGTGACATTACATACTCTTTTCTTTATATCTATTCAACTCATAAATAACAACACTAGTACAAACATTATTATTACCTTCTCATCTATGTCTTCTAACGCTTTTCTGCATTCTTCCACCTGGGATTCAATCTCTGCAGGGACTAGGGTGTACATTTCAGAATACTTGATGCGCAGTTTTTCCATAATATTCTCAAAAGTCAGCTTCCCTTTCTTAAAAATGCTTTGAAGCTCCTAAAAACATCAAGAGAGTTTCAAATACTCACAGGACAAGGAAAAAGTTTAACTCTCAAAGTAAATGCAGCTTTCCAGCACATCCTTGTGATTGAAATGAGCACACTTTGCATGACAAAGCCTCACTACTGATACAAGCCGATTAAGCCTGAGAGATACTCCTTTTGGTCAGATGATGCTTTCTAGTTTGTAAGAATTAAACTTGATATCTCTTCATGGTGTCAAACCATTGTCCTAAAAAGACATTACAACGTCTCCTGCTTCTAAAGTACCTCTCCCATTTGACTGTATCTCCCTTGCAGTCTTCATCTATAAAGCTGCAAGTAGCAAAAAAAGTTTCAAAGAAGTTTTTTTTGTTGTTGTTGTTATTAACTTGTTGCCATTTCTGCTTCTTCCTGCATTATCATCACAATGATTCAAGGCCACTAAAAGCCCTAGGCTTGAAGCAAAAGTGTCTGCTTTCATGTAATTAGACAGCCCAGCAGAGCTCAACTTCTTTCAAAAGGGAGGGTTCCAGTTCCCTGCAAAGAATGTAGGTTTTGGGAGATAAAAGAAACCTGAACAAATAGCCTATTGGTTGTGGCCTAGAAACAAAATCTGATCTACGTTCTCCTGCACTAACTATAAAGGAGAAACTCATTTGTTTGGGAAAGTTTCCCAAAGATCAAGTGGAAAAATACTTCTTGAATTTACTGTGGCTTTTGGGGGGTTTGTTTTGTTTTTATAGTAACTGTTCAGCAGCATTATTTGTGTTAATGGGTTGAGTCACCGCACTGAAGAATGATTACAATTTTGAATGACGCCGTGATGTGTCACTGTTTTTCTTTTCTTTACCCTCGGCAGAGAACAAATCTAGACAGAAAGTTAGAGAACAATGCCATTCAGACAAAGGTACGGTTTGAAGTATAGTGTCATCCTGTTTTATCTAGACTTAGTCAGGGAGTGTAGGTCTTCAGAGCTACAGTTGAGGGCTTCCCATGAAGACTGAGGGAGAGTAAATTCCCTCTATCAACACTGAGCTCCAATTAACAACACGTGATTTTTGGGTAAACTTCCTAATGTCAGTTTTTCTTGTTACCATTGGACTGGAATCATTCTAAAAAAAAAAAGAAAGAAATGAGGTCCCAAATAACCCAGGGACAAGTGCACAGCCCTGTGATACTGTGATGTCAGATATAGTTGGTCTTCAGCCCTGATTCCTGAGTAGTTTTTTTTTTTAAATTGTTTTTCAACTACATGATGCCATGCATGTGTTTATTATTAACTGTTATTTTAAATATTTTTTTTTTTTTTACAAATAGTTTATTGTCAAATTAGTTTCTGCATAACACTCAGTGCTCATCCCCAAAGTGCCCTCCTTCATGCCCATCCCCCCCTCCCCCCCACATCCTGAGTAGTTTTTAAGACCCTTGGAATTTCCAGGATGGGAGTAAAAGGAGTGTCTTTTGTTATTCATAACAAGCCCTTTTCAACTATACCTGAGTTTATGCTAATGAATGACTTGGGGGGGTGCAGATAGATTCTGGATGGGGGGCTGGTTGCCAGAGGAACCAATCAAGGAAGGGAACCTTAGGCCCCTGGGGTGGGGCAAGGTGCTAGAGGTTGAGTTAATCATCAATGGCCAGTGACTCAACCAATCATGCCTACACAGTGAAAACACCATAAAAACCCCTAAAGGATGAGGTTTGGAGAGTCTGGAGTTTGGTGCTGGGAGGGTGGCAGACTCAGAGGGGGCTTGCCTTAGTCTATGCATCTCTTACTGACTGATCCTGAGTTGCATCCTTTATAATAAACCAGTAATCGTAAAATGCTTTCCTGACTTCTTTAAGCCAGCCTAGTAAGTTATTAAACTTGAAGAAGGGGTCACGGGAACCCCTGATTGATAGCCAGTCTGGCGGAAGTACAGGAGGCCATGAACTTGCCATTAGCATCTGAAGTGGGGGGGTGGTCCTGTGGGAGTGAGCCCTTAATCTGTGTGGTCTGTTCTAACTCCTGCTAGTTAGTGTTATCATTGAATTGAATTGTAGGACACCTAGTTGGTTTCCAGAGACTTGCGGGGGAAAAACTCCACACATTTGGTATCAAAAGTGTTGTGAGTAACTAACTACAGTTGCACCCTTAACAGAGGTAATACATCCTACTAAAGGCAGACAGCTAACACTCAACTCAGTAAATGCTCTGAGACCCCTGTTCACCAAACACATCCGCAACGGAGGTGAAAGAGGACTGCTTGGTCCAGACCAGCCTACCTCCCTGTTCTCAACTCTACTGATAGGAAAAGACAGGAGTCAGAGGGCAGAGAGGGAAAGGTCAGGACCTGAGGTCCAGGGGTGGGGAGAAAACACATATTTTGCAACAATGCTGGGAGTGGCTGACGACAGCAAACTCCCTGGGGCATAAGGTTCTATTAAGAATGTAACAGATACCACCTACACCCCCTTAGGTTTCCCTCAGGAAATCTGACAAAAGACTTAACTAACAATAAGTAGTAGACCATAAAACATATGACCCATAAGACATGACATGACCACAGGTCACCCCTCATACAATGGAAATGAGCCAATCAGGAATGGACAACCCAACACCTAGAGCTATCAAGCTCATAAGGGTAGAACCTGAGAAGGAAGGTGGGGGGGGGGGGGAGGACAAAGAGAAGGAATGCCCAGAACTTTATAAAAACAAAGGCCCTTGCCTATAGCTGAGGGTATTCACCTTTGAATGCCCCCTCTCTGTAAAGAGAGCTTTCATACTGTTCTTACATTCTCACCTTATACCCTAATAAACTTTTGCCTGCTGCTCACCTTGTGTCCATCTCTTCATTCTTTGAAGCAGCAAGACAACAAATCCTAGGTATTGAGGTAAAAAAATCCTGCAACACTTCTCTGCACTCCAACCACACTGCTCTTCTCCTGTGGCTCAGCCCCACTATGCCACAGGGCCTTGGCATGTGCTTTCCTTGCTCCAGGACTACTCCCTCCACTCTAGTCACAGAGTTACTTCTGTCCCCAAAGAATCTGCATTCAAGACTGTAGACCTGTATCAATCAGATTCACTGGCTCCTCACTTCCTCCTTCACTCACCTCGAACTGTTCTGCCTTTTCTGGGTGGTCTTGTAATTCCATATTTTGGAAAGAAGTTGCGGTCTGTTGAAGTAAATTCTTCAAAGTAATTATTTCTCTTGTGAGGGAATGTCTTTCTTGGGTTTCATTCTCCACCAGTTCCTTATTTTCTCGAGCTTTCTGAAAAAGCCTAACATATAACATCAAAATAAAATTGTTCTGATCCTGCTGTCTTGTGAAATAGTTTTTATTTCAACAATTAACATAATGTCAGCATAGTTCACAAAAGATTATTTTTCCTGAGAGAAAAGTACCAGTGTTCGGTGGTTTATATACTACATATACAAACATATACTAAATTCTATCACTCGATCAAGTCTCTTCAAACTTTCATCTCAAAATATCCTCTCGTTAGGGTGCCTGGGTGGTTCAGTCGGTTAAGCATCTGATTCTGGATTTTGGCTCAGGTCATGGCCTCATAGTTTGTAAATCTGAGCCCCACATCAGGCTCTGTGGTGACAGTGTGGAGCCTGCTTGGGAGTCTCTCTCTCTCTCTCTCTCTCTCTCTCTCTCTCTCTCTCTTTGCCCCTCCCCAGCTCGTGCCCTCATTCTCTAAGTAAATAAATAAACTTAAGAAAAAATAGTCTTTTCACACTTTACGTTCCAATTGGTTATCTCCATCCTACTTTTCTCCACATGATCCTTCAGTTCATCCGAATATGACTTAGAGGTGAGAAAGCCCCTGGGTGGGCTCTTGGGGATAGACGACCCCACTAACCTTTTTCTCTTGGCTGACCCCATTTGCTGTGGATGTAGCTACCATATTAGCAAAGGAATTTAAGAGGGTACAGTCTTTCCTGAGAGCTATTTTGTAAGTATTTCTAGCGATAAACATACTCTATCCTTTGACCCACTGATTCTGCTTCTTGGTGTCTTTCTCAAAGAATTAATCACAGATGCAGACAGAGATTCTGGCATAAGAATATTTGTTACAGTGTTTTTTTAGTGTTTTCTTATTTTTGAGAGAGAGAGAAAGAGACAGAGCGCAAACAGGGGAGGGGCAGAGAGAGAGAGAGAGGGAGACAAAGAATCCAAAGTAGGCACCTCGCTCTGAGCTATCAGCACAGAGCCCAACGCGGGGGCTTCAACTCTGAATGGAGAGATCATGACCTGAGCCGAAGTCAGACACTTGATCGACTGAGCCACCCAGGTGCCCCTTTTTAGAAAAGAAAAAAAACACTGGCGTATAATTTAAAGGTTCTATAATAGGGTGTTGGTTAAATAAATTATAACATATTCACACGGTGAAATATTGCATAATTATGTTTTAAGGAACGTTTAATGTTAAGTATAGGCAAATTAAGATGATATGCTGATAAATGATTTAGGACACAACAAAACAGTATAGTACTATGATCGTAATTTGTTTAAAAATATAGTCATAACAAAAAAGATAAGTGACTGGCAATGATTGTTGCTGAATAATAAAATTAACGAGGGGGTATATTAATCTTTATAATTTTCTCATATTCCCTGAACTTCCTATAATGATTATTACAAAGGAATCATTAATAAAAAAGATTCAAAAGATATTCATCCTCAATAATACCAGGATGGAGAACATGTGCTTGTTTTCATCATCATTACTGATCTTTTCCATTCCCTCCCCTTCTTAAGTGTAGTTGATACTCAATGTTACATTAGTTTCAGGTGTACAACTTCGTGATTTGACAGGTTTATGCATTATACTACACTCCCCATAAGGATAGCTAGATCTGTCCTGTTACATCACTATTACAATATCATTGACTACATTCCTTATGCTCTGCTTTTCAGTCCCAGAGTTATTCATTTCATGACTGAAGGGCTGTACCTCCCCCTTCCCTTCACTCATTTTGCCCATGCCCCTCCTGCCTCCCCTCTGGTTCTGCTTTTTGTTCATTTATCCTTTTTTTAAGATCCCATTTATGAGTGGAATCACATGGTATTTGTCTTTCTCTGACTTATTTCACTTAGTGTAATACCCTCTAGGTCCATCCATGCTGTCTCAAATGGCCCAATCTCATCCTTTTTTAAGGCTGTGAATATTCTGTCATGGACATATACCACATTTTCCTTATCTATTCATCTTTTGACGGACACTTAGGTTGTATCCATGTCTTGGCTACTGTAAATAATGTTGCAATAAACATAGAGGTGGGTGTATCTTTTTGAGTTAGTGTTTCCCTTTTCCCTGGGTAAATACCTAATAGTAGAGTTTACTAGATCATATGGTAATTCTATTTCTAATTTTCTGAAGAAGCATCATACCGTTTTCCACAGTGGATATACATTGCCAATACTCTTTATACTCTTCTGTGTTAACCCAATTCTACCATATCATTTGTCATTATTCTGTATTTTTATATTTTTAAAATCCAGTATTTTCTAAATGTTAAGCCTCAGTCATCAATCATGTTGCCCTAATAGTTTTTTCAGAAGACTTACTTGTTGCATCGTTCTTGCATCGATGTAATCTCTTGAAATGCTGCGCCAGTTTCTACAGGCTCTAAGCTTTGGGGAGCAATCTGGATACTTCTTAGGCGCTGAAGAAGTAAGGTCAGTAACAGCTGCTGCTTCTCCACATTGTCTTGGTAACGGCATAAACAGTCTAGCAGCTCACAGAGCTCCTCTGTGGTGGCCACCTCTTTTGTTTTAGAAACTTCAGGGAGATCTTCTTGAAGATTATCTAAGATAATTGTTTCTCGTTCAATCTAATTCAATAAACAAACAAACAAAAAAAGAGAACTAAAATAACAAAAATGTACTCAGACCACCTCAAGAGCTGAAGCATACCTTGGGAACCATAATTTTTGTGCACTGGCCCTTCAAAGGGTTGCTGATGCTATATCCTCGCTCAAAGCAGCATCTGTCTTTCTATAGCTGGGAGTTATTATTCCTCTGCTATCGGAATCCCGTAGCTCCCAGCGACTGATCATGTAGATATGTGATTGCATTGAAGTACTGCTACTGTGAGCTGAAGGAAACACTGTTGAGTATTTTCATAATTTTTCTCTCCTTCAGATTTCCATTGCACAAAGCAGTTATTTCTTCTGCAACACCGATAGGGCAGTTCGAATGAGCTCCACCAAACTGCAACCACTAAGCACAAGAGGTCAGGGGACTGCTGGATAATTTTTCTACAGGTGCCTTTTCTTTCACATCCCATTCCTACATGCCCAAAAAAGTAAGTCCAGTACTTCCTCCATTCCCCTAACACCTATGCCAAAGGGGAAGCAGTCCTGACTAATCATGTATTTGTCAACATGGCTATGGGCAGAACCTAGAAGTACATAACCTAATACGTCATATGTCTGCACAATGGGGTCCTGTCATCCTTGAACTCAGAATGAAGACACAGAAAATCAGATCCCTCCACCACACCTCTTCAGACGCTGTGACCCTCACCTCAGCTGCGCCACACAGTCCCCACATTCTGCCCCAACATTGTTAACTCTCCTGCTCTGGTGTTCAAACTCAGTCAGGCATCTTGCGATCAGGACATTAGAGAATATCACTCCAGGCCACTACCTTTCTGATATCATGCTCATTGAAATGATGAACGAAAACATGGCTGCCAAGGGGTCAAAAGTAAAGCCTAGGAAAGTTTAGCAACTGCAGTGTAAATTAAGTTTCCAGGAGCTCAGTGGTCTGGGGCACACCAGAATTCCAGAATTCCCTAACACAAAACTCATGTTGTTCAATCTTGTACTTCTACCACTAAGAAAGAGGCCTGGCACCGGATATGCCCATTGAGATTTTGGAGGCAGTATATGCGACACTGGAGAATATTGCTCAGATCCTTTTATCAGAATGCTGCCAATGTTGAGGGAGGTCTGGAGAAAAAGAGGCACTGTGGTAGGATCAGGCTATGGGATAAATGCCCTGCCACTTGGGCCAGATGATCCGGCTGAGTTCCCGAGTCACTAGAACATGTGGGTATAGGTATAGGCTAGCCTCTCTCCCAAAGACCCAGTTATGGAATGTATGCTTTCCATCACCTCAAACCTAAATTCAGGTGGATCAGAAGTGCCGGTTCCTAGGCAGGCAGCTACACTTCCACCAGGGAAAGAGATAAAAGAGTTCCACCGGGTTGTTTGGGAACCTCCCTGCCAGAGAACCAGCAAGCAAAGAAAGGACTTGCTGTATTGTCAGAGATAGCTGTACATCTAGGGTTTCTAATATACATCAGGGTTGAAAGAAGCATGTCTATAATCTAGAACTTAATGGAACATCTCTTGGTGCTTCCAGGCCAGGGATAACCATGAACGAGCAATGACAGCAACCACGACCCAATGAGCGTAAAGCAACTAACCTTCTCCTTGTCCCCCACACCTGTTCCTTGAGATCACCTTCCAAAATAAACCACCTGCCTGCAAGCCCCATCTCAGGCTCTGCTGTCAGCTGTAAGTTGGCAAGTGATTAAGGAGGGAAATCATTTTTTACCAGGACAATAATTTGAGTCAAAAGCCAGGCCATTCTTCAACTTGTGATGGATAATCAAACTGTCATACATGCACCTAATCTCATATTACTGGAGAAGAAAAACAAATGAACTACTGATACAAAGCAGCAATATGAATGTATCTCCCATGCATTAAGCTTAGTGAGAAAAATGCCAAACTCAAAAGGCACAAACTCTCTCAGTCCATTTATATGACATTCTAGAAAATGGATGGGGCACCTAGGTGACTTAGTCTGTTGAGCGGCTGACTTTGGCTCAGGTCATGATCTCATGGTTCGTGAGTTCAGGCCTGCGTCGGCTCTGTGCTGACAGCTCAGAGCCTGGAGCCTGCTTCAGATTCTGGTCTCCCTGTCTCTCTGCCCTTCCCCTGCTAGCACTCTGTCTCTCAAAACTAAATAAACATAAAAAATTAAAAAAAAAATAGAAATGGCAAGACAGATTAATGGTTGCCAGGGGCTGGAGGTGATAGAAGCGACTGGTTACAGAGGCGTAGAATGGAACTATCTGGAGGGATGATAACGTTCCATATCTCCATTTTGTTGGCAATCATGTGACCGTGTTCCTCAAAACTCAACAGACTTGATGCTGAAAAGGATGAAGACAGCTTCCAAATGAGTAACACAGTTGCCGCAAAAATTAGGCATTCATTCTTCCACCTAGAAGAGGCTCGGCAGCCCTTGACTGATTTCCCTTGGACACAGAATTCTAATAATATGCATTATACAACTTTTAGGCTCACAGTCAATTATAGAGTAGAGCCTAGAAAGGGAGAAGGAGATGTACTTGCACCATAAGTTAACAGAGTGAAAGAGACTCAAAAACCCATAACCAGGAGGATCAGGAACTAGCAAAAGTCTTCTGGAATTGGGTTCATGGGGAAGAGGTCAGCTCCAATTATCTTCTGAGGCAGGACTTTAGTCTAGCACATTATGATCACGGAAGCAAAAATGATGCCTCTGAATAACCAGACATGAGTGATTAAATCAAGCAGGGCAGGGGAGGGACAGAGAGAGAGGGAGAAAGAGAGAGAATCCCAACAAGGCTCCACATAGTCAGCATGGAGCCCAAGGCAGGGCTTGATCTCACAAAACGTGAGATCACAACCTGGGCCAAAATCCAGAGTTGGACACTTAACCTACTGAGTCACCCATGTGCCCTTAACCAGAGTGTAAGTATGAATCCTCTTCTACCACTCACTTGTGAATTTGGGCAAGTTACTCAATCTCACTGTCTCACTTTCCTCATCTACAAAATGAGGACAAAATAAAAAATAATTACTTCATAGGCTTCTTGTGAGGATAAATGATAATACATACAAAGTGCTTAGAACTATGCCCAACACATGCTCCATACCTGCCCATTATGTGTTGGAGTAGTTGTTCCTATTATTACATGAGGGCATATTTTGTTTGTGATACTCTGAAAAACACATTCTGCCAGCAAATATTGTCAAATGCTTCTATGAAATAATTACAAGGTTCTAAATGAATGGGGTCTGTATTATACAATATAATTGCAAATGGGTCTATAGCAATAGCGAGACAATGTAGTCAAATAGAAAGAACAAAAGCTTAGAATTAGCTTAGACCTGGGTTTGAATAAGAGACGTCCCTCAAGAAATGTTTACCAACTGCCCACTAAGTGCAAGGCGGGGGTCAGATTCTAGTATATGTGCTGCCGAAGCGAGCACAACGGGGGTCAGATTCTAAAGTTACAGCAGTGAGTGAAAGAGCTGTGGCTCCAGTCCACAGCCCCAGCTCAATCCCTACGTGGGAGGTCTTATGCCAACAGAAATTGGTGCCTCAGTATCTCCATCATTAACAGGGCAATAATATTTTAACTCTTGAGAGCAATGCAAGGATTTGGTGGCACACAGCCTGCTGTAGGAACCCAATAAACAGCACCAGTATGAATGGGAAAGATGTGGGCTAGCAGCCCTGCTACAAAGTGTAATTTACAAAGTTTCTTAAAGTAGTAATATTTAAGAGTCTATTTACTAACCAAACCCTAGCAGCCCTACCGAAATCTTATTCATTTTCAAGAATATCAAGTATTTAGGGGCGCCTGGGCTGCTCAATCAGTTAAGGATCCGGCATCGGCTCAGGTCATGATCTCGAGGTTTGTGAGTTCAAGCCCTGTGTCGGACTCTGTGCTGTCCGACAGAGCCTGGAGCCTGCTTTAGATTCTGTGTCTTCCTCTCTGTCTCTGCCCCTCCCCCATTTGTGTGGGTGCTCTCTCTTTCTCTTTCTCTCTCTCTCTCAAAAAAAAAAATTAAAAATTTTTAAAAATATCAAGCATTTTTATTTTATATACAAAGAGCTAGCATGAAGGTAGGTATCTTGGATGACTCATTTATGGAAGTTCACTTAATCCACCTTAATGAAGCCTATATCCTCTCTGTACTGACAGAAACACTGGTGGCAATTATTTACTAGGCAATTGTTACTGAGGCCATTATTTCCGGAGCACACTGTGCCAGTGTGAGTAGACATGGCAAGAATGAGACCCCTGGCCAAGTTTTCTCCAATGGCTTCTGTAGGGCAGCTGATGACCTATGGTGCTCTCTCAGGTACAATGAGGCAAAAGGCAAGAAGATCAAGTGCTAAGCAGGAAAATATGCTTAGTGCTAAACGTTTCTATCCCAAAGCATGTGACCTCCCTCCAATCAATTACTGATTCATCATATTTCTCTCTTAAGTAAAGTTAGCAGGAATTTTGACATGAATAAGAGAGAAAGGTTTTCATTTAATGTTTTGATTTGTACTTCATTTATGCCTGACATATTAATGAATACCCTAAGATAATTTATACTATTTTGTATTTCCTTTCTGAATATATATGATAGCCTAAATCCTGAATCATGCTTCAATTAATACCTTTGATTGATATATACATTATGGAGGGTTTTCTGTTGTCGTTGTTTATTTATTTATTTATTTTGAGAGAGAAAAAGAGAAAAGGTGAGCAGGGAAGGGGCAGAGAGAGAGAGTGAAAGAGAGAATCCCAAGCAGGCTCTGTGCTGTCATTGTGGAGCCGTACACAAGGCTCAATTCCATGACCCCAAGATCATGACCTCAGCCAAGATCAAGAGTCAGATGTTTAACTACCTGAGTCATCCAGGCACCCCCATTATGGAGCTTTTCTTTAAGAGAGTTTTCAGAAAGAGCATCATACATATTTTTAAGTCCATACTTTAACAGTTGGAATTAATTTCCATAGCTAACAATTGTAGTTAATTACAAAATTAGCTAGTTATTGTGAATATTACTTAATTCTAACCTTTGGTGTTATGTAGAGACTTTTTTTTGAGAGAGAGAGACTGTGAGAGAGCAAGCATGAATAGAGGAGGGAGAGAGGGAGGGAGAGGGAGGGAGGGAAGGAGGGAGAGAGAGGGAGAGAGAGAGGGGGGGAGAGAGAGAGAGAGAGAGAGAGAGAGAGAGAGAGAGAGAGACTCACAAGCAGGCTTCATGTCCAGCACTGAAATGAAGCAGGGCTCCATCTCACAGCCCTAAGATCGTGATCTGAGCCAAAAACAAGAGTTGGATGCTTAACCAACTCAGGTAACAGGCATGCCAAAACAGTTAAGCGGGAGTAACTTATACGCACAATAAAGATTTTAAAGCTCAAATGAGCAAATACTATTTACTCATAAGTATTACCTGATACCAAAAAAAGAGGCACTATTAAGAAAGAATTTGAACCATTTCTTGGAGATTATTTTACTAGGACCTGACCTCTACAAACATTTATGTGTTACGTACGTGTGGTATGAGCAAATGGTACCGGTTGGGGACTTGTTTTATATAAAAAACAACATGAAAGCAGTAAAGCAATTTAAACAACTGTTGTTAGGAAACTGGTTATATTGTGGAAAATGAAGCACTTACTTCTTCGTTGACAAATTTCCACTCCTGCTTTAGTTCTTCACACCAAATCTCCCATTCTTTAGCAGCCTCCAGCAGACTCAACCATTTGTCCCACAGAGCTGATGTGGTTCTGAGCAAACACACATCATCACCGTCCGTGCACGTGTGTCTTAAGTGTCTGAGGACCTGGCGGAGCTTCATGAACTCTTCTTTGGTTGATATGAGATTTGACTCCAAAGCCTTAGGAGAGAAAAGGAATAGGAGGAATATAATGTCTGTTGATTTTTCTGAAACGTGGGCACTTCTTAAAATCTTGAGGAATTGACGATTCTCAATCATCTATAAGTGTTATCTGATCTATTTTTTAGACTTTTTGGAAACCAATTTAAGACAGATTGGAATTGCCTATGTATTATTGGGCTGCATGTGAATTTAGAACTATGGTGACAAAAGTGACCCGTAAACCAATTCTTCCAAGTAAGAAAGTGTTTTGAAAGATAGATTTCTTAAAAGTTCATTGTTATTTTAAAGTCTTAAATTTTACTAGGTAGTTCATTTGCATAATACTTATTAACCAAGAATGTATTATTTAGGGTTTTTGTATATGTATTTGTTTGTTTGTTGATATGGGGTAGATGTTAAGCACAGATGACCTAGAATGCTTTCATTCAAATCCTAATAACATAATATCATAGATTTTAACAGATGAAAATAAGCAAAAACAAAAATGGCACAGTAAGAATAAGAAGTAGCCAGAGTTTAGACTCATGCTAGTTGCAGTCAATTCTCTGTCATGGATCCAGCAACACTCAACAAAGTAACAGGAAAGGTAAAGCTTCAGAAAGAATGATCGCTAAGGACAATCTGCTACCAGTTTGCTAGAGTCCTGTGAACACGACTGATGAAATCTCTCAGAACCACTATTTCATGGTTCTTGTTGGCTCTTGGTTCAGGGTACTGTTAGTGTCCAACTCAGGTTGAAGATGGCTATGGGTCGTAACAGAGCCACATTCCCTGCTGTTGTCACCTGTTCCTTCTGCCAATTTTCTGCATCAAGTTTTACTGGAGATTTGCAAATAGTATTACCTTGCTCTGTTCCAAGCGCTCTAAAGCTTCTTTGTAAGATACTGGCAATGGGAATATGGACTGCCCAAGAACTGTCTCCATTTGGCTTAGGTGAGTGCAAATGTTCTCTTTAATTTTCCTATAGCATTTGTAATTCTCGAGACACCTATAAAGCACAAGTGGGACAAAAAGGGATATTAAATTTTATTTAGTACAATACATTCTAGAGTACCCAGAATGAATTCTGAACACTTAATAAAAAAAAGAATGTAATTCTCTTTTTCTTATTCAATGTATTACACCAAATTTTATTGACTACCTCCTCCTCACAGGGACACGCATTTAATGCAAACTTTAACAGGCAGATGAGACTTTTCTCAAAGCACATAAATTGTAAAACTGCACTCTTAAACACTGCAAATGAGGTATAAATTGGTACGATTCTTGTAAAACCACTTAGTCTTAAAAATGCTCAAATCTTGTGAACCATTAATTCAACTTCTGCAATTTATCTTAAGGAATTAATCCTCACGGTAGGAATTTATTCTAAACCTGATAAAAACTTTTACATGGTAAAATCTTTTAAATTAAACTATTAATTAAAATGGCAGGGGTGCCTGGGTAGCTCAGTCGCTTAAGTACCCGACCTGATTTCCACTCAGGTCATGATCTCAGGGTGGTGAGATTGGGCTCCATGCTGAGTGTGTAGTCTGTTTAAGAGTCTCTCTCTGCCCCTTCCCCACTCACATGCATGCTCTCTCTCTCTCTCTCTCTATCTCTCTGTCAGAAATAAATTAAAAATTAAAAAAATTAAAAATGGTGAAAATTGGAACATACTTTATATCTAACAAAAGATATAGTTAAGTAAATTACAACCATCCATTTTATAAACTATTTTACAGCAAATACAATTACTTTCATGAAGTTTTGTTACAATAAGGAAAAGAGCATATGTTATAAAGTAAAGGAAAAGCAGCATGTTTTTATATAACATAAAGTTCTCATATATTTTTAAAAAACTGTGAATAAAATTATGTGTATAAAATGAATAGTCTAAGTCCCTCACTGAAAACAACTAAAATTTTAGTATGAAATATGTATTTTAAAACTGAAATATAATAATGAACTAGAAAGGAATTAAGGAATATTCAGAGGCCACAAACTATATGCAAGCGGAAATACAGAGAAATAAACTGAGCTCTAGGGACAAAGACTTTGAGGGCGTTTGCGGAGTTTCAGTTTTATTAACCTTTTCCTGGAGTGCTGAGGGGACAGAGGATAAAGCCTCAACACAGGATACGTTTTAAATAGGAAACTTCTCTCTAAAGATATTTAACCACAAAGGACCAGCCTTCAAATTACAGCATAAATCTCTACAAATCAATAAGAAAAACTATGTGCAACCCAATAAAAATTGGGCAATGGCTTAAACTGGCATCTTTCAGAAGATGAATATGAATGACCAAGAAATATTCACTAAAGGTTGCTCAAATATATTAACAGTAATAGAGATACAAATTAAAGCCATAGTGAAATATCACTTTCATTCGTCACACTGACAAAAATTAAATCATCAGGTATTGGTGAGGATATGAAACAGTTAGAATATACTATGTTGTTGGAACACTAATCTGAGCAGAAATAGGTAAAATTATTTGGAATTTAAAACGTAAGGGGTGTATACCTTTTGACCCAACAACCACAATCCTCAGTAAATATTCAAGGGAACCTCTTGCATTTAAAAACGTTATTGGCACTATATTTGACTGGAAAAATTAGAAAATCTCAACTGTTTATCATTAGCTAGGTAACTGAATTTTGCTATAGACAAGAACTTGAATAAACTTCAGCATCAAAATGATGAATTTGAACAAAATGAAGTGACAGAGGAATACATATAGATGAAAATGAGTCATAAACACATAGAAAAATATTGTAAAAAGGAAGAAAATGGTAAAAAAGAAATTGGGGATAATGATTAATTCTGAATAGAAGGAAAGACCACACAAGAGAATTCAAAAGTCATGATGTTTACTTTTGAACCTTTAGGGACAAAGCTGTTTGTTTTATTATTATTATCCTTTATATCATATGCAGACTTTTATAAACATTCTGTTGTATATATTCAATATTAAATAAGAAAAAAGTAAAATAAACACAATAAAATATTTACTATCGTTTTCTGTAGGGATTTTTAAATTTTTCCATATTTTCCAAATTATTTCCAATTTGTACATGTTAATTATAAAGAAAAATAAATCAATCTATTTTTAGAAAGAAGTACCTACCTTTCTATTTCTGTTTCCCTTACTTTGGCTGCCTCCCTCACAGCGGAGTCCTTCAAAGCTAATTCATGGATAGTATACTGGAGTTGTTGTTTGGCTTCAGGGCTGGATATAGTCCCTAATTTCTCAGTAAGGTCCCGGATGTCTGCTATTGCAGTTTGCAATTCCTCTTCTTGCCAGTGAGACATCTCCAGCGATTCCTCTGGGTCAGCAAGGTCTACTCTATGGGCTGCAACAATGGCTTCACGGGCAGTAAAGATCCCCATCGCCCTAGTGACTGCCTCATTATAGCGTGTCAGACTTTCATAAGCATCATTCAAGACATCCTGGTGAATAGGAGATTAAACACTGTGACAAAGCTGGCAAACTTTGGGGATATTTATCATTCCTGAATTTTTGTAGTGCATTCATAATATGTCTGGGTCTTATAAGGGTTAGTGTCTCCTACTTTTAGTTTGACATTACGCTAGTACTTAAAGACAAATACCTTTTTGTTTGCATAAGAAAAACTGCTTCCAGATTTGCTAAGAAATCAATGCTGAATTAAAAAATACATCTCCCATGGGGTTCCTGGGTGGCTCAGCTGGTTAAGCCTCTGACTTTGGCTCAGGTCATGATCTCACAGTTTGTGAGTTCGAGCCTCATGCTGGGTTCTGTGCTGTCAGCTCAAAGCCTGGAGCCTGTGTCAGATTCTGCATCTCCCTCTCTCTCTGCCCCTACCCGGCTTGTGCTCTGTGTCTCTCTGTCTCTCAAAAATAAACGTTAAAAAATTTTTTTTAGAACTCTTATATTAGACTATGAACTAAATAAAGCAATTGCATATATTTAATGTGCATAACTTTAACCAATATTTGTTGGGGGGGGGAATAAAAAGAAAACACACCAACAACCCACCCCCGCAGATTTCTTGTGTTTTTAAATAAATGGTTCTGCCACTAACGTTAGTTTTGAGCACATCACTTAACATCTCCAGACCATAGTCTTCTTGCTGAAATAACAAATAGCTGATGTAAATAACTCTAAAGGTCCCTGTTACTCCATCTCTAATCCTATTATTTTAGAGATTTATGTCATTGTTTCTGGAAACTATATTAAAATCAAACAGAGAAGTATTGAATTTACTCAATATTTGTCAAGTATCAATTTAAAGAACACACTAGAATTCATAATATGACTTACATTTCTAATGTATTTATACCTATCAAATATTGAAATATTATCTAATAACTCTTTGAATTAAAGAAGGGAGTTAATTTCCCCATTCTATAAATTTAAGGTGACAATTCTGAAAACACAGTGAAAGGCACTAATGTTAAGTACAAGTGTTCCAGCAATAGCTAAGCTATCTATCCTAATTATCATGGGAAAGGAGGAAGCAGGTTGGAGTCATTTTACAACAACAGAGGTCAGCAAACTTTTCTTACAAAGGGCCAGTCTAAATATTTTAGGCTTTGCATGCATTCTGGACTATCACAACTACTCGACCCTCCGGGTGTAGCAGGAAAGCGGCCCTAGACATTCTCTAAAAAAATGCGCATGGCCATGATACAATAAAACTTTATTTACAAAATCAGACACTGTGGGCAGATTTTACCCATGAGCCTTCATTTGATGACCCAAGCTCTAAAATCAGACAGAACTTGACTCGAATCCTGGTTCTGCTCCTGTAAGAGCCTGAGAAAACTGTTGATGTTCCTGAACTTATATTTCCTTATTTTGAAATAGAGTTAATAATAGACTCACCTCACACAGTTGCTGTGAGGATTAAAAACAAAGCATTCAGCGCAGTGCTTAGACACTGTAAGTTCTAAATGGATGTAGAGTTCTTATTTTATGTTATTTTCTCTATACTCTATTTCTTCCACTATGCCTATTTCTAAAAACACAAACAAGCCAAAACCAAACTTTGAGCTCAAAAGAGGCTACCAGGGGTATAGAAATAAAGGTTTCACACTCCTCTTTCCTGTCTATAAAGCACAGTAATTAGATGTAAAATGAGGTGGGATTATAATCTAGCTCACTGTAAGTTTTCTTAAAATGGCTATTACATGGAGAACGTTCATGTAGAACCTATAACTCCTAAAGAAGCATAGATATTAACTAGAGTAAAAGCTAAAGCCACGCAATAAAAAGAAATGCATTAACCACCTAAGTGAAAAAACCTACTGTGCGCAAATCAATGCTTGTAGTAAGCTGTATGTGAAGATCTCCAATGTCACATAATTTTGCCTCCACAACATTAGCTCCAGAAGAATTGTCTCCCCTTTGCTTCTCAATGATGGTCATAGATCTCACACTATCCATTTCTGCTTGAACTTGCTCTTGAAATGCTTCACAATCATCCTTCTCATTTTGAATATGTTCAATGTCTAAATTTATAACTAAAGGCTGCTCTAACTGAGTCTTGATCTGCTTCAAAACATGTAAGGCATTTTCCAGTTTGTCCTGAACATTCTTCTCATCCATTTCCTTGGGTTGGGCTTTTAGGATGTTGTTTCGGAGAACCTTATGTAACTTGTCATTTTCTTCTGCATATAGCTTTATCCGTAGCATTTCTTTCTCTTTGAAGGTGTCATCAAAGGCCTTACTTTCATTTAATTTCTTTATTATCTCTTGACACAAGCTCACGGCTTTTTCAATTCTCCGATTCAAAATTTGAGCATCGAGCAAACTGCTTTCTGGTGAGGTCTGGCGCATTTCTAGTACTGCTTCAGCTCTTTTCTTAATTTGCAAGTCCATAGCCCTCAGTTTACTTAGTGATGCTTGATATCTGCTATGGTCTGCCACCAACGTGTCCAACTGCTTAATTTTTTCCTCAAGTTCCTTTTCTTTTTCAGCTACTTGGGTGTGTAATTGGTCAAGTTGGGAACAATCCCAGCTTAGTCCTATATAGTCAAACACTTCTTTGAGTTTCAGTGCTTGTAAGATACTAGACTGAATACCAGTGACTCGGTCTTTAAGATTATAGAGCTCCTCTTTAACATCTTGACTTATTTCTTGATTTAGTAGCAGTTTGTCGGGCTGTATATGGTCAGCCTCCTTCTGAAGCATAGATGTTTTTTCATGAAATTCTCGGCAAAAATGTATCTTCTGTTCCACTTCATTACATTTATTTTGAATGAATCTCTGCGCTCTGTGGGCTCTAGTCTTAAGGTTTTTCAATTGGTCATCCAGAAATAATCTTTCAAACACATTTAGATCCTTGCAGATGTCTGTTTGCTCCTGAAGGTGGGTCGAGGTTACACTCTCTGCTTCTTGCAATTCCTTCAGAGAACTCATCAAAGTGACACGCTCATGTTCTAGCTCAGTTTCTGTGGAGGCTGTTTTCATTTTGGGAATTATCAGTGCTTCATTTGCCTGAAGAGAAAGTTGAACCTTCTCTATTGCGGCAAAAAGTTGGCTTCTTTCTTCCAATTTAAATTCTAACTGCTGTGATCTTTCAGTTGATTTTAAAACCAGCATTTGGTATTGATTCTGTAAGTCCTGTAGGAGGTGACTTAAATCAGTGCTCTCGTCTGCTGGAAGGCTGGGAATAATATCTTTGGCCTCTTCAACCAATAACTCCACAATTTGGTGCCTGTCCAGAATGTCATCGTGTGTCACCTTGCATTTTCTAATCTGTGAAAGAATGTCATCTGGGAGAAGGGGAATGGTAGGAGTGAGTTCAGCTAGCAGATTCTTGACCCACAGGATAATCTCTTTCATCCTGGTCTTCGTTTCACATATCCTGATCTGATGTTCCACCTCTGTGTTTAATGGCTCCACGGCTTTCAACTGCTTCTGCAAATTATTCATTGCATCTTCCAAAGTATTCTTTTCTTTTTCTCCCCAAATCCTCTTCATCTGAAATTCAGCTTGCCCCTTCAACACCGAAAATCTGTGCTTGACAGTCCGGAGTTCAATGGCCAAGGCAACTGTGCCTGGGCTCCCCTCCTGTTCTCCTGGAGAGTTCAGCCCCAACTGTAGATGCCACTGCTGTTGCTGCAGAGAAATTTCGAGGTCTTGGATCTGACGCATGAGAAGTATAAATTCATCACTTTTTGCTACTTGCTGAGAATACTTCTTTTGGGCCAGCTGCTGCAATTGTTCCCAACTATGGGCAAGTTGCTTGATCTGGCTTTCCAACAACTTCTTATCCATGTCGGTCACACAGTTTGATAAACTTTCCCATTCGATTTTCATCTTGCTTAAGAAAACTTTCTCTTTTTCTATTGATGCCAGATAATTTTTAATCTTGTCCAGATAGGCTGCACTGCCCAGAGGTCCCCTGGAAAAAGGGGGAAAAATGGAGCTTATTAATATACATCAAATGCATCAACAGGAGGTTAGAGTTCATGAAAAGAAATTAATTCCGCTTCGAATTCACAGAAGAGAAGATTAGGTTGCCTATAAAAGCATTCTGTCTTTAAAATAAAAATTAGGATCTTGATTAGGGTGGCTTTCAGTGAGTGTATAACAAGATAGAAAACTCACCTATAAAGTATCGTAAAAATGCAGAAAAACAGGAAAAGGGTGAAGCGTGAAAGGAACGATATATGTAAAAGTGCTCTGTAACTGTAAAGTACTTAAACATAGCTGAGTCCAAGCCTTTGAAATTATCACAATGTCCAACCACTTTGTTATCATTTTACCAATAATGAATAAGCGAGTATAATCAGGCTGATCTTTTGAATATAAAATTGTTTCCTCAAAGGGATATCACCAAAAGTAAACTCCATTTAGGCAAAAGCATAAAATCAAACTTTTAATTTTTTAAGTTTTTTTTTTTTCTTTAAAGTTATCTCTACGGCCAGTGTGAGGCTTGAACTCACAACCCCAAGATCAATAGTCGCTTAGTCCACTGACTCACTCAGCCAGGTACCCCGCCTCAATCTTTTTAATAATGACAAAGTGTTTATAAAATAAGACTGTATCTACAAACCATTTGCCATTATTTTCAAAGCCAAAAAGAGGTTAAATATGTAAAAAGAAATCATTAGAATAGATATATATTCAGTTGGTTCCAAACTACTTGAATTATGCTGATACTAAATAAGTGTATACATAGACTATTTCTCTCCATCCCCATATTTCAGAATAAACTCTTGATAAGAAGAGTGCTGAGTTCCATAGAATTTAAATCTATTTGGAAGATATTTATGGTATGAATTCATTGTTCAAGAATTTGTAAAATATAATTCAATTATAAATTATATATCATTTTATAAAATCAATATAAATAATATAAAATTTACTGCATGAAACAACAGTTTTCTTCAATGGCTTCCATACATGATTCATTTCCATATTGTACTTTTAAAACCATAAAATCCTCTCACAGTATAAGCTCTTAAAACCTTGGGCCTTTCCAAGGTAGTGCAGCCTATCTATGCTTGAATAAAAAGAACGCAAGACCTAAATTCTGGTTTTTTAAAAAATGTTTATATGGGGGGGGGGGGACGTAGATACAGAGCAGAGTGTGGGAGGGGCAGAGTCAGAGGGAGACAGAATCCCTAGCAGGCTCCAGGCTCTGAGCTGTCAGCACAGAGCCCCATGCAGGGCTTAAACCCACCACTGTGAGATCATGACCTAAGCCGACACCAGATGCTTAACCAACTGAGCCACCAGGTGCTCTGAGTCCTAAATTCTTATACTTACACTTTTAGACTTTCCTTTTCTGTCAACAAAGTTTTCACTGAGGATTCAACTGTAGCAAGCTTTTCCTGAAAATCCTTTAGGAAACAATACTGGCTTTCTTTATTTTTCTTCAAAGTGATAAGTGCCTGAAGCAGATTGTCCAAATAGTTCACTGAATACCCTGTATTGTGAAGAACCAAGGCACGTGTTTCTGCTTTATTGAGATACTCAGTTTGTTCCAGTGGCTCAATGGCTGCTTTCTTTGCATCCAATCGAGCATACAATTCCTAAAAACAGGTCAAGGAAATTGGTAAATATATATTCACTCCCCTACTCACTCATTAATTTCCTTCCTTCCAGTAACATTATATCCCAAGAATATGTTTTGAATATTTCATTTGCACACAGAGAAACTAAGGTGCTGAAAGATCAAGAGATTTTTTTCACTAGAATTATGTTAAAATCTAGACTGAAATTCACAATTGTTCTAGCATTTAATAGAATTAGATCTTCTTATCATGTCAAAAGGTTCTGTAGTGTCTAAAGGAAGATTTACTGCTTTTTATTCTGGGTTGTTCTACATTTGTAGATACTTCATTTATATACATTCTTTATCTATGATACCTTTATTTTATTATTCACATACATCACCTTTCTTGTTTGAAATACATGTTTACAGTTATATAAACTTAGCCAAAATTGTAGGGGTCATTTCTTTTTTTTTAACATGGCCACGTATTGAACTTTTAGATTACAGAGCTGTAAGTACATAAATAAATAAACATAGCTATGTAAACACGGCTGTAAAAACAAAGAAGTACTCCATAATGCTGATAATACGGAAAAATAAATTTGTCAGAATCTGAAGAATACATATGACTAAGAAGAGAAATGAGAAGTCAGAATCTCCAAATAGTGTTACTGAGTAAGTTAAGTTTTTAGGAACTTCATGAAAAAGACTAATGTTCATTAAACTCTTCCACTTTGTAAATGGAAAGATTTATACAACTTACTGATTAGTACATAATTATATAGTTACCAAATTGATCATCAGGCAAAGGTTAAATGAGACTTTTCATTCTGTACAAGCAAGTTTCTGGTAATTAAAATATATTGTATTGCACTGGATAAATGATGCAATCATGTTGTCAATGTTTTTCTTGTTTCCATACCTCTATCTCCTTTAATTGTTCATTTCTTAACACAACATCTAATTCTAAAGGTTGATTTTGCAGCTCATTGACTTTATGCTCGTCGCCAGTGTTTTTCATGCTTTCTTGAACATCGAGAGAAAGTTGTTTTGACAAAACCATTTCCACAGCTGAATTCTGAAAACATAAAAAGATTAATTGCCGAATGGTCTACCTTCCAAATAAATAATTTTTCTTTTTCTTGGTGAAAACATTCTAGTTCCTTCTATTTACTCAAAGTAAAGGCTTTCAAAAAGTGTGTTTGGGCACTAGCGAAGATCATTTTTTTCATGCAATATTTAATGCCAATATTGGTATCCCAAGGAAAAACTTTTTTGAAAAGATAGGATAGGATCTATAATTATATCATGAGGTATAATCTAGTCTTAAAGAGAACAGATGTGGAAAAAACAAAAGTTCTAAAGTTTATGCTTAGTATTCACTATGATGCAGAGAGCAGGGTAAATACCTGGCATTCAACGTTACCTATTGGTAGTTGAAGATACTAAGTGGATAGACGGCAGAAACATCAAGATTGCATGATATTAACAATGGATTATGCTTCAACAAATTAACAGTAAGAATTCCAACTTGGGTGAGGCAGAATAGGCTAGACATGTAGTAATTTGATCTTTTCTGAAAGCCGTACCAACTGGAGTTTCTCATAGGGTACATGTGACTAAGAGATGGTACCTGCATTCATTTATTTGTTCTTTTGACAAATATTTGCCGAGTATTTATGTGTATCGGGTACCACGGCCATCATTTCAAGAGATTTCAATTATTTTGCGAAGGTATTAGTTTTTATTTTCAGGTTACTTAATAAATGAAGTGCTGTTTAATTTTGCCATATGCTTTCATGTCAGTAAGGTCTGTATTAATAAGTCTGTGAATAACATGTGTCCACATCCCCAAACAAGGTAGAAATTGTTATCATAAGAATTCCGCCGAGAGAGCAATGTAGAATGTTAAGAAAAAGGGAAACTGGGTAAGAGACCTACGAAGCCTTTCTGTACCATCTTGACAGCTTTTCCATCAATGTATGACTATTCTAAAGTTAAAAGATTATTTAATCAAATAAAACAGATGTTTTATGTGTCCAGAGCTTCCCCAAAACTAACTGATAAGAAAACTCAGCTGACCAGCGTGACTAGTTTTGATTAGTTGGCACCTAGCACAAGTTACTTCTTTCAAAAGGCTACAAATGATTAAAATGATTTTGAAAGCTTCCTCCATTCCCAACAATTTATTCATGCAAACTATAGTTAAAAATCCACAGGGAAGGCAGCATCTCAGGACGAAAGATTCTGGAAGACTACAAGAGGAAAAGAGAAAGGCGCCCCACCACAGTCTCCATCAGCCCGTGGGCGCTCCTTGCCGTGAGCCGCAATCACAGGAGGTGGACACCTGCCTCCCACTTGTTACCCTCCCAAATCTACCTGCAGAACAAGAGCCCCTGAGGTGAAGGCTGAGATAGTAGGGCCCTAAGAAAACTTTACTTATTATTAATCATCTACTAAGAATTCAGAGCCCTTGGTCTGACTTACTTCATACATCAGTGACTTGAGGACTAGTAACAATTGGCCATTTGTAATCTATCTTTAGTGGCCAGAGAGAGCATTCTGAAAAACCTGCAATCACCTCCAAACACCATATGTTTACTAACCCCAAAAGCCATGTTTCTACCTTGGCAGAATATCCAACGGAATCCCTCAAACGAACATTTCAAATTTAAAAGGTAACATTCTCTTGCTCATGCCCAGAGAGATCGGAACACAGACTCAAGGTCCTGATTGGCTCCTGGAAAGATTCTTTTGTAGTCAGTCATCTTTGCTCATCACCCTTTACTATATTTTATTTTGATTCTGCAGGCTCATTTGAACAATTTTATTTTATTTAAAAAACATTTTTTTAACGTTTATTTGTTTTTGGGAGAGAGGCAGAGATACAGCATGAGTGGGGGAAGGGTGGAGAGAAAGGGAGACAGAATCTGCAGCAGGTTCCAGGCTCTGAGCTGTCAGCACAGAGCTTGATGTGGGGCTTGAACTCACAGATCATGAGATCAAGACCTGAGCCAAAGTCGGATACTCAAACGAGCCACCCAGGCACCCCTGAACAATTTTATTTTAAATATAAGATATTTCAAACGTAGTTAGAAAACAAAATATAACCTACAGTATTACTCACAATACAGATATAAGTAATGTAATCTTCCATACTACAAATTAATCAAATATAATTTAAAGCCCAGTGCACATCTTTCTTTCATCTCTTCCTTCCAAAGATAACCACTATTCTGAAATGTACATATACAACTTTAAAAATATTTATTAAATCATCTCTCCAACCAATGTGGGGCTCAAACTCATGACCCTGAGATCAAGAGTCACAAGGTCTACAAACTGAGCCAGCCAGGCACCCCTACACACACATTTTTATACTTTAATTATATATGTTAGTATTCATACAGTATTGTCTTATGTATTTTAATTCTTATAAAACTGGAACCATGTATTATCATAACTTGTTTTTTTTTTTCATTCAGCAGTATGTGTTGGGTATATTCATGTTGACAGATATAAATCTAGCACAGCCATTTTACCTTCTTTACGGTTCTACTTCTGCATGAACATGACTTATTCATCTGTCAGGCTACTGTGAACATAATATTGTTTCCAGTTTCTCTTGTTACAGATATTGCTCTGACAAACACCCTTGTGTCGGTCTTCTTAAACATTGTGTGAGTTTCTTTGGGATGTTTTCCTAGAACTAAAATTACTCCTTTTGACTGTCAATGGATAGTTATTGGTTTGTTCTCCAAACTGAATTACGGTTTTTATTCCCACCAGCATGGTAAAAGATTTCTTATTTTCCCTAATCCTCTCTGATATTTGGTGCCAACAGACTTTAATTTCTGCCAATATAATGCATGTGAAGTTGCTATCATTACTGTTTTAATGGTATTTCTCTGACTGCTAACAAGACCGAGTTACTCTCTGGGTACCCCAGTGGCTCAGTTGGTTGAATGTCCAACTTTGGCTCAGGTCATGGAGTCGTGGTTTTTGAGCTTGAGGGCCGCATTGGGCTCGGCGCTGACAGCTCAGATCCTGCTTCAAACCCTCTGTTTCCCTCTCTCCCTGCCCCTTCCCTACTCTCACACACACACTCTCCCTCTCTCTTAAAAAACAAAAGGGGGTTAAAAAAATGACTGAGCTATTCTCCTAGAAGAAAACATGAGCAGTAAGCTCTTTGACATTAATCTTAGCAATATTTTTTTGGACAAGTCTGAGGCAAAGGCAAAAAAACTAAAATAAGCAAATGGTACTACATCAAACCAAAAAGCTTTTGCACAGCAAGTGAAGCCATCAACAAAACAAAAAGGCAACCTACTGAATGGAAGAAGATATTTGCAAGTCATATACTTACAAACCCATATTAATGGATTAACAGCCAAACTATACAAAGAACTTATACAATTTATGATTAAAAAAGTCTGATTAGAAAAGGGGCAGAGGACGTGAATGTACATATCTGTACATTCAGGAGGTAAACAGGCACGTGAAAGATGCTCAACATCCCTCATCATCAGGGAAATGCAAATCCAAACCACAGTGAGACGCCACCTCACACCTGTCAGATTGGTTATTATTAAAAAGGCAAAAAATAACAAGTGCTGGTGAGAACGTGGAGAAAAGAGAACCCTCATACACTACTGACAGGAATGTAAGTTGGTTCAATCACTATTGAAACAATTATGAAGATTCTTCAAAAAATTAACAGTATGTCATACGATCCAGTGATTCCAGTGATTCTGCTTCTGGGTATTTATCCATAGAAAATGAAAACACAAATTTGAAGAGATATGTGCATCCCTATGCTTGCTACAGCATTATTTACAACACCCAAGATATGGAAGCCACCTAAATGTCCCTCAGTAGATATATGGATAAAGAAAGTGCAGTGTACACATGTAAGGAATATTGCTCAGTCGTAAAAAATAATAGCTTTCTATAGATAAGCATCCATCATCACCACTAGGGACAAACTGAAAGGCATATCAGCGCAGTCTCAGGGGCTGCCTCTATCTGTTTGCATAATGTCTACAATGCTAACATGACCATGAGTCACTTGTGACTCAGCCAGCCTCGCCTACATCTCAGGCCTCACCTCTGTCACTCTCTTCTTTCCTCCACCCTCTCTTTCATCCTTTCAAACTCTTCATGCTCTCTCCCCCACCACAAGAGAGGAAGCTCTGTCAAAAATGCTCCCAACATCCAGCCCTGAGCTTTGTTAATTCCAACCCACCCTTTGGGTCTCCTTTCAAATGTTGTTTCCTTCTGGAAGCTCTGACTACAGTTCATGGCAGAGACTCCTTTATTGTAGACGATCATGGAAATGGGTTCCTTCATTCAGTTCCTGTAATTAGGCTCTCATTAGTTAGTTACTTGATCGATGCATGTCTCCTTTAGACTAGAAGCTCAATGAGAATAGAGACAGTGTCTATTTTTTGCTCATCATGGAACCCTCATGCTCTGCTCAATAAATTTTTACTGAATGGATGTATAGATTAATTAATATTAGACAAAAAATAAGACAGTTTTGTTTAGTCTTTGCTTGTTAAGATGAACCATCTGTGGGTTACAAAGTAGAGAGCAAAGAAATTGAGGGTCTGCCAATCTAGATCTACCAGTCTTGCTGTTGTTGACCCAATACCTCCTAGGAAGGATAGTAACAGGATTTGGTTGGGTTTACCAAGAGTAGAGAAGGTTCAAAATAGGCACAAGAACTCAATAAAAGGTCCACTGAGGTCAGAGAGCACATTAATTAACAACCCACATAACACATTCAATAAAATGGTGGGGTAAGGCACCAAACATCAGGCTGGGTAGAGGATGCCTGTGTTCTAGTCCCAGTGCTGCTAGAATACGAATTTGACCAATTAACATCTCTGGCTTCCCTCACCTGAAACACAAGGGTTAGGCTAGAGAGTTTCTAAGGTCCCTTAGCCTAAGATTTCAGGACTTTGGAATGGGCTCTCAAATGCATGCTGCTCACAGATGTCAACACCATGTATACTATATAAGTCACTTAGTGTCCTGTAAAGGAATAAATCTTAGATTACAAAAAATACCTCTAGAGTAAGAAGCATGATTTACATATGGGCCCAAAAGAGGCAGAGTAATACACTTTGGAGACAGAGTTGGCATATGGCCCAACGATGTGTTCCATTACAAAAACTTTTTTATGGTGTTATTGGGATAAACAACACCAAAAATAGACATCATTTTCCCCAGGACTGAAAATTGTTTACCCAGTAAGTGGTTTTCCTTCTTATTCTAGTACAGACGCCACTATATTTCTGGGCGCTCACCCACAGTGGGATGTCTTTGCCTGTATCTGTAACCATCCACTTTCCAAAATTTCTTTATGGATGCTTCTTACACATTGAAATGATAAATGCTCAGAACTTTTCAAAAAGAACAAAAAACAATTCAGACATACTGACTAGCAATTATACCTAATGACAAGGAATTTAAAGAAGTAATTATAGACAAAAAGTTTTTGGAGGAGCAATTATGTCATGTAGGTTGACATTTGAAAGGAGGGGGGCAAGAAAGAACGCTTAACACCAGTTAATATGTAATGTTGCTTTATGAGTTTTCAGAATAATAACAAACCCAGAACGTATTACTTTCCTGTTTTTCCTCTTTATCATTTCCCTTTATGAACATCTGAACTCTTAAAAGATTACTCAGTCTTCACTTTTTATCATATCCTAATTTGTTACTTCACTTCACCTATACAGGAAGGGGAGATGGAAGGTAGTTCTGCCCTTTCATATTCAAAAACTCTGAGAGGGGCACCTGGGTGGCTCAGTCAGTTAAGCATCCTCCGTCTTCAGCTCAGGTCATGATCTCACAGTTTGTGGGTCTGAGCCCCGTGTCAGGCTCCATGCTGACAGCTAGCTCAGAGCCTGGTGCTGTCTTTGCATTCTGTGTCTCCCTCTCTCTCTGACTCTCCCCTGTTCATGCTGTCTCTTTCTCTCTCCCTCTCAAAAATAAATAAAAACATTTTAAAAAGCCTCTGATAAATCCATCTCTATAAAAATATCTAGTATGATATTATTGGATCATAAGCACCCATACCTTTCAGTCTGCATGTTATAATTTCTTTTGCCTCCAGCTTTGCCTTAATATTTTTTATATTAAAGAAAAAGTCAGCCAAAGGTCCAGATCTAAGTTATCCCCTAAATTTCACTGAAAATGAAATTCTTTGCAACGGATTTAAATATAAACATGCTGTAATGGCAATTTTTGAAAAGTGCAATCATACTTTCAACAAAACTCTAAGATCACATGAAATTTACTAAAGAAAAAGTAGAAGAACATAAAAGCTTCCTAAAATTTTAAATAATCTGATAAAAGCCCCTCCAAATACCAAAAAGTCATGTGAAATGAGCATTAATTATATATTTAGTGTTAGATTTTAAGCTGTGACAAGTGTACCCCTATTCTAGTAGAATGACTAGCACAAAAGAGGCCTTGGTAAATGTTTTTAATGAATTAAGTGCTTGTTTTCACTACCACAATAGTTTCTAATTAATTAAATTTATAATTCAGTATATTGTGCTTTTATGTGCTCTATGCACTCAGTATATAGAGACTCTTGTTTAAATAATTTACACTTGTCTTATATGTGTCTGTATATGTTTTGATCATTTTACTAGCTGTTCAACATTAAAATTGTTCTGGGTCTTACATAGTCTAATGTTACATAGAATAAAGCAAATACAGGGAGTACTTAGAATAGAGAAAATAAGAAAAAAAAAGATTCATGTTACACAAGAGTAAAAGGTAATCATAATAAAACACTAGTAGGGAATTAAGACCAGTTTCCTCTACCCTAGACCTGTGAGAATTATTTGAAGACTTAAGTACCTCTATAATGTTTTTAGCTTTAATAATAGCTTATCTCAGGGTACCTAGGTGGCTCAGTCAGTTAAGTGTCCGACTTCAGCTCAGGTTGTGATCTCATGGTTGGCAAGTTCAAGTCCTGCATCGGACTCTCTGCTGTCAGCACAGAGCCCTCTTTGGATCTTAGGTCCTTCTCTCTCTCTGCCCCTTCCCCACTTGCTCTTTCTCTCTCTGTCTCTCTCTCTCTTTCAAAAATAAACATTAAAAAAAACAGCTTATCTCCTCCTTCACAAACACATGAACCTTTTGACCATTACACGAGACACCACAAATTAAATAAAAATTTTATTAGACTATATTTGTCTTACATGATTCAGTGGAAAAACACTTTAATGAAGCATCATAAATTATAAATAACTCATCATTCAAGATTAAGCAAAAGCTTAGTAAATTATAAAAATTCTTCTATTTGGATTATGATCTTTATTTAGTTTTCAATATACTCTATTGAATTTTGGGGGCTCATAGCCAAAATGGGTCTGAGAAGCTAATTTTAAAAGTTATTAAGCAACTCCCTGTAGGAAAATCATGCATCAGGATAGAAAGCACTCGGATATTTTTTTCTTTTTTACTTACCTACTGCTCTTTAAATACTGTTAAGAAAGTTTCTTTTATACGTACAACTGAAGAGTTGCATGCACGGGCCCTTCACTCTTTAAGACATTTTCCTTAACAGTATCTAACACTGCCTGTGGGATTTAGAAGTCTTTCTCATGGCCAAAAAGATGCTCCATTGGCATTTAACCTTGTTTTACATATTTCTAGAAATTGCTATCTGGTTCCTATAATTTTCCATGCATTTCTGTTTTAAGAAGACAACAGAAAGGGCGCCTGGGTGGCACAGTTGGTTAATCGTCCAATGTAAGCTCAGGTCATGATCTCACAGCTCATGAGTTTGAACCTTGTGTTGGGCTCTGTGCTGACCACTCAGAGCCTGGAACCTGCTTCGGATTCTGTGTCTCCCCTTCTCCCGGCCCCTCCCTGCCCCGCTCTGTCTCTGTCTCTCAAAAATAAATAAACATTAAAAAAAAATTAAGAAGACAACAGAAGTGCACGTTCTTTCACAGCTGTTGATCACATACTCCATAAAAAGCTGAGGAGGATTCACACCTGAATGGTCTAATCTTTGTGATGGTCCCACTGGACCCTGGACTGTGAGAGGCTGCCTAATAGGAAGACTCTTTCAAATACAGGATACTGGATGGTTCTTTGTGTCTTTTCCATTTCAGTCTCCAACCTGTGAGAAAGAACTTGAAGAGCCATAGGAAAATGTACCCATTTGGTTTATAGTGAAAACAAAACAACATTCTTCTTTCTTCTCCCCAGGGAAAATGAGGAGCCTGAATGTTGATGTTCTCACACCAAATGATCTGACAACATTTAAAAATGCATTTGCAGTATAGGGTTAACATGAGAAAAAAAGAAGGAATCTATCCTTTCAAACAGTCTCTGCTTTCATTATAAAATCAGCCAAAAAAAAATTGGTGCTCTTGGATTTTTTTCCTCAGAAAATGGGTAGAACACAGTTTCTTTTCTTTTGCCTTTTCTAATTTGCCTTTATGCTCTTGACCCAAGAAACTGTATCTGATTACATATCAGAGAGAATAATCAACCTAAATTGATGACTGACATTTTAACAGACTAAACAGTAATATTTCACCACCGAATTCCTGGACAGTTTTCTAAGGGTTCTTTTTACAAGTGGGCATCATAAATAGCCCACACATTGAGGGTTTAATTATGAAATCAGAAGGCTTGATTCACCACCCTCTTTTCAGAGCCCAACACCTCTTCACTGGCAGATGCCATGTCTTGGAGAGGCAATCACAAGCACTTACCTTGTTTATTTCCCAATCTTGTTCAAACTTTTCCAGTGCAGCTGAGTCCCGAGTGGACCCCTGCACATCACAAGTGACCTCCTTCTCTCTGCCTGGAGGACTAAACTTTTCTTTCTGTTCCATGGAGCGTTTCGATTGGAGAATGCTTTTGAGACAACTTTCTGTCTCCTGCTTAGCAGATTCAAGTCTGTTTTCCAAATCCTTTCGTTTACACTTAAGTGATTTTATATCATCTTTAATAATCTTCTGTCCCACTGAAGATGTATTTTTCTTGATGGATTTTGCTAAAGCTAAAGTCTTCTCCAATGTTTCATCTTGTAAATGGAGTCTTTTCTCTAGTTCCTGTAAGTGGAGAAAAGATGATCACGCAAAGTATTTCCATTCAATTGTCACAAGAGTTAATTGACTTTTGTAAATTGCGGCGTTCTCTTCTCCAGCAGGGGAAAGTATAAAAAATTTACCAATTTGTATCACAAAGAAAAAACTTTGGGCAAAATTTAAACCACTAAATAATAAGGGCCTACTTTGTGCAAAGCATTAAAAAAAAAAAAATAAAAGCATCATTTAGAATGTGCCCACATGAATCTAGAGTTAATATTTAAAATTCAGAGCAAAACTTAAATCAATCTGTCCAATGTAATATCTTAAATATAACAGGAACTCAAATATTTACTAAATGCATGAACAAATCAGGCTAATTTCAGAACTCAAGACTCAACTGCAATTTGAGATGCTATAGCAGCTACTGATGTTACTATTGAAATAGAGTTAAGACTTTAAGTTACTAAGTGAACTATATAGTATTTATTAGTCACTATCCTAATAGACTACACAGTGTCCATGCAATCATTCCACCAGCAGCAAATATTATTATGATAGACTTTTTTAACATTGTCTTTTATGTTTTAAAACCAATGTGGTACACCCAACGTGGGGCTCGAATTCACAACCCTGAGATCAAGAGGTGCACAGTCTACTGACCAAGCCAGCCAGATGCCCCTATCATGATAGGTTTTGAAGTTGCACAGATGACTAAAATTCAGTCCCATCAGGTTCCTATAGTCTAGTGAGAGACACAGAACAGACAATTGTATTAGAATGTGTAAAGGTCTATGCTAACAAATACACACAGGTTACTGAAACATTAGGTTGGAGTTTCAATTGCATTTTAAAAAGATACGGGTTGGGGCGCCTGGGTGGCTTAGTCGGTTAAGCGTCCGACTTTCGCTTAGGTCATGATCTCGCGGTTCGTGGGTTCGAGCCCCGCGTCGGGCTCTGTGCTGACTGCCAGCTCTGAGCCTGGAGCCTGTTTCAGTCTGTGACTCCCTCTCTCTCTGAGCCTCCCCTGCTCACGCTGTCTCTCTCTCTCTCTCTCCTAGAAATAAATTAAAAAAAAACATTAAAAAAAAATTTAAAAAGATACGGGTGGCCACCAGGATGTTGCAATAGAGAGGGTGACAAGTGCAGGCAGAGCCCATTCACAAGTCGATGCAGGGGTCTGTTTGCTGAAGGTCTGCCCTAAGGAGGCAATAACGGGGATCTTGAGGAAGTAACAAATTGTACAGAGATTCCAGAGATGAAAGAGACAATACTCAGTGTCTGACTAGACTGAGGAGTCTGGGAAAGCATGGATAACCAGGATTTTGACTTGAACCCTGGAGAGATGGGAGAGATGTTCACAGAGTCAGAGACTCTGGAAGAAAAAGCAGGCCTATTGGTTGGGAGCTGGGAGATGGAGAAAGGGAAGTTGCTATTTTCTGGACACGCTGAACCACAAATAACTGCCTGACATCCCAGTAGAGCTTGTGTACTGGGATCAGAAGACCTGAGTTGTAGCCCCCACTCTGTCATTTAACCTGGTGACCTTGGAATTCCCTCATCTCTCCAGAACCCAGCTTATCACGTATTCAGTACAGGGTCTGAACTTGATGGCCTCTGAGATTCCTTCTATCTATAGCAGAGGTTCTATGTTAATTTTGCAACAGGAGCCTGAGCTGGGCTCATGTTGGACACTTCCCTCAGTATCCGTGGAACCCAAACAGTGTCTTGGACATGGCTGAGCCCTGAACATGTGTCACACAATCACTGTTAAAAAGGGAAGCAGCCCTGTCACAATAACAGGCCATGGAGGAGAAGGCATGCATGATTCCCAGATCCCAAAAGAAAAAGATGAGGAATTCCCACACTCAGGCCACCAGTGCTGCTCTGAGACCCACCCCCTGAAATCTCCAGTTAAGGAGCTGGCAAAGAAAAAGCTGAGAAGATGCTTTACTTTGTTTTCTTCTAGAAGACACCTCTCAGGCTTGCTTGTTGGCTAAGCAAAGAGTGAGGATCCAAGGAACGTGTTTTGAGGATGTGGGTAAAGCGCCTACGATCCTCACTGTCTGAGGCTAGGTGCTACTGCAGTTTGGGAGAGGATTTTGGAAGCCTTACATCTGGAGATAGCTCAAATTTAGAACATGAGTGTGAAAATTAATAAGGTACAGACTCTAACTCCCATTTGCCCATGATAAAGAGTGCAAAAGGGAAGCATTTCCCCCTTGATCTTGCTGCATCCTGTGCATCCTTGGACTACCCAGTATCTCCTGGAGTCACATGGGGTCTCTGAAACAAAGATCTCCAGGAGGTACAGACTGGTCATGGGTAGAATAGTCTCTGAGGCTCCAGAGTGCAGGGAAATGTTTAAGTCAAATTACAAATGGATATGGTCACTAAAGAAGAGTATTCTCACTTTCTATGACCGGGCAGAACTTAAATTATCTTAATCATATGAATACCAACTGGATTTCTGACCAAAGGCACTTATTTGTTCATCGTAATTAATATTGATTTTTGTTTCAATGCCCATCATGTCTGGACATGGTTTAATACCTGCAGTTTCTGCAGTTTTTCCTCAACTGCTATTTGATCCACAGGCTTATCAAGAAAACTGGCAAATTCCTTGGAGATATTGTCCAACGTAGTATTCAGGTCTGTGACACAATCCTGGTATGAGTGGTGTTCTTGAACATGACCTTCCAATTTTTGCACAGAATCCTACAAGTAAAACCATTGACAATTCACCAATTATGTCTCTGAATTTCTTCACTCCTAAAATAATTAAATTGTTCACAAACACTTGTTTTATGAAGTTTCATCTTGAAACAGGAAGAGGCCCATAAATTGTCCAGGGTTCTTAAGTAAAGTTTTAGTATTTGAGATATTTCAATGTAAAATCTCCTCCTCCCCCCCCCCCACAAATGGCTTATTGAAATCACATGCTTCTTTGCCTTCATTTCATTCCTAAAGACAATTTACTTCTCAAGAGGTTTACAAAATGTAAAGGCTTCAAATTATATCATCAAATCACAAACATCCATAATAAAGCAGCTCTCTTAATTATCCTTCTTAGTAAAATCAAATACCCACAGTTGTAAATGAGACTATATGAGATCAGCCTAACCTCAGATTCCTTTCCTAAGAGTTAAATTCCAACATTGTGTGTTAGGAAAAAGTAATCCTAACTTGAGAGCAAACCCATCTTCAGGTTCTCTTCCTGGAATAGGAAAATAAGGTGGCCACACCTGATCAGAAAAGTAGCAATTATTAAACTAAATAATTTATAGCCAAGTGGGTATCTATTTACCCCTACACATCTTCTGCGATCTGTATAAATGGGATTTCTTAACCATAATCCTTACATTGATCTGACTTCCCATATGCAAGAATTATAGACAATTCTCTTATGAGAATACACTTCCTTGTGACAAGCCGACATTTATCTCTTAACTCCTTTACTGCAGACCACTCAAGGGAGGGAAACTGATAAGGTTTATACAGAATAATGAATATATGGCTGACGTTTGAACTATATGGATCCACTTATCATAGAGCTTATAGAGTTCAGTACTGTAAATGTATTTCCTTTTATGATTTTCTGAACAACATTTTCTTTTCTCTAACTTACTTTGTTGAAAGTAATATATATTGTAATAATACATATTATAAGTAATAGATGTTTGAATATATAAGTAATATACATATATATGTATATATATGTAATTTATATAACATATAATATATATGATAATCAACTGTGTATGTTGTCTGGAAGGCTTCCTGTCAAAAGTAGGATATTAGCAGTTAAGTTTTGGGGAAGTCAAAAGTTACATGCAGATTTTCATCTGTGGGGGTGCTCAGCATGGGCATGACCCATTTGTTCCTGGGTCAAATGTAAACTATTCCAATGGACAGATGATGGATGGAGAGGTGGATGCATGGATAACTTTGACAACATCACCTTCAGGGAGATACCTGAAAAAATCTTAACCCTTCTGGCCCTTGAAAAGAGGAACTCAAATGAGAAAAAATAACATAATAATCAAATAATGGCCACTGGATTCCTCTAGCAAAACTGGATTGAGCCCTCCATCTGTAAGGAGTTGGTCTTTGTATCTAAAAATGATAAATTAAATGTTAAAAGTTTTGGATTTACCAAATGAACAAAAAATAGTTCCATATACAAATATGACATCATTGTGCATAATGGTGACAATCATCAAAAAATCTGTTTTGACCACTTCACCTGTAGTTGTTGCAGAAGACTTTCGTGTAGTAGCTTTATCTCCAGCCAAGGCTCTTCACTGAAGCTGGGATTCTTAGTGCACTCTAAGAGGTAACTTCCTTGAGATTTTAACTCTTTGAGCAAGGATGTCAAATCCTGTGCTTTTTGGAGGAATTTCTTATAAATTTTTAACTGAGCTTTCTTCTCCTGCAAGCCATGTTGAAGAGCAAAGCCCACCTCTTGTTTCTTTTTCAGTTCTGTGAGCATTAATCTCAGATCCTCCTTACTTTGCAAATACTTCTCCCCTTCTAGTAGAAGTTTTTCTTGATGGCTAAGTTGTACAAAATTTTTAGAAATGACACTTAGCAAATTGGAATGTTTTTTGCATATTATAGTACAACATACATTATAATAAAAAGCATTAAAATAACACTAATATAAATTATTCCCAAGGACGGTTTTATCAATATAGCATTCTAAATGGCACTAAGGTTAGCTCAGAAATCAAGATAGAAATTATTTGCAGTATTCCTAAAAATATATATATTTCTGTTACATAATTTGACCTGAGAACAAACACTTAATAATTTAGATTCTAAACCATTCCAGTTTTTATTACACTTAATTAAAATTATGTTATCTTATATTTTTATTTCTCATATAAGTAAAACAAATAATCATTCAGTTAAATTGGCCAACTAACTAGCTTATGCTTTCCATAACTTAAATTTAGTTTTGATCTGCTTGTCTTCCTAGAAAAGATCTAAAATTCACATCTCCACTAAACAGTAAATGTATTATTTAAGATGCGATATGATTTAGGAATTTTCACCAGAATTATGTCCACTGAATTTGGACAAAATTTACAATGTTTACACTTTTGAGACTCTCTTAGAATATATATTTAAAAGCATAATTATTCTACAGTAATACCATGCAGACTCTGAAACTGTCTGGGGGGAGGGGGTTTTGGTAAGAAGCAGGGTGTGGAAAGTGGAATGATAGACAAGGCTAACTTGTTACCAAGAACTCCCTGGCTTGATGAAGCAGCCAAAGTAAACACTGTCACAGGGTTATGACAGCGTGTGCTTCCTATCTGATCCAGAAAACTATTCCTCTTCATTTCTGCCTCTGACATTGTGGATGCCCCTGACATTACTGCCTTTCTCGCCAATAGATATTATATCCAAACCCAGGAGGCAGACAAAACATACTTGTTATGGCTTCTCTGGGCAATGAAAAGACGTGAAAGTGAATGCATGCCCTTTACCTTAGATACGTGTTGGCTAAATGGAGTGTGTTGTCCCACTGGTTCTTGATATCAGTAAGGGTCTTGGAAGCCAATGGAGCCTTGCTGCACTCAGCCTGACTCATGATGGTCTGTATTTTAGCGTCCCCTTCAGGCTTTAGCAAAATGATTTCCTAAATTAAATAAAAAAGATCTTAGACTCTCATTTGCATTACTTAGGGGAAGTACATATGATATCTTTTTATTTCTAAACATTATATTTAGGTTCTAATTGCAGAGTAGATTTCAAAATTACCTTTTCATTTTTCACATGGCCAAAAGATAATGATATCTCCTTACCATTATACAGAATTGGTTCCCAATAAGTATTTGTCAGGTTGCTCTCACTGCGTTCCTTCGCCTCTTGATTTTCAACTGCCTTCATATAAGTTATATGCCCAAAAGACCCTGGCAAATCCTTCTTCCCATCCACTCAATTATTTACACATTGAGAGTTAAGGTAACAACCTGAACAAGACATTTTTATACACCCAGAATGAGACTTAGGGCTTCCCACAGGAAAATGCAGTGCCCCATGCCAACTCTTGTCTCCCCACTATAACATGATTTATTCCCACTCCCTGTTCCTCTCTTTTCCTCCTTTGCTCTAACAATCACATCCCTCCCTTCTTAGAAATACTACTCCAGATTCACTTCCCCTGGAAAATCTTTCACATACAGTCCCAAATGATTCCAATTACTTCAGTAAGCGTCACTGACTCGTACAGCTCACTATTCATAACCATTTCTTCCTGTAATGATGCTTCGATTAATGTGATTTCAATCCTTCTGGGTTCCTTTGAAGCACATGGGCTTCTGTGCCCTGCGTTTGTAACTAGCAACGTCTATTGAATCTCTCCTTAGATAAAACATGGGCTTAGAGGAACTTGGGAGTTCCTTGCCCTCTGCAACTCCCTCGGCACATCATAACCTTTATAAACTACACACTGTACTCGATATCTAATAGCCTTTTGAACCATAAGAAGAGTTCCTCTCCAGCCCTGCCTTGACATTGGTGATACATCTTTGTACTGACATATATATATTTTTTATATCCTCGCAAACTCGCACCTACCACAACTCCATAGGTACTGCCCTTACAAAGAGAGAATACACCTTCTTTCTCCTGTCTGCGTTAAAATAATTTTTAGATCCATCACAGCTCTTCTCTCTTGTAAGCTCAGTCCTCTGAATGCCATCAACCATTCCATAGTAACCCTATTTTCCATTAAGAAACAAATCTTTGCAGTTTTCCTCTAAATCTTTTAAAAAATAGAGTTCATTTTGACCTCTGAAATCGAGTTTCCACAGTTATACCTTTATTTTCTGGATTCTCTCCTCAAGTGGCATTTTGCCTTCAGATGAATTCAAAACCATAAGGGACTCTTTAATCCCTGCTATCCAATGAATGACATCATGTGCAAGATCATTAAAGCTCTGGTCCTCTGTAGAAGGTAACTTATCCTCTTCGTCAGTTTCACACAATTGTCTCAAAAATGTCTGGTATCTATCAATCAAATGTGTTGATTCCATTATTATTTCTTCTTCTTCAGTAAGCCCATATTCCTTCAAAGAATTGTTCAACTGGGCCATAGATTCAAATTGTTCCCTGGAAATTCCAAACATCATTGAAAGTTTAGAGGGGCCATAATACCATGTAAGAAACCATGTCAGCAGAAAATATATTCATACAAGATTAGCTATACCTTTTTCTAGCTACAGCTTCACAAAATAGCTCAGTTTTCTCTCCTGATTTTTCCATTTCTTTCCATTTCTCTTCTTGACTAGTCAACCACATAATCAGATTTCTGTGGTCATCCTGGAGGCTAAAAGAACATTACATATGTTAGAATATAAAATAAGCAGAAGCTGTTTACATGAGGAAAAGGTTGGCATGAATTTTGTAAGTGAATCAGGCTTTTCCTACATTTTTTTTGTTATTCCTTAGAGAAGAATTAATTTGTAACATTAAAATCTGGACAACAGTAGCCGGTATTATAGTGAGATTCTATAAAGCAAAGAGCTAGACAAACATATCATAAAGAACAGGAAACAAGCAAACGTTTTTGGACTCTCCCCTGAACTACTGCCCTATTAGATAATTTGAAGAATTTTCTCAACTTATATCTTCCTAGAGCCAAACTTAGAATAGAAAATGTATATTTTATTTGTGAAATATGTGTGTATTGTGTATCCCAATGTCAGCTGTACTGATGCACAGAAAGTATAAAGAGATCATTAGAAAATATATTATTAAGCTATCACCTTTATTTCCTACCTCAGTAGCTGCTGCAAGTAGTCATTAAGCTCCTTTGCTCGTGCCTGGCAAATGGACTCCATTTTTTCTAATTCAATTTCTTGATTTATAATCCAGCTGTTAAGCTCCTTAACATGTGCTTTGGGCAGATGTTTCTTCACATGATTTAGTACAGTTCCCACCTGCTGTATTTTACTGCCTCTTCCTTCAAGAGTTAAGAAATCCTTAAGGAAGACAGAAGGTCAATGATGTTCTATTGGCAAGTGGAAGTGTGGTCTCTACCACCCCCATGGCACTTTCCCAAGCTGGTATGCAGACATGTCACCTTTTTAACATCTTATACAAAAGAAGAGCTATGGAGATATTGCTAACTCCAATGGCAAATGACCAAAAGATAATCTATATTAGTTGTAAAATGTGTGTATGTATCTAGTACTTACTTCAATAAGTAAGGACTGTAAACGGCATCAAGCAAAATAACGCCAGGTTGCCGTGAAAGTCAGTAGGAGTAAGACTGGGAAAGCTGCATTTTTCTTTCCTGACTCTTCCCAAATTCTAAATACTTGCTCCTTTCTGGTATTCAACATGTAAAGCTGCACAGACTATTCTCCATTTAACTATGTCCAAATAAGAATTTTATTTCTATGTTTGATTTCAAGGTTTGGGCATCATGTGTTAAGGCCATCCAATGCACAAAGTTAAAGGCAAAAAAAAAAATCAGGACTTAAACTTAAAAAGAAGAAAGGCAATTCCATCAATAAAGAACAGTGTCATCAAAGTAAGGAATCAAACAAGGAATACTTAGAGCTACTCATAAGCTTGAGAGCATGACTTATCATCAAACTAAAGTACTAGACAATCTTCAGTCAGAGAAAGACAAATACCATGTGATTTCATTCATATGTGGAATTTAAGATATAAAAGATGTACATAAGGGAAGGAAAAATAATATAACAACAGAGAAGGAGATAAACCATAAGAGACTCAAATACAGAAAACAAACTGAAGGTTGCTGGAGGGGTGTTGGGTAGGAGGGCGGACTAAATGGGCGGTGGGGCATTAAGGAGGACACATTATTACACCATATGTTAATTACCTGGATTTAAATTAAAAAGTAAATAAAGTCATACAAATAGTTCTTAAAAAAAAAAAGGCTGACACCGCTGCCCCCCAAAAAAGCAGTAGACAATCTAGCCTGAACTGATGAAGATTTAAGGTGCCATATGCATTTTAAATGCCTGTATGGACATTACCTTTTATTCCAGGCTGCCCCTCTACTACGCTCCAACCAGCTACCTTAAAGTTCATCTGAGATTGTTTAAAGAACTATTACTCAGAAAAAACTTAACAGAAAGTCAAGAGGCCTCTCTCAAGAAAGTAAAGGGACTTTGCGGCTCCTGGGTGGCTCAGTTGGTTAAGCGTCCGACTCTTGATTTGGGCTCCATTCATGATCTCATGGTTTGTGAGTTCGAGCTGCGCATCAGGCTCCGAGCTGACAGTGTGAAGCCTGCTTAAAAGTCTGAGAGTCTCTCTCTCTCTCCCCCTCTCCCTCTCTCTCTGTCTTATGTGTGTGTATGTATATATATATATATATATATATATATATATATATATTCAAAAATTTGGTTATTTGAAAACATTGTCTCTACGTAGAGAAATTAGTAAGTCAAAGTAATTATTACTTTATCTAGTTAAATACACTTCTATGTCCCTAGTATTTTAGCTTTGATAAATTTTGATTAAAATTTATGTATCTTACAGAAAGGTTTTGTAGCTTTTGTTCCACACTCTTTTTTGTTTCTGATGATTCGAAACACTCCTTAAGGTTCATTTTAATGTTGCCAAACCAATCATTAAAGTTCTTGCACTGATCTGTAGGAAAAAACAAAAGAAGCTATCTTCATTCAAGGAAGACTTTAGACACCTTGTTAAAGTGAGAGGCTTTGAAACTTGCTTTGCATAACATGGGTACAAGTCGTGTAACGTGGTATATAAGTCGAAGTCAATTCTGAGGTTAATAGATTCTAGAAAGTAATTATGGTATATTTTTATGGTATAGCCTGCTCACAGGCGCGTCCCTAGACTCAACTCACCGCAGTGAGCAGGTCGAATGCAAGGGTATTGGTGACCTTCCTTCATGAAATAAAGATTTGGGACTTGAAAGAAATAGATGTTATATGAAAGGCATACAGATCAATGAGTGCCTCCACCCTCCCAACGATTTAGCTGAATAAATCCTTAGTAAATAAGTACATAAACAAATCCTTTTCCTTAAACAGAATCTCTGCAACCATCTCTAAGTGATGTTTCGATAAGCCTTCATGTTCGCAGTAGTTATTCATACTTGACGATTCCAAGAAACCCAGTAATGCACTCACCATTCAAAAACTTACCATTCAATAACTTACTCACCATTCAATAACTTAGAAAAATGATCTTGCAAAAGGCTTTTTTTGGTATTAAATAAATCACTGATGCTTTCATATTGCTTTTTTAATTCAGAGAGTTCAGGAGTCAGACAACCTATTTGATTCTCCAGTAACATCATACTGTGCTTTTGCTGTAGGATTTGCTGTTGTATCTCCTAAATACATAACCAAACAACCATTAAGTCTCAAAATGTGTTCAATTTACTCAAAGCATAATAGATCTCCATTGTTTCTCTAAAAATCTAGATGATTTTTCTGTTGGGTGGATTTGCTTTATCTTAGCCGGTAAATGTATACTGCAGTGCGATTTAATATCAAATAATTACTGCCCTCAAAGCAATTCAACTAAATAAACACAAATTGTTTTTCTGAGTTTTTTCCCTTTACTTTCATTTTTTGAATAGTTACTATTTTTATTAACCTCAAGAGGCTAAAGCCGTCAGAAATAAGTATGAAAATAAATCTGAACCACAGAAGAGAACCAGTTGGGACATACCTCAAGTTTAGTAAAGATCTCTAGGCTGTCAGTGGGAGACAGGGCTTTTAACAGGGACTCGGTCATTCCGATCTGGGTCTTGGCTTGGTCAAGATCTTCCCTTAGCTCAGCTGTATGGCCACTGAACGCAAAGCAGCTGGATTCTCCTGTTAAACTCATTTTTACATTTTCTATCTTGTTTAAAACAGAGGACTCCATGACCTGAAATCATGATATATATGAAGTCAAACTGCAACTTTATTTCACTAGATTTAAACTGCATTGCTAGAGAATGAGTTGAGACGTTGCTTCATTTCAATGTTAAGTTCATTCTTGTTTTATATCACTGATACAATTTAAACTGTTTAAAAAAGAATAACATGAAAAGCTGAGGTTGACATTCTGAGTTTGCTCTAAAAAACTAACTTGTGGACAGGTATGTGGGGTGGGAGTGCACTTGGGTGGCTGAGTCAGTTAAGCATCTGACTTTTGATTTCGGCTCCGGTCATGATCTCACGGTTTATGAGTTCAAGCCTCCCATGGAGATTATCTCTCCCTCTCTCTCTGTCCCTCCCTCACTTGTTCTCTCTCTCTCTCAAAAATAAATACACTTAAAAAAAAAACCCACCTAATTTGAAAGTCCTACCCCCAAAGCAAGTTTTATCTAGCATATCAATTGACGTGCCATCTCATGGCACTCATTTGAAAATGTATTAAAACATATAGAAAAAATTAAACAGCTAGCATTCATTGAGCATTTATTATGTACACAACAGCACTGTAGTGAGCACTTGATGGACAAAATTCAGGCTTTAGAATGTTAAGTGACTTGACTTGCCCAAGATCATAAAGCTAGCAGGTGGCAGAGCTGGGACATCACCCAGAATGTCAGACTCCAGAGCTCATACTCAGCCACCGCACACTCTATCTAAATAAAAATTTTAACACATCTCTTCACACAACATAAAATCATGCTTTGGGCAATCTCCCTGCTTCTCCATCTAGCAATTAATAAACATAGAATCACACAAGCCATTTTCTCCTTCCAATGGCTAAAGGACACTCAAGAGGATATCCTTTCCTTCAAACAGAAGCATGACAGCATCTCTAGCTCCACACAAGAGGCCTGGAAGTAAGTGAAATGAGAATAAAATAATTTTTAAAAAATATATTTATTCTAAACAAATAATAATGAACTATGCCAACTATTAAAAATTCAGTTGGATTTAACTGAATTGAATTAAATGAATTGAATAAAGATGAAATAAATAATGATCCTAATTTTACCCTATTATTTAAAAAAATTTTTTAACGTTTATTTATTTTTGAGAGAGACAAAAAGACAGAGCGTGCATGGGGGAGGGACAAGGAGGGAGGGAGACAGGATCCTAAGCAGCTCCAGGCTCTGAGCCGTCAACATAGAGCCCGACACGGGGTTTGAACCCACAAGCCGTGAGATCGTGACCTGAGCCAACGTCGGAGGCTTCTGACTGAGCCACTCAGGCGCCCCCTAATTTTACTTTAGGTTTAAGATTTAGAATTCTGGTTTATGAAAATGAATTACTTCAGAGTGCTTTAATTCCAACTTTTAAAGAAAGATTCTCTTACCTGCAATTCAAGAGGTATTTCACTGCTTTGAAGGAGAAACTGTATTTTAGCCACTCTTTTAGAAAACTCTAAAGATTTTTGTTCGTGGACTTGTAACTCTTCCTAAAACAAAGAACATTAATGGAAAATATATCTTATACCTTATTTTCTGGTACTCATGATTATGATTATTAGTAGAAACTGAGAGAAACTTTGGATTTCCCCAAAACACTTGCTTTTTGAAGGAGTCCTGGGAGTTACAAATTCAAGTGGCTTTATGAGTCAGGAAAACATTAAAACTGAGTGAAGCATTCCAGCTCAAAGAGGACAGACAGAGGCCATGCTTGTGCCCAGAATGCAGTGCCTGCGTCGCATTTCATAGATCCGTACACATAAACTATGCCAGCAAGTGCACGCACACAGACACACACACTGTTGGTGGGATTTGGCTCACAGGCTAGCAGTTTACAGTCCTTCACTTCAAATTTTAAACAACCTGCACTTCAAGGCATTTTTAAGGAACTTATTCATTTACACCTAGGAAATCATCATTTCTATGATCGTACACTCAGGAAGCCCATAAATCTCTACGCATTTTGAAAACGTTTTTCAAATGTATAAAAATGTATATGTGAATTTAAAAATGAATAATAGAACAAAGATTAGAGGAAAAAAAATGAGACTGAAAGCATGAGACCTGGCATACTGTAAAGGCTTCATGCACACATACATTTTTCTATTATATTGAACCACATATAATTGCCAACCTACAAAGGTTGTATCTGACCTACAAAGATAGATATTTTATATGAGCCAATGAATAATATATAAATGAACAATTAGAAAAAATTCTTCCTAGGGTTGAAATAGAGAACTTAAATTCTTTCCAAATAGCAAAACTTGAGATTACTGTTTTAAAAACTAGCCTTTTTTGAAGCTCTGTAAAAATTCTGATACTCAGCCTGGTATTTATTCCTAATCTTTTGGAGGGAGAGACTGCTTAATTCAAATTATGAAGGCTGTCCATAATCCTGATCTAGATCAGGGGTTAATAGTCTTAGGGCTGGTAGTCTATTTTTATAAATAAAGGTTTATTGGAACCCAGTTACTTTCAAGCATTTATGTACTGTCTATGACCAAGTGCTTTTATGCTACAACAGCAGCATTAGTCAATTGTGACAGTGACCAAATGATCTACAAACTTAAAATATTTACCATTTGGCCCCTTAAAAATAAGTCTGCCAACCCCTGGGACCTATATTGACCATTTGGGAAGAATTATGCATTTGGTGGGGTGTCTTCTAGGAGTTATTAATATTTCTTACACCATAAAATGCCTCTCATAGTCTGGTGAATCCTATGGACCCTTTGCATAATATTTTTAAAACAAAACATAAGATAAATTATGTAGGAATATAAAGGAAAACAATTACATTGACTTACAGTTATCAAAATATTAAGAATAACTTATGTTATAGTAATGCATATGTTTCTATATTAATACCTTAAATACTAAGATCTAGCAGTGACGCTACTGAAAGCCATAATTTCAAAGTAGTGATAAAGGGTAACAGTTACAACTAGATCATGATCCAAAAATATCTGTGGTTTTCTTGATAACAAAGTCACATGTAATGTTCATCCTACTATGTTTGTTTGGTGACTTTATTTATAATTGAAACAAATATTACATTTTGGCTAGACATTCATAAAAATAAAGATGCAATTTTTTCCATATAAGGTATTTTATCCACTAATAACTCGGGTGTCTGTGGATCCCAGATTATTGATACCTGCTAACATCTTCCTACATATCAAAGGAAACAAGAGAATTGCGGTCCCACTCAAGGGACAATGAAAGAAATAAAACATTTCTTTGTGACTTTTCTACTCTGCTTCAAGAAAGCAAGCTCAATGTTAAATGTCAACTGTGTACAAAAAGAGCATACATTTTATTGCTGTTAAATTACCTTCAGCTTTTCTCTTTCCTCCTCAGTCAGTTGATATAATTCCATTTTTCGAAGGACCTTTTCAGTCCACTCATCAATTACATTTTTTAAGTTAAAAAGTTTGTCCCACAAAGCTAGAGCTCGACCAAGATTTTCATAGTAGTCTTCGGTTTTTTCATTTATCTACCACAATTAAACAAAAGAAATAACATATTTAGTGGTAAAAAGTATGAAAACCTTTGTTTCGGTCACACATTATTTTAGAATAAAAGTTTAATTTATCTTTTCTTGTTAAACAATTTGTTTTATTTATCAACAAAAAAATGGGCTTTAAAACATCACATAGTTCTTCCACAAAACAAAAAAACAAAAAAACAAAAAACAAACCTTTGCTGCCCCTTAGAGGCAACTGAAAGCAATCATCTTCCTAATTTCTAAACCACAATAAATTAAAGGTGCTTTTAAAAACCCAGATGAAAATATAACACAAATTCTTAATTTGTAATTCATAAAAATATAACTATTAATCAAAACTGTATTAAATAAATATATAGTTGAACATGAATATCCTGCATGAATCGTTAATATACTAACTACTTTATTTTAAATAAGTTAAGTGTGTGCTTTCATATCTCAAAGTCTCTAGACCCATTTGTTAGTAGTGTCTAACTCTGGGGGTGAAGTTAATTCATAAGTTATACATTTTCTATTATTTGAATATTTTTACAATGAACACTTTTGAATTTTGTAATTAGATAAAAATACTAAAGATACAAGAGAGAAGGTCAATTTGTTATAAAATAGAATTTTTAGTGAATTAAATTGTCACTCACATCAAGCCATCTATCCACAATAATATTAGCTTCTTTCTCAAAAGGAGGCTCTTCAAAAATTCTCATTTTATTTAGATGAAATTGTAGGTTTCTACAGATCTGGTTAATCTTGTCTACAACTTCTAAATGTTCATTAAATTCTTCTTTGACAACTTCAATCTGTAAAAAAAAGTTAGGTAACACATTTTTTATATATTTGCATAGAAAAACTAGTAAGAACTAATATTCTATTATTGGCTATTCAGCTTCAAAACAGTACCGACTGGGTGGCTCAGACGGTTAAGTGTCTGACTCCTGATTTTGGCTCAGAGCATGATTTCTCACAGTTTGTGAGTTCGTGCTCTAAGTCGGGCTCCGTGCTGACAATGCACAGGCTACTTAGGATTCTCTCTCTCCCTCTCTCTCTGCCTTTACTCCCCCACCCCAAAATAAATAAATAAATTTAAACAAAAACCCAACACCATAACAGAGTATTTCCTTTGTAAATTATTCTTTTCTAAAGCAGACTGTTATTTTTCCACTTTTTCAATAAAAAGTTTTTAGAATCCTAACCATCTCATTTACCAGTAATCCTACACACAAATTTCTTCTCACTCTGCATGATGAAGTAATTGTAATAATCTAAAACCATGTCTCTTGCCCTCGTGAAATGACAGTCTACAAAACCAAACCAAACCAAACCAAACCAAAACAAAAACAAAAACCTTTCATGCAACAGTATAAAAAAACAGCAATTCTTAGATTCCTCTAATCATCTGTGGAATGATGAAGAACCAGGTTCATCTAAATAAAACATATAGAACTCTAATGTCTTTAAAATGACTTTCATTTGATATTCTTTGATCCTAACTCCAACATCATTTCTTTTTATTGTATTTTTTTGTTATTTTGAGAGAGAGAGGGAGGGAAGGAGAACAAGTGAGGGAGGGTCAGAGAGGAGAGAGAGAATCCCAAGCAGGCTCTGCGACATCAGTGCAGAGCTCAATGCAGGGCTTGAACTCACAGATTGTGAGAACATGACCTGAGCATAGATCAAAAGTCGTACACTTAACTGGCTGGGCCACCCAGGTGCCTCCCAACATCATTTCTAACACAGAGGGTAAAACACTACATTATTAAAAGGCCGATGATCTTAAACTACAAAATAAAATTTGAGTGTTGACTAATGTAATCTTAACATTTTACTCACCTTACCAGTCTTAGCTGAGCATTTTTAACAACTATGTAAAATCTGAAAATAGATTTCCCATAAACAAACACCTAAAAAGGTATACACCATAGGGGACTTCCATTTCTGAAAATATGGAGTAGACATAATTTTCTCTATTCTTCCCATTAGGTACAACTAAAATCCCTGGCTATCCTATACAAAACAAACTTAGTAAGAATGAAAAGTGGAGAGTTCAAGAAGTGGAGTGTTCAAGACCAGTTCTAGAACACCAACTTGGTGGTAAGTTCCCTGAATTTTCTTTTCCCCGTAGATTGATAAATAAATAAAAATTAAATAAGTAAATAAATAAAATGTATATGGAATGGTGAACAGACTGGAAGACCTAAAACATCTGAAAAAGAAGAACAAAGTAGGAAGAATCAGTCTACTTGATTTTAAAACTAAACATAGAGATACAGTAATAAAGATAATATGGCACACATAAATCAATGGGAAAGAATAGTGAACCCAGAAGTGGACCCACACAGTCTGTCCAACTGATTTTTGACAAAGTGCAAAAGCAATTCAATGGAGGCAAGAGAGCCTTTTCAACATCTGGTACTGGAGTAACTAGACATCTGTGGACAAAAACATCAATCTTGCCCAAGTCTCATACCTTATACAGAAACTGACTCTAAATGGATGATGGACTTAAGTGTAAATTGTAACACTATAAAACTTTTAGGAAAAAATAAGAGAAAATCTTCAGGATCTTGAGCTACACAAAGAGTTCTTAGATTTTAACACCAGGGGTGCCACCTGGGTGGCTTAGTCAGTTAAGTGTCTGACTTCGGCTCAGGTCATGATTTTACAGTTCGTGGGTTTGAGCCCTGTGTCAGGCTCTGTGCTGACAGCTTGGAGCCTGGAGCCTGCTTCAGATTCTGTGTCTCCCTCTCTCTCTCTGTTCCTCCCCCACTCATGCTCTGTCTTGCTCAGCCTCTCGAAGATAAATAAATGTTAAAAAAAAAAATCCTATTTATAACACCAAAAGTACATCCATGAAAGGAAAAAATGATAAACTGTACTTTACTGAAATGAAAACCTTTTGCTTTGCAGAAGACCCTGTTATGAGGATGAGAAGACAAGCTCTAGTTTGGGAGAAAGTATTTGCAAATCACATGTCTAACAAATGGCTAGTACCTAGAACGTAAAGAGAATGCTCAAAATTCAACAGTAAAAAACAAAACAAATCTAATTAGTAAATAGGCAAAGGATATGAAGAGATTCTTCCTCCAAAAATGATATACAGATGGCAGACAAGCACAAGAAAAGATTATCAATATCATTGGCAATTAGGAAAACACAAATGAGAACTATAATGGGATACTAGCTCTCAGAATGGCTTTAAAAAAAAGTTGAGACAATATCTACTGCTGGCAATGATGCAGAGAAACTGGGTCATTCCACACTGCTGGTGGGAACAGTTGGGCAGTTTCTCTAAAAACTAAATACACAATTAACATACAAGCCGGCAACTGTATTCCTGTGCAGTTAATCCTGAGCAGTAAAAACTTATATTCACATAAAGACCCTTATATGAATGTTTATAGCAGCTTTACTTATAATAGCCCAAAATTATAAATGACCCAGATGTCCTTCAGTGGCGAATAATAAAACAAACTGTGGTTACAATCCATACCATGGAAAACTACACAGCAAGAAAAGGGAACAAAGTATCAATACATTCAAGAATCTGAGTGAATCTCCGGAAAATTGTGCTGAGTGAAATAGTGAACTCCCAAAAGTTACATATTGGATGTACATACAGGAGGGAAAAGGGTAGGGCTATAAAATGACGATGTGAGGGATCCTTGTGGTGATGGAAGCCTTCTTTATCTTGACCGTATCAATGTCAATATCCTGACCACGATATTGTACTATGTCATTTTGTAAGATTTAGCACTGGGGAAACTTACAGTAAAGGGTACTCAGGATCTCTCTGTATAATTTCTTACAACTGCATGTGAATCAACAATTATCTCAAAATAAAAATTTAATTGAAATAAATAAAAATTGAATAAAAATTTTAAAATGGAAAAAAAAAAAATTACTGGGGAGGTTTCTGTCTCCTGACTGGATGCTGACCGATACATCTGCAAAGCTGACTGCAAACTCCAGTGTTTTCTCTCCTGGCACAAGACTCTGCACTGGGCATAAGACATTATTGTTCAATTACATGGAAAAATAATTTGTTCAATTATATGGTACAATTTTCAATACATTCAAAGAACTCTGTTGTTACATTGATATAAGCCGCCAGTGGGTGAAGAGAAAAGAAAGAGCAAGAGAGAGTATCTTCAGCACTGACAGGAGCTGTGGGGTTTGTTCCACAATAAATGGAAAGGGTAGAATAAAGGAAAGTAGGCTCGCTCTGTCTTTTTCCAAACTTGAATGGTCCCCTGACATTCTAGCCTTTAGTCTTACTTTTGCACTTCTGTCTTCCATTAAAGAGACTGGAAATCTGGCCCCATATCCTAGATAAACATCCAGGTTTCTATGGTTTGGAAGACAAAAGTTCTCAGTGATATTGTATTTCAACCATTGGTACAAAGCATCACGCTACAAATACATACTACAGAAATAGATTGTTTCTCAAGATAGTATGTAACTCGTCACAAAATTAACTGAAAGTCATGTTAACAGTGAGTACTAAAATTTGCTTTGTTCAGTTAAGAAAGCATCTGAGAAAAAAATTTAAATATTAGTCTACTAGAACTTGTATAGCTTCCATACAAAGTAATATATTATTCTAGCAAATATGTAAAATGCTCATATGCCAGATACTATGCTAAATACAAAAATCTCAATAAAATAAGAAATGCCAACGCTCTTATACATTTCATAAAGGCAATTTGGTTATTTTATTAATTTTTAAAGTAACTTTATGAGCAAACCTTTACCGTTGAGAAAGGGGGAAGAGACAAAGCCATGTTAACTTTTACTTCTACCATATATATATTTCAAACATTTACATAGAATGCAATATTATGATGACTGAAACATGACTTTGTAGTCACAGCGATCTGGGATTCAATCATGATTATGCCATTTTATCTTGGGGATACAGCCATATAGTCTTGGGGAAGTTCCTTAACCTCGGTCCTCACGTTTTTGCCTTGGTTACCGAGGAAGTTGCTAATCTGTCCAAATTCCAGGACATAAATGAGACATTACTGATAAGCAGGATCAGCGTGCCTGAAAAATACAATACATGGATATGGCTCTTTTTTCTGCTCTATGTTGCCCCCTTATCACTTAACAGGTAAGATCCTGGAGACCAGCATTATGAACCTATCTTCACATAAGATGAAGAACCCAGGTTACGGTATCAATATTTGAGCTACTCTGTGATAAGATTCTAATATTTGGATTTAGATCTGGAAGAGAAAATGGCCTTGTACGCATTTAGGCTGGCCTGCATGCTTGAACCACTTTTTCCCAGAGAACCTGCTGGGGTATTGGGCACTCATGCAAATTATAATAAAGCAATACCATTTGGTCTTATTTTTTGAGTACGTATCTCCTTTGACAATCCCAGAGCAAATCAGGAAAACCGACAGGGCAGGGTTAGGAATTCCTTTGTTCTTTATTCTTAACACCATCTTAGTAACTTTAAAAACCCTACAGTTACTTCTAAAATCCTCTAAACCTTGGTTTTCCCACTAATATAATAGGGTTAATGCTTAACCCTTGCCAGATTATTTGGGAGTGAAATTATAGAATAATGTGTGAAGAACTTGGCACATGGTAGCCACACCATCAATGGCAGAAGCTTTCACTACCATCACCATGATCATTTGTAGTAGTAGTAGTAGTAGTAGTAGTAGCAGTAGTGTTACTTAAAACCTCAAAGCCACATGATACTCTTATTTGCAAATGAAACCAATTTTGCTGGCTTCAGAATTTTCCAGCTCCTGCAGCAAGTCAATTATTGGAGTAGAAGGGGTAT